GCCCAGGTCCACCCCTTCGGTGTGACGAGCCATCGCTGATGTGCACCTCACATTATTCTATTTTGTATTATCCCGCAGCCATCGAGGGTGGTGGCTGTGAAATGGCACCGGTGGCATCCAAACAAACAGTTCCGCGGCCTTTCCTGGTGGGTGCTGTCAAACGTCCCGTGAATGCATCCATGGATGGACCAAGGGCACCCGCGAGGAACGTTGAGGAGCCACACAACGTTGAAATAGCCAGCAATCGTCCGTCCCGAATTATCCTAAAAGGAAAGAGCTTATAATTCCTATTATTGTACCCGCAGCCAGGTTACAGGGTACCGAAGCCTCTTCTGTACCCCCGTGTTTAGTCAAATCCTCCCAGATCCGAAAGCTTGCATACGCCTGATACGACCGGCGAGGAAGGATAGGAAAGGGGCTCGGAACGAGGACAGCCCACTGCTTCTTAACATTGTACCTCTTCTCAAGGGGACATAGCCGCCGTCAAGAAGCGTATGGCGGAAGGCGGCCATGAACATGGCCAGCGATCCTTCAACTTGGGCTGAAGAGAGCAGCGGGGTTTAGCTCCTCGTCCTTTTTTCCCTTGTGTTACACGACGGCTTGGCTTTTGTCGCACGAATACTCCAGGGAAATGAGAGAAAAAGTAATAACGAATCACCCCTTCAGGCGAGTCTGGACGAAGAGGGCGGCGAAGTAAACCTAAATGGAATATTGAACCCTTTTCGTCTCAAGTCTAAAAAGTGGGAGTCCTGAGCCCACGACGACCAGCTTTCAACATGAACGGGCAGTCTTGCTCGTTACCTTGGGCTCACTTATTAGATTTTAAGCAGCGAAACCCCATTCCCACTCTTGCGCACCTGGGCACTCTGCTGATCGGTGGATGGTTGTTGGTGTCGTATCAATGTCTCTCTCTCTTTGAATCCTGCAACCCAGCTCCCCTTTCGCTGGAATCCAGTACCCTGGATGATGGCACGCCTCCGATCCTCTCCCACCTTCTCCCCTTCAGCTTGTCAAGCATTGGAAAGTAGGTGCAACATGCGAGATGCAGTCCCGCCAAGCTCTTGCCCCCGTCCCCATAATGTACCCTTGCGTACTTGCTGCTTTCGACTTTTCTCCGCACCCGGCCAACATCAGGGCCTCTGAGTTCGGTACAAACAGCCGGGAGGGGCTGGGATGCTTGGCTAGAATGACGTTACCTAACCCCATCTAAATGTGGACATGGGACCGAACATGGATGGGATGGATGGCAAGTGGAAGAGAAACCGGAAACCCTCCAAGATTGCATCTTTACCCTTGCTTTCTTAGGCGAGCTGTTTCTAGTTTTGCAAAGAAGCAGCAAGGATTCTCGTTACTTTTCAGGTATGGGGCCTCACAGCCGCCCATTTGATGCAAAGGCGCGCGTGCGCGAGAGTAAGGGTGAGGGTGAGGATGAGGGTGAGGGTGTGTATGTGTATTTTGTGTGTGAGCTTGCAAACCTGCGGATGATGGCAAACTCGAGCGGCCGGTGTAGAAACTTAACCCACACTCTATCGGGCTTGAAACGAGCTGAACTTCCCCCAAGACGACCGGATTCGTCCGCGAGGAGATGGATCGGCAAGCAGATGGGCCACGGCCCAGCGAAACTTGGAGATGTAAAGTTTTGCACGGCCCTTGGCCCTCAGGGGAAAGGCGCTCTCCATGGCCATCGTGAACCTTCCCAGCCGTTGCTAACTCCCGGTCATCGCTCCAGCATGCCGTGAGAACCTAGTTCCCACCTCATCCACGCCCTCCCCTTTGGCGCCACACCGGCGTAATACCCCGTCTTTTTTTCGGTTTGGTAAACCCCGCTGGCTGGGATCTCCCAGGTCAAAGGAACGGTCACCCTCCACAGACCAACCATGTCGACCAGCTTCCGTAGGCTAACTGTAAGCCACCAATCCCCAAAGTCGAGAGTGTAGATTCTATTCCTAGATGGACACAGGAGCGGATCGGGCTTGACGCAAGCCTCTAGGTGTGAGATCCCTTCTCTCCATGTCGATCACCAGCGGCTAGGGCGGCCACCCCACGTACTCATGAACAAGCCCTCAAAAGCTTTTCCCCACGATCCAACCACTCAAGTTTGATGCCGCCAGCCACTATGATCCCCCTCCTCATGGCAGCCAAGAAATCGCGGGCCCTAAGCCTCCTAGAGGTCGGTGGGCACGAGCCATCCGGCCCGGACTGGCCTTGCTTCCTTCTCGGATGTGTCTCTTTTCATGACGAGAGGGCGAGAGTGGACAGGATGTGCGCAAGGACAAGGGAAAAGGACAAGGGAAAAGGACAAGGGGATGGGAGAGCGGCTGGGGAAGACCGGAAAGCAGGCGGATGAGGGATGCAAGAGGAGAAGCTCGTCTCACGTATCGATGAGAAATCGCTGCTCAAGCCAGCAGTGGAGCCACGTCTTTGGCTCCTCCCCGACTCTAAGCATCAGAGGGAGGTACACACGTTCCGTAGCATGCCTGTTTGTATGCCTATCATGTCCTCCCCTTTGGTACCCTCTTCTCCATAGGAAGAAAAGCCAAGTAGCCCCTCCCTAAAGTGTTTCTGCTGCGGCATATGCTCCCTTGGTTCTAGCAGAGAAGTAGCCCCGGCGAAAGGAATCGCAGTCCTCCCTTGACACTAAGCAAGAAGGTCTGTGTCTATTGAGACTCATGTGCATAATACTTGCGTCCCTCTTTGAGCTAACACCCGTCGCTCTTCTCAGCACATCCCCAGCAGGCCGTTTAGCATACAACCTGGCGGAGACTAAGTTTATAGGGCTACGCAGTCAGGGGGCACATCGGTATCTATTTTCAGCAGAGGCTTTTCCCCGCTGAATGCTTGCGACTATCTATCACCCTAGGACTAGTAAGGTATCTAGCCGTAATAAAGAGAGAAGGCGAGCGGTTCTCGTATCGACTCGTCGCGCATCCCATTCCATGGTATCATCTCTAACCCCTGATAAATAAAAGTAAAACAGGCTGGCTGGTTACTGTCCAGCCGCTGTGAGAGAACGCCATCAACAGCCCTTTGTTCCTGGGAATATGCTAGGTGTCGTCAAACTATCCGTATTCCCCACCCAAGATATTAACGCCGCCGAATTGAACCCTTGAATCTCGAGTATATGCCCTATGATATCTTCAACCTGTACGCCTCTTTTTGCTCGTGTGCTCGTCGACTGCGCCATCGACTAGGCTCTCCGTCCTCGACTTTCTCTTCTTATCGGCCACCATCACCGTGCGGGTCGATTGTGCCCTTTTTCTGGACGCCTCCGGTCCTTGGTAGGTGACAAACCCTGAAGGCTGCCCCTCATTTTCCCCAACAGTTTCGCTGGGTGGCTGGCCGTCCGCACCCCATTTCCATTCACTTATGTCTCGCACCCGTCCGTTGTTGCGCCCCGCAAAGTGCTCCTCGATATGATTGTACCGCTCATTCCAGAACCCAGGCTCTTTTTGGCTGGGATCGGGATCATCATCTCGCAAAAGCCGCACCAAAATTTTGTATCACTGTGCCGGTCGACTCTACAGCTTTCGAGCTTCTCGGAGATATCCTCCTCCAAGACAATCTTATGATCGTCTTCCAGATGGCGCTTGAATGCCTCACGTCGATGGTATGCTTTGGGGCATTGATCGCAACTCCACATTTCCAGTTGGAAATGTTGGCTGGTCTCATGACGCCTCCAATCGCTCTTGCTACCAAATCTCTTGTCGCAGGGCCGGAAGGTGCAACCATACGGTCGGTCATGGCGCTTCATGTGCTTGCTAAGGTAAAGAAGGAAACGGGCGTTAGCACGAGAGTTTCCAGGATTTATAGCAAAGGGAAATAGGTCGGTGAAGGAGAGGGCAGGGTAAAGGGCTAATCGAGACATACTTCAGCTCACACTTCCTGCTAAACACCTTGCTGCAAGAGTGGCACTTATGCTCCTGCTTTTGTCTGGTCGCTGGTCGCGGTTCCTCTTCGTCATGGTCCAGATCGGAGCTAATGTCCCTCAGTTTGCGTTTTAAATAAGACTGTATGAAATGTTCTGGTACTCGATCGAGCATTTGGATGTAATCCTTCTCACACTGGTAAGATGCTGACAGAGAGGTGCCGGATGCCTTAGAGGCCACGGAGCTGGTGATATCCGATGTTGAGGGCGAGTCTGCTGAGAACTCCGTCATATCATTTGTGGCACCTTCTTCTGTGCGCCCACAAGGCCTGGTGGAGGAGGTAGTCTGGCGTGCGCGACTCTCCAAGGGGAGCTGGTCTGTGTCTTCCCCTCCAGTTATCGGGCTCGCGCAGGATGACAAGTCGCTTTTGAGCCCAGAGTGAGACGCTGGCGACGTAATCGGAGTTGGGGGAGCATCGAAGGCGGGTACTTCAGGAACCATTATCTTTTGAGGGGCTCGGCCTCCAGGGACTGATCCTATGCTTGAAGATGGCTGGCCATCGAGATTTGCCGCTCTCAGGCGTTGGTACAAATTGAGATAATTGCGACTGGGAACCCCTTTAAGATGGGGGTCTTCCTGTTCCCGTAGCCTCTCCAGTTCTGCACTCAAGCCATCATGCTCATCCCTAGATCTATCAGTAGAAATCGTCGACTCCGTTGGGTCGAGTACGGCGGAGCCCACAGCTTTGAGAACATCCTGGGACGGCGGCGGACGAGATGGGGATGGTGGACTAAGAAGGAATGCCATTGTTAGCTCAATCTTAGGAACGAACTGTTGAAGTGAGTGACCTACCATATCATAAACTGTTCCAAATAGGAATTGGTGATGTGGTCAGCAGGTATCGCATGGACGCCTTTGAGATGACTGCGGAAATTGTCGACCCGCGGCCAAGACTTTCCCTTTGAATTGCATTCTGCTATATTGCATCGATATGACTTTCCCGATTTTTGTGAACTGAACGTTCGTGTCGATCGAGATCGTGCAGAGTACCGAAGCCTTCTTTATTATTGCATGAGGGGTCACGGCATTGAAAACTCCGCCGATGCCTCAGTAGGTGTTTCCTTTGCTCAAGCGTTAGTCGCAGTGATAAGCAGCATCACAGGGGAAGACGCACTTGAGTGTTGCCTTGCTCTGGCAGGGCTTGCTGCACACTTCGCAGATTAACTGTGCGCCGGCCTCCGATACGGTAGCAGACTGCGGAATACCCGAGCGAGGGAGTTTTGCGAATCGGGAGGCTGTAGAGACAGTAGCCCCAAACTGATCGAGTCTAGAGTCCAAGGCGTGGAAGGACGGATCTAAGATGCTTTCTCCTCCGAGGGAGTCTGGAGGTAGGCCCATAGATAAGCTAACATAGCCCGAGTCTGAGGTCGGATTCGTGCCATAATCCGAGATAGCGGCGCTTCTGCACACGGGGTAGGCCGAGGCATGTATAGGGGTTACGTGTTGGTTGTTGAATTGAGCACTATCGTGATTGAATCCGTTCCAGGGGTTCTCTGGGTCGAGCATGTAGTCCAATATCATCCCGTAATTCTGAGATGAGACCGGGAAGTCTCCCGGTTCCTGAGGGTAATTCATGGTGTGGTGCAAAGACGGGGAATCGGAAGTTGAGCAGCTTTCACCATAGAGCTAGTAGCAAAATGCAGAGCAGAAAACAACTTGGTGGTGAGCGGGCTCATGTACAGAAGTGTAGCCTCGCTTTGGATGGTAGGATGATCGCTCGAGGGGCTCACTGAACGGGATGAATGAAGTGCAAAGATCGATCAAAGAGCACGAGTATGACTATTAGATAGGACCGTATTGTCAACTCTAAGTTGTGGTTCGAGAGCCGGCATGTGGAAGCTCAAGGAGACGACCGGGGATGGTGCAAGGAGTCGATTATGACCATGGAGTTTCTCCAATGTGGACTAAGGATTTAACCCCTTATTATGATCTAACCATGCCCAACCGAAGAATGGCAGCACATGGGTGGATTTGAGGAGCTAAAGGCGTGCAGAAGGGGTTAAGCTGCGAGAGAAGAGAAACCCCTCCCACAAAGCAATGAGAGGTGGAAGTAAGGTTTAGCGGCAAGAAGAAATGGAAGAAATGTAATGCAAGGTCCCCAAAAAAAGAACCATAAAAACATATACTAAAGAAGATCAAAAACGGAGAACTGCGAGGATGAAAGGGTGGAAAGGATCAGAGGAAAAAAAGAGCTGGGCTCTAGGCTCAACTGCGACAAGTGCCCGCGATATTAGGGAGATCAATTGATAATATTAAGAGGGGAAAGTAGGGGATGAGTTCTTGGTTGCGAACCATAAGGCGAACCAAAATTAAGGCGTCCACTGTGGCCTGTCGCCTTACACTGTTCTGGATCTGCACCGGGAAGGACGCACCTGCGCGAACCGGCCACTCATCACTTCGTAACCAATTGAACCTTGGGAAGTACCGAATACTTCACAGATCCGACATCAACCCCAATCTCATGGGCGAGAAAGTCCTTCGCAAGCTTGTCCAGATATCTCTTTCCCTGGCCATGAATATATTCGACCAGGAGCAGCATTTTCGAGATGGCCTCTGAGATAAATAGGGATGCGACTGGCTTTCCTAACTAATACCCCCGGCCAATCTATTTGTTCTCTCTCTATTTTTTTAAACCACAGCTTCGACTCCTCAATCGATTTTGAGTGCAGCTGTTGGCCACATGCACTGAGCTGACATGTGGTGTTGGGTCCAGTCAAACGAGTACGCGATTTGATACCAAACTACATGTAGACACTCGAGGACCGAGGAAGCTGCCTCACCATCCAGCAACATGGCATCTATTTGGGGAGTTAGGCCGCATCAGTATCAAACAATCGTCCGAGCTACTTGTTCCATAGACACTTGGGTCGATTTACGATCAATCACCGAGGTACCAAGTACGAGACCTTCACAGCCTGGTCCTTCGTGCTACCTTCAATGACATCCTCGAGTCCCCCTCCACATCAAAAACGAGACCCTAGTCGCGATATCCCCCATTCAACAACACCACAGAATAGCAAGTGACACCAGAGATGTTGGCTCGGCAGAGCCACGTCAGCACATTGTTGCTTCCTATCAAAATCTATGGATCTGTTACTGCACCTGTCCGCACCCTTCGACCTGTCGTCGCACCCTTCTCAGTCCTCAGAAGGTTGAACTAGAGTAAAAGTGAGATGGGGGAAAGCCCTCGGCCCCACACTCCTTAACTGGCCCGGCTTTCTGTCCTCCTCCAAAGCAAGGGGTATGGGCCATCGGTTCCCCTAATATAGCTACCACCCTAGATTTTCGGATGATAGACGCGTCTAAACCAGTGTGTAGCCTTTGTCTCCCGTGTCTTCGGTTACATACTAGTTTCTGAGGCTCCTCGCCGTACTACCGGGCGTGGGTGGGAATGAACCTCTGAGATCGCCAGTCCTCTTTTCTCCCCTAGACTGGAACGGAGTAGCAGACCTAGAGCGCAGCCAGCAGGCTTCTGCGCATGGTAGCCGGATCGACTGTTTTCGCGCGCATCATTGATGCTCCACGCATTCATTCTCTTTCCGCCTTCGTTCTTTAACCGTAGCTTCAAAGTGACGGTTTCATTCGCTAAAATCGTTGCACGGTCGCGCGTACCCACCATATATGTCGGCTCCCGCCCATTGCCCTCCGGTAAGAAGCAAGCAAACAGTACCTTTTATCCACTAGTGACGGCGCCCGAGTAGTTATGATGGCATTTTCATGCCCTCAATCGCGGCGTCGGAGTTCTCAGTTTGAACCCTGCTAGAGAATGTCCTGCGCGCGGCTGGCTCGCTTTTTATGCCATGATAAAGGTGTTGGTAGGTGTCAGATGGCACCATCGCCATCTATTTACTAGTCAATGAGTTTCGTCTCTTTGTCCGGAGTATCAAATGTCAGGGTCGAGTTGGTTCTCTGGTAGGTAGCATGGCGAGGAGGGTAGATGGGCACGAGTAGATGTGATTCACATTACGCTCCGCCCTCCTGCAGCGCCGCAGCAATATTGCCAATAGAAAGACAGGCCAGCAAGCAGCGGACCGGCTACTATCGCTCTACATATTGCACCGTAGGTGATGCTTCGGGTTTCCACGAAGATAACCCGATGATTCCAAGTTGAAGATATTACGTAGCGATGTGTCTCGGAGGATGTATCTAATGCCTACTTGAGGTCAGCGACGCCACTAGAACTGCAAGATCTCCCCGGTTCCCATCATGCATGCCACCACTTAGCAATCCGGTTCAATGCCCACGCGTCTAGGACGACAGCGTTTTCTGAATTCACGTCGGTGGAAAGGCAAGGCCAGTATATATGTAGACTACGGTAGAGACTTTGGCCGCCGAATCTAGCCGAGTGGCCTCGAATCCTTACTTTTGTCTAGATGCAGGGTGTGGGTAAACACTGCTCGATATTCAGCAACATGTGTCTGTGTCTAGAAGACGGGCTAACTCTGCATCCTGACCAACCTATGAGGTAAGGCTATCCGTAATTCCTACCCAGGCTGAACGTCACTGAATATCGAAAGCTCGCTGCCCTTCCTTTGCGCCTTTGCGCCTTTGCGCCTTTGCGCCTTTGCGCCTTTGCGCCTTTGCTACCAGAGCCGCTCCAGTCGAGGTATAAGCATCAAGTTCCCATCAACTAGTGGAGTTCCGGTCCGGATTAGGCGCAATGCAGGGCTTCATTGTGCCCATGGTGAGGCCTATTTCAAAGTAGGCCGTAGTACATTACTTCATTCGGTTTCACGATCTTGCCATCCTTGGCCTGTCGAGTCTCACCTAGTCACAGCCGTTTGTGCACTTGCATTTATCAAATCTCGGTGTCCGATTTTCTTTCCCAATACCCTCTACGCACTGGTACAACCCTAGCCCGGCTCCGGTACGTTTTCCCAGATATGAATTGTTTTAGTAGCTCATGCAAGCAACGGCGTTTTTTCTCCATGTCTTCTGCCCAGTCATAGCCGGCTCGCTCTAGGGACCGCAATCCCCTAGCCCTACCAGATCCCGAACCTAACACTGGCTTTGTGGAGGGGGATAAAAGAATTTGCGACTTTGAAGAGTTTGAGGTCGCTTGTGTGGCCATTCGATCCCGATGTTCGGGCCGTCCTGCCAGTCGCAATCGATCACCGCGAACACAGGCACTACAATGTCAAGGTCCTTGGCCAGTCTTGGGACCAAGGCTAGATTTGTGATGCTTGCCAAACTGAGACGGATCAACGGCCAGTCTAATCTTCTGAGGGCTCTTGGAAGCGGCGGTTCGTTTAAGTTTAGTCTTCTGAGCTTGATGCTCGAGCATTCAGCCCGCGGCCATTACAGCTGGACATGGCCTCTCAACCAAGAGCTTCAAAATAAAAAGGCTCATTTGCCCTACCTCCCCCATTTCTCCCGTCATACTGCTCAAGCTCAAGTGTTGATGAGGCTCTGTGATCTCGCTAGTGGGCGTAACAGCTTAGTCATGAGAGATATCCTAATTTTCGCGTTCCCTCCGATCACTCGGATGAGAGTTCCCGAGCCCAGATGACTAGAGGCATAACGCCGAGGCATGGTCTTGTGGTAATAGTTAGATGCCTCGTGAATGTCGCAAGGCAAAAGAAATGGCACTCTCCCAGATGCTGGCCATCAGAATGAGCAAGGTGAATTGGGCTCGGCAAGGCCCATCACTCACGAGAGAGAACGCAGCCAGGTTCAGTCAAGCAAGTCTATCCAATGACGGCGGAGAATTTAGTAAGCCCAGAGGTCCGCCGACAAAGAAATTTGCGCTAGACCTAATCCGGAACTGCCTCTGGTAACGAGACAACCTCAATCTTTGTCACGACAGATTGAATTCGATTTATTCTCTCGGACTCGAAAATCAGCGTCAATTCCCTACTACCGCCCCCTCCGCCCTTCCCAAGTGCATTGGCCATTCGAAAAAGCGACGAGAAACACGATTATCAGAGATGGCGTCAAAACTCTCTCCAATGCTCTTCCGCTCGGTCGCGAGAGCGGCCTGTAGGGCTCCGCGGCCACAGATGCAGTTTCGATCCTTGACGGTATCTGCCCGGAAACAGAGCGATGTCCTCATGGTGGTACGTCTTTTCAAGAGATCAATCCCCTCATTTCTAAGAGACTGGGCTGTTTTTGCGGTCAATTGATGGGTTGTTGTCGCGCCTGGCTTCCGATAGCCTCATGGGCGAGGCGATGCAGCATTGAAGCCATCCTGCGCTCAAAAGCTAGCATCATCAGCCCATCTGGCCATCCACAGAGACCTGTGAATCGAGAAAGCTAACAGTGGCTCCATCCAGCACCGAAACACCCCGAGAACAATCCCGATATTCCCTTCAAGTTCAGCGCTGAAAACGAGCCCGTTATCGATGAGATCATCAAGCGCTACCCTCCCCAGTACAAAAAGGCCGCCATCATGCCTTTGCTCGACCTCGGCCAGCGTCAGCACGGCTTCACCTCCATTAGCGTCATGAACGAAGTGGCCCGTCTCCTCGAGGTTCCTCCCATGCGCGTTTACGAGGTCGCCTCGTTCTATACCATGTATAACAGGACTCCTGTGGGCAAATTCTTTGTTCAGGCGTGCACGACGGTTTGTTTCAGCTCCTGCCCCTCACTATTTGACGCTTCTCTTTGTTGCGTCATTGACCCTGCGGCCGTGTAGAAGGGATGACTGACTGTTGTTGTACTGTAGACACCATGCCAACTCGGTGGCTGCGGAAGCGATGTTGTTGTCAAGGCTATCAAGGAACACCTCGGAATCGGAGAAGGTCAGACCACCCCCGACGGCCTCTTCACTTTCCTCGAAGTCGAGTGTCTTGGCGCCTGCGTCAACGCTCCGATGATCCAAATCAACGACGACTACTACGAGGATCTCACCCCCGAATCCGTCGTATCCCTCCTCGACTCGCTCCGCGAAAGCGCTACCGCCACCGGCTCTGGAGGCGCCTCCCCCAAGGTTCCCGCCCCCGGCCCCCTTAGCGGAAGGCAGACTTGCGAGAACAGCGCGGGACAGACGAATCTCAACTCCCAGCCTTGGGGTATCGAGACGACGCGGTCCGACCTGTAGCGCCCTCCCTCTAGTGACGGCTTCGTCTTGGGGCAAAATAAGTTTGCGTGGCGGAAGACATGAATGTTTTAAAATAAACTCTCCGGATAGTGTGACGAGGCCAGTCTCACAGCTGCCCACACCCGTTGTTAATAGTTGACCTCGGAGTGGCACTCCCGCTCCCAGGTAAAGAGTTTGTTGAAAACAAAGGAGGAACGAGGCATGGGGCTGCCCAACAAGCGGAGGCAGGAGGCGCGGGAACTTGCGACCTTCCTTGAAGAACATAACTTGTACATAAGAACTTTTTACAGTGTATTCGGAATACAAACCGGGGGTACTAGATGGTACTATTGCTTTTACTTAACCTTGCGTTCCAAAAATAATTTCTTGACTTAGGGTTCCAGATCAAGACTCTACATCATGTTATTGTTCAAATAGTCATTCATTCTGCCCTATTGTAGATTCGTAGTTGGTCCGACTGCTTCTCGCCTGTTTTCTATGCCCGAGAGAGAGAAAATTCGAGGTGAAGGAGGCAAAGGAAGACGCTGGGAGAAGCTGAAGGGAGCAAGGTGTGGGGAGGGGAAAGAAAAAGCAGCAAGCCCGTTATGCAGCCAAACAAGCAGTAGTCCAACAAGTAAGCACGAAAATGGCCCGAAAACAAAAACCCGTCAAGACACTCTGAAATTACCCCAACCTCAAGATCCAGCCATCGCCAAGACGTTGATTTCCATTTCCAATACCACCCCAGAGGAAGACAGCAGGCTCCTCGAGCTCATCGACGGCCGCAGCAGAAACCCAGCCCCGAGCCGATGGCAACTCGTCCGTGACGTCGTCGTCGTAAGGCTCAGCGGTAATCTTTGTCCACCTGCCTTCGGCTGCAGTAGATTTCCTGCTAATGACGTTGAAGACAGTATCTTTGATGGATCCGCCGTTAGGGCTTGGGATATTGAAGACCCAAGCGTCGGACAGGAAAGTGCCGGGGCTGCCGTTGCCGCTGTCACCGGGCGTTTCCTCGCCCATGAGAAGTAGCAGGTAGTCTCGTCCATGAATGTGGACTGGTAAAGAGAGGTCGCGCTTCGTGGCGCGGGCCATAGATCGGGGTCAGGGAGTCAGTCTGCGGGATAGGCGTGAGGCTTTCCCAATCACCTCTGGCGGTCACAGCGACCTCGCCCTTGGATACAGCATCGTTGAAGGAATCAGAGGCCAGTCGCAAAACGTCCACTTGGCCGCCGAGCTCCTCCCTGCCGTCAAAGCCACCGAAGCGGAAGATCTTGCCCTTGGTTACACATATAGACGAACCAGCCCTAGCGGGGCCGGGAGGACTCGGAAGCTCGCTCCAAACTCTAGAGCGCACGTCAAAGGCCCATAGGTCATTAGCTCTCTCGCCACCAGCAAGGGAACCGGCGTGGATAAAAAGGTGCCATATCCCTCGGCCTCCTCGTCAACTGCAGTTGCGGCAACGTTGCCCACAATAGGGGCTTGAGGAATTCCTACCCTTGCGCTGTCGCCCACGGCCCAGTCATGCCAAGTTTCTGACTTATCCTGGCGGACATGAGCGAAGTTTCGGGGGCGATCGACTGCTGAGCCCGAATGGGAGCTCTAGCAGAAGGAAAGCGCGCAACGGCCCCCACAGCGCCGGGCGAAGGATCAAGGAAAGACCATGTGTGGGTTCTGGTGTCAAAGACCCAGACGCGACCAGATTCTTCAAGCGGGCTCATTTCAGGTCCCCACGACCACCAAATATAAAGATCCGGCTACCAATGACGGCGCTAGCATGGCCGAGGCGGGCTGGAGGAACATCTCCTAGGTCTGAAGCTGGCTTCGCCGCCTCATTACTAGTATCAGCCTGGTCTAATGGCTCGGCTACCGCGGGGCTCCCCTCGCTGCTGCTCAAAGGAACTTCCGTGAGGCCTTTGTCGTCCGCATCGCCGCCGGGCTTTTGAAGAGTAGCGGCCTTTACGGGATAAGAATCCGCCGACGCGCTTAGGCTAAGTGGCAGGTTTACGACGTGGACGTCATTGTTTACGGCCTGGCGGGGCCTGGCCTCGCCGCCAAAGATATAAGCGGAGCCGGAGACGACATTGACGGTGTGAGAGGAGCGGGGCAGGGGAGGGAGCTCGACCTTTTCCCAGGTGCCCTTTAAAGTTGCGATTGTCGGCTTGGACGATAGGTTCGGTTGCGGGAGGGACTGGGGAATCGAGTGGAGGAGGTCGGTTGTGCGACGTTTTAGCGCTTGGAAATCCATCTTGTTGGGGCAGGTTCACGGAGGGTCGTCAAGATACCCGAAGTCTTCAATGGTTTTAATGAATGAGAAAGCTTGAGCAGAGGGATTGGGTTTTGCTTTTGAATGACGGATGGGAAGGATTGAGAGGTCTGATTCTTGGGAGCGACTTTGGATTCAAGGCGAGAAACGGGAGAAACTAAAGGGTGTGGCTGAAGCTGAATAGAATCGGGAAAGCCAATGGATTGACCTGGCTATGTCGTTTGTGCTTATTATGCCTACTCTCGTGGATATCGAGGGGAAATGGCAAACAGGAATTTGGGGAATAGGTTTATGCTACGAGGTGTTTCCTTTAGAACTAGAGGTAATACGGGACCAAACAGTGCTCAGCCGCAATCTTTTCCAAGTACGTCGACGTATTGGTAAATGGTTAAGAGGACGACCGCAGCTCGGAGGAAGCAAGTTTAGTGTCGGGGCTGGTGTGCTTCCATCATCGCTAGGCCGACCCTTCCTTCCTTGGATGGATGGTTGCATCATCATGCTGAATGGGCTGACGTCTGCCCCTCCCTCGCCCCTTCCCTCGAGGTTCCTTCCCCCACTCTCTACCCCAAAACACACCTCCCAGTCAAGCACGGTTGCTGAACCACAGTGGTTGGCCCTCACTACAGTTTGGCAGAGGGCAGGCAATGGCTCGCGCTGAAAAGCTTAGCCTCCCTTGCGTGCGCAAGCGTATTTTTGTGACTTCGCCCGTGTATTACATAATCACGGGCAAGAACAATACAGTGTTGCTTGGCTCCCCGCACCTTAAGACTCAACCTCTGGCCGTTTGTAGACCAACTTGCCACCAACCCAAGTCTCCTTGACCTGAAGATGCTGAAACTCAGCCACCTCCATCATCTCAATCGGTGCATCAAGAACGATCCAGTCTGCGAAGGCCCCTTCCTTGATAACTCCCGCCTTTCCTTCCATGAATCCGCCGTATGCCACATTGGTGGTGAAACCTTGCAAAGCTTGGTCAAGAGTCAACGCCTCTTCCATGTGCCACCCTTCGGAACTCCCCCAGCCCCGAGCCCCGTATGGGGCTGCGTCTAGTGATTGCGGAAAATATGCCTTGAAAGGGGTCGGCAGGCTCTACAGGAAAGTCACTGCCCAGGATCGGGTTCAGGTCTATGATTGACCGCATGCGATATGCTTCCGTCGCCGTCCGTTCCGGTCCTAACCTATCCTCTGCGTACTTCATGTCTGAGGTCGCGTGTGTTGGCTGAATTGAAGGAATTAAACGGAGAGTTCTCATTCTCGCTTGATCGTCAGGATGAATGATTTGAGAATGCTCGACACGGAAGCGGCCATTTGCCTGGCACTGGGCAAGCTCGGTACCATCGGGGCATATGGCTTTGAGGGACTCTTCCAGAGCATCGACAGCGTTTCGATTAGCCAGGTCTCCGATTGCGTGGATATTCACCTGGAAACCCTGTAGAGCCCACGACCTGGCTACATCCACTAATGTAGACCGGTTGACGAGAAGCGAACCGGACGTCTCGGGCCGGTCACTATAAGGGTCCAACATGGCGCTTCCCCAGCTCCCCAAAGCACCATCTAGAGACAATTTCATTAGCGAGATCAAGATGCACGGTGGAAGGGCCAGAGATCATGGGGATTTTAGTCCTTACCAGCGAAGAGCTTTACACTTCTTATGGTTAACCGACCATCGGGACGGTCAACTTTTCTGACTTTGGTAGGGCAGAAGGTGTTGCGCTCCGGGCATTCGGCCATGGAATACACCCGAACGGTCCAATCATCTTCCCCTGCCATCTCCTCAAAGACCTCAAGCGTGTCGGGGTATTCTCCCGCGTTATGCATCCCAACTAGGCCAACCTTGTTCAAACTTTGCATTGCCGTGCGAATGAACTCGCGTTTTTCTCCTTGCCAGGGGTGGGGAATAGGTCATAGATCATCTCCATGGCGTTGTCACAGAATACACCCATTCCGGGCTCTCGAATAATCTCGCCGCCAGGAACATCTTTGATATCCTTCGGAAGAAGATCTAGCACAGCCTGTGAAACCCATGTGCAGTGAACATCGACACGATCGAACATTATGTACAGATCACTCAGGCTAGAAGCACCAAGATCTTTCTATACGCCTCCGAGTCAGTACATGATCTTTAGAATAGAGCAAACAAAAGTCCCGGGTTAATGGTTAGAGTGGAGAGAACATACCGCTGTCGGCATCCTCCCGAGAGCCATCTGATCCCACCCGACACCTCTCACCCATTCATCCTTAGAACCCGCACGGGGTTCACGCTGAGATACTTTTGCAGTCGTGCCTCTACCTCTTCAAAGCTCTGGGAGCCGAAGAGGTCCACGGAGTGCAGGAACTCTCCGTACTGCATCAAATGGCCATGTCCATCCCACAGACCGGGAACAACATATCCCACTCGTACGTGCGATGGAGATGGACTCCCGCTCTCTCCACCGCTGGCCACAACGTTTTGAAACTTTCCGTCGACTACTCCAAAGCAACTTGCAACTGGCAAAGAGTCATCGTGCGTTCGGATCCCCTCATAGCAGTACACGGATTCATCGTCCGAGAGTGCCAAAAGCGGCTTTTGCAGTGTGATGAACCCCACGGCGACGGCGGCGGCACCGACGATAAGAGCGAAGAGCCAGCTGTAGAAGTGAGATTGTGCCATATCGCGGCGGTGAAGGGCCACGCCTGAAAATGAGGCGCCGAGGAGCTAAAAGGAGCGTGTTCAGACTCGAAAACAATTAAAATCCTACCATGTCATTCCCTAGCTTGTGCGGATGCTGGAAAGATGCCTGTGGGGAAAGGTCTAACGTTGCGAGGCCTGGAGGGAAGCAAAGTAATTCGCACATGGCAGGTGGTGGATTTCCGTTGTTGAGCATCAAAAGTTTGTGGTGTCGATTTGCTTGGACCGCTCTCCCTCACACCAGCTCACCAAGAATGCAAATACGAGACGAGGCAGTAAATGGTTGCACCTTTTTATTCATTTCCTTTCCTAAGAGAAATAGAGTAATTTTACTCTTTGGGTATCTAGTCATGGCCTTTTTTTTTCCTCCTCTTCTTTTTCTCTTCCCCTTGCTTCTCAGTGGCCTTTCCTGTTACAAATAAGTCGTGCCGTCGTCCCAAATCGGGCTTGAGCCATCATTATCATCTCTAGTCGTCCTTTCGGATACAATTCCCCTTGGTTCAGATTAGCCTTGAACCTCCTATACAGAATGCTTTCGGAAACATCAAATAATTTGCTATGCGGAAGAGCAAAACAAGCCAGTGTCATCCATCAAGCGTCCCGATTCTGTACTATGCTCCAAACCTTTTAGACTCACGAGAAGCTCCGTGGCGTGGCTCCCGACCCGACCTGCGACGTGGCGGAACGTATACCGTAGAGGGGAGAATCGTCAAAACCCCGGCGTCAAGATGGCCACCACTTTGGACTGGCTCGGGGGCACTGGCGCTGGCGCCGGATGAACCACCAACTTGGTCTTGAGGACGGCTACGAGCGACGACCGCGACAGGCGTAGCCACTTCAATCGAGACTTCGCCCGGGCCCTCTGTCACCTCGCGGCGGAAATCCATGAGGGGGCGATTTGCTGAAACTGCTTCTCCAGCTCCTTCAGCTCCTGTGAATTAGGAGACGGATGTTTCTTTACTGTGGCAACCTTGGAACCCCGTTGGACTCTTGGCTAGCTTCACTCAGGGAGGAAAATGGAGCTTTGGCCGGCTCAGCGGGGCCCTCTTCGTCGGACCCGAGCCTGCGTACGATGACGGTAGCGTCACTGGAGTTGCTCAGATCTTCACTATCGTCCGTAGTGCTAGGGCTGTACTCCTTGACACCCTCGTTCTTAGATGGGCCATGCATATGCTGTTTGTGGGTTTCAGTGTTAGCATTGGACGAGGCCTTGAACTGGCCTACGACTCGAGTTGCCGATGGCTCAACGTGGGGAGAGCCAAGAATCTCATCCAGGCGGAAAGCAATGCCCTTGTCAGGCTCAGTTTGATTACCAACGTTCTGCCCGGACCCATTATTCGCACCTCTGCCGATGAAGATCATCGGACGATGGTGGTCATGACTCGAGGAGACGCTGGCTCCCAATAGTTGATGGGCTTCCGGGAGCGCGCTGGCCAACCCGCTAGCCTGGGGACCTCCGCCGACCGGCTTTCGGGAAATACGATGAGTTAAACTATCGGCATTGTGGATCTTGGGTCCATCACCGGACCCCTTCTCGTTCATGGCAATACCGGCCCCGTGAGCGACGAGAGGAGCCTCTACGGAATGCGAGCTAAGGGCATCACTCCCTTTATGGAGTCGTTTATACTGGCCACGCGTAAAAAGAGCGGATATTTTAGCGGTCATCTTCGTCTTCATTACACTTAACTTCGAAGGGGCCTGGGGAGGGTGGAGGGGCCGCGTTTCTCAAGGGCCGCCGTGGCTGCAAGCATTGCGCTCACCCTTCGATTGATCTCATGAGGGTCATGGTAGGCCAAGGCAGTGGTTGTCTGGATTGAAGACTCTGGCCGAACTGGAGAAGGCAAAAAGCCGGTCCTCGACCCTACGGAAGAGCTGGGAAGTTTGGCCTCTTGGGCATCGCCTTGAGCGCCCGCGGCGGCCTTAGAAGTCGACTGAGCGCGGGAAACGGCCACTGTAGACTGCGGGTTCCCGCCCGCGTAGCTGTGCCTCGAGTTTACTGTGTGTCGTTGCTTGTGGCCGCTCAGCAATGAGCTGTCACCCGCCTCCGGGTCACCAGGATAGTAGCGGGCTCGGTTAGCACGCAGGCCATCGACATAACCTCTTCGTACAGTAGGGAATTCGTCGAGAGCTATAATCACGATGCTTAGTCGGTGGTTCCATTGAAATTCCTACCATCACCAACTTGACCTACCTAGGTCAGCAAAGAGGTCAAAATTTCCCTGAAGACGGGCTCGCTCAAGAATCTCCGTGTCAAGAGCAGCAACCTCGCCCTCGTTCAGGGTTTCCAGAGGTTCAGGGTGACTGATATCTAGCTTGTTGATGGAGCCTTTTGGACGAGTGTCTGGGAAAATTGTTAGTAACCCTAGAGATCCAGACGGGCCGATGAAGCCTGCGTCTTGACGTGTTGTGTGCCGCTTAGGCGGATATATGGACGATCACCTTACCTTTCTTAACACTGGGGGATTGCTGGTCAAGAAGCCAAGGCCAAAAGCCTTGCGAAACCGTTGACCACGCGATACGTCGTCGCTAGGAGGGCCCATGATTGTTGTCGAGATAATTGCACAGGTCAATGTTCGCCAGCAAGCGAATATCAAAGGGATGTTGATCAAGAGAAGGTCGATAATCAGAGATCTTAAACTTGATCATCGAGGAAGTGTGTGCGGAGGGAGGAGACGCGCAGATGCTATTGAAGGGAAAGAAAAACAAACCATGTGGGTTGGAGAGTAATGGGGAGGGATGGTGACGGGGACGAGGACGGGGTAGGGGACGGGGTAGGGCGCAGTAGGGTGCGTGGCCGACCCATCCACTGGAGACTGGAGAAGCCCTAAAGCTGGAAGGTCCAAGGAAGCAATCATGAATTGGAAGCAGGCTCAGGCGCCTGAGATGGTGATGTCGTGAAGTCTGGTGAGGGCGATGAGTGTGAGGCAAAGGAGGCAGAAAGCCAGGGCTTGGTGTAAGCACAACCTTTCATAAGGCTGGCTTGGAGGTAGACTGGGCGGAACAAAGCAGTGCCTAAGACTAAGGAAACTAGCTGATTCTTGTTCGATGAAAGACTTTGATATTACTCGACATGTTTGAAAGCTGAGTACGTACGGGAGAGCGAGCAGCCTCTACGATAGCCTGGGAGCGAGGACTTGGGGACGAGGGGGTAAACAATGAGGTCGCAGGGAATGCTACGGAGCCAAGATGTATAAATAACCTCACGTCCCGGTTTCATTGGACTGTCGGGGGTGCCCTTGGAGGCTGCTTCCTGCCTTGGTAACGCAAAAACGGCTTTCTGTATTTCATCTAAACATATCAAAGGTGAGATGCAGAGTTTATCTAGGCCTCGGCCATCATCGTCCCCAATCTGCAACAACTGGATACACTTCAATCAGTTAGTCAATCATATATTCCACGGGGCGTATCGAGTCGCTGGAAACACACAGGTTTTCACATGGAGATTGGACGGGGGCCATCCCAAGGTGATGAAGGAGGTTGTCTTCATCACTCTTGACCGGGTAGATTTGATCTATTGTTCGAATAAGGTTATACGTATAAGCTCAATAGGCTCGGGGCTTCGACAAAAGATGGAGGCTGGACCTCTTAGCGCCACTGTTATGGGATTCAAGCGCCACTATGCTGGATCAAATGCTTCGCTTCGTGCCTCTGAAGACCTGGCTAGGCCCACAGAGGGGACATACTGTTGAAATGGTCCATTCGACATTGACGTCCCTCCGCCTCGGGTGATTTGGCCGGGTTAAGCGGCATGTCCAGCAGACGGAGATGTCCACTGCACCTCGGTGCAGATCCATTGGGGCAAGCCTAGACTTGTCCCAGCTCCGCCGCCAGCTCCGATTTGGGATCCATACAGCACAAGGTAGCGAAGACTGTGGAGTGCAGGGATTGCACCACTGCTGATTCGTTGAAAGGGACTGTTGGTCGGCTCAATGCGGCTCCTTGAATGCCCACCCCGGAACTTGTTTGGCCGGCCCCTTTAAAACGAATTAGTGGTGGTGATATATTCTGGTATTCACCGATGAAGCTCCTCCTGGCGATTCTTGCCAGCTTGGAGTCTGTTAACAACATCTTCCTCGGTACAAGGTGGGGGTAAAGGGAAGGAAGGAGGAGAAAGCACCCCGAAAAAGAAAGAAAGATAAGAAAGAAAAACTGTCTAGAAACGGGTTGATTGCTCCATGCCTTCGAACGAAGGCACACACAATAACTACGAAAACACGATCTGATTTCAATTTCTTCCTGAAGCGGCACAGGGGTGCACGGCGGTGGGCGAGAGAGGTTGCACTTGCTGGGCTTCGCCGGGGTGATTTGGTAGGGGCCAGAGCATCTCCGAGGACCCGGCCGCCGCCGCCATTTATGTGCCAGGCATTCGGAAAGACGCCACCGAGGGGTGGTCCGATGCGCAAGGGGCTGCAGCAGTAGGATTATTAGCACTAGAACGAGCACACCCGTTCACGAAGCTGAGTCCGATGACCAAAAAAATGCAACGGTCAAGTGGAAGGGGGAGGTGAATTGGAGTGATCCACCCAGTGATACTCCAGTCGTATCATTCGCCATCTATTGTGTTTTGCAAGTATTACAATTGGGTTGGCAGAATCTGGTCAGGGACCGAAATGCCGAACCTCCAGAGCAGGTTCGAGAAGGGAGCATTGGATGGCAAGGCGTTGAACGTTAAACGCAGGGCAAAGGAGAGCAAAGCAAAGAGAGCAAATTTGAGAGCTTAAGGGGAAAGGGACCAATCAGCAGGGCACAATTTGAAAAGTTCGAACCTGGGCTGACCACAGGCTTCGAGCGACATTTTCCGCCGGTCTTTGCCGCGGTTCCCAGACTTGCCAGACTTGCCAGAGTACTTTTTCAGTTGACTTTACACGGTTGTTGATCTGGCCTCTCCGATCTCCAAGTACATATACACAAGCCGCTAGGAACAATCCGCCCTGCGGCTAAAGCGGTACGTACTCGTCCATCCCAATATCCACTCCTGCCACCATCACACTTGCCGTCGCTGCCACCGTCAGCGCTCTCCGCTCGTACTTCGTACATTGCGAAAGAAGCCCGTGGTGGCGGCATCCTGTTTTGGAAACGCCCCCGGAAATTTCGAGACGGAGAACTTTACTCACGGACTCGCTCCCACCGCAACCTCTCAATTTCTCCTTCTTCTCTTTTGTCCCAACCTGCCTCTGGTGTTTTCTTTTTATGGTTCCTTTCCCCTCACGCAAGTGTTGAACCCATTCCGCCAGCAATCGCTGCCGTTCTTGTTTTCTTTTTGTTATTGCTCTCCATCCTTGTCCCAGCACCAATTGTGTGTTGGAAAGCACTGAGCGTTTCGTTCGCAACCTCTCGCAATTTCTTGAGCCTCTTTTGCGTCCCCTTCGTTGGTGAGCGACACACCCGACTGACTTGCGTCTTTCGCCCACCGAAGAATTCTCCCGTCTTCCAACCCTCCCAATCGCTTTTGCGTACAGTTCCCGACATACCTCTAAGACAATGTCCTTTTCCAGCTTGATGCAAGATCTGAGTTTGAGGGAGTCTGGTGTCCCCTCTAGCCGGCGCCCCGTGACCGACGCTGCCTCCTCCATCATGGATGACCGGGCCTCCAACATCTCTCGTGCCTCCAACATATCCCGCGCTTCCAACATCTCCAGGGCCATGTCATACGCTAGCACTGCGGCCACCACCGTGAGCATCTCGGGCGAGATCTCGAGCCAGCTCCACGGCGGCTACCATCACCCTCTTGCGCGTCAATGGCAGGCCGAGCGCCAGCTCACCAAGGTTGGTCAAACCAAACTCCTGAAAATCGCCCTCTCCAAGAGGCAAAAGCCTGACCGACCTTGACTAACTCGCTATCGCAGGATATGCTTATCTACCCACTCTTCGTCTCCGATATCGATGATGAGGAGGTGATTGTTCCTTCGCTCCCGAACCAATACCGCCGAGGCATCAACCGCATCGTGCCATTTCTCGAGCCCCTCATTCACAAAGGCCTAAAGTCGGTCATACTCTTTGGTGTTCCTATGAAACCTGGAAGCAAGGACGCTCTAGGCACTTCTGCGGACGACCCGGAGGGTCCCGTCATCAAGTCCATTCGGTTGCTTCGCCAGCGTTTCCCTCAACTCTTTATCTGCACCGACGTTTGCCTGTGCGAATATACCTCCCACGGACATTGCGGTATTCTCCGGGAAGATGGCACTCTCAACAACCAGCTTTCCGTTGACCGAATCTCGGACGTAGCCTTGGCTTATGCGGCCGCTGGGGCACACTGCGTTGCCCCATCCGACATGAACGACGGGCGCATCCGAGCCATTAAGCTCAAGCTTATCGAACAGGGAATCTCGCACAAGACTTTGCTCATGTCTTACTCGGCCAAGTTCTCTGGCTGCCTCTACGGCCCCTTCCGCGACGCGGCTGGCTCGTGCCCCTCTTTCGGAGACAGGAGGTGCTACCAGTTCCCTCCCAGCGGCCGCGGCCTTGCTCGCCGGGCCATCATCAGGGATATCAACGAAGGCGCCGACATCATCATGGTCAAGCCTGCTGGCCAGTACCTAGACGTCATTAGCGACGCCAAGGAGTTGGGCAAGGACTTGCCCATTGCTGCGTACCAGGTCAGCGGCGAGTTCGCCATGATCCATGCTGGCGCCAAGGCTGGCGTCTTTGACCTCAAGGCTATGGCCTTTGAGTCCTCGGAGAGCATTCTCCGAGCCGGAGCCACCATCATTGTCAGCTACTTTACTCCCGAGTTCCTCGACTGGTTGTAAAGAGGTTGACTATAATTAGTCCAAAGCGGGGAAGTCCTTTGGCGGTTTGGGACGAACAATGATGAATGATGGTCCTTTTTTTCCCTTACGTTTTGCTTTGTTTCATATCTTTCCTCTTCCTCTTATATCCATCTCCTAACCCTCTCTTCTATTCTTTTTCATGATTTCGCATCGGGTCGGACAAGGCGTTTCAATGGGGCTTTAGAGAGACGGGTGGTGGAGACTATGTTTACGAAAACAAAATTTTGGCACTGGGTCACAGCATCTCTCCTTGATGATAGGAAATATATAGTCAAAGACACTACTTGTACGAATAGCATTTGTTGTTGCCATGAAAAATACCAAATAATTGTTGACGCCCCTCATGCTTTGCGAAACCAGGTCTTTCGCATTGTGCGCAATCGGAGCCAAGTTGCTACTCATCGTTTCAATGTAACATCATTGTTTACTGGAGGCATCTATCTACGGGTGTAGACCGCCTTTCTTGACCCTCCAGTCTCCTCTAATACAACATAGTCTCCAGCGTGCTAAATGCGACGGTTCTTCCGGAGAACGGGCAGGGAGAGTGGCGGATTGACCCCTCTTCCCCCAACGAAACGCAAGTCAGGATCTACCCCGCGCTTTCCACTGTCTCAATCGGGTCCATCGGGGAGCTGTGATTTGATTAAGCGAGGTTCAGGCGGGACATAGGGTTGAGCTTGGGTCAGAACTGCGATATCATGTTCAAATTGCGCATTCTGATTATTGAACCTTCTTTTCTTCTTCTTCTCTCTTTTCTTGCAGGCCTTGTTTTTCTTCCGTGACTTGCTTATATTTGGAAAATAACCATTGAGTATGCTCCTGTCGGAGTGCGTGTATACTTGTGAGCTGCGAAGTGGTCGAGAGATCCATGTCGATGCGCCCGTACAAGGTACAGCCACTGAACGAGTAAAATCCAAGGATGGCTATTGCTGAATGCTACTTGTAGAGAAAGAGGGGTTCATAATTATGGGTAATCCCACCCGGTGTCTCTTTTTGATATGCTTCGGACGTTGACGGCCCTCTGCGCGCAAAGGTGTACGTACTTCAGCGCTTGAAAACGAGCGTTGCATGCGCGTTAACGCGGCTCCTCGGTCTCGGATTGGAGAGACGCACCAGGGGGGTTATATCTCCCCGATCATATAATAGCCATGGGGTTCGCAACTGATGGCAATGTCCATCGTTAACTGTCAGAATGGACGTCAATAGAAGCGCATGGACGGTTGACACGAACTGATTGATCAATGATGGGTCAATCAACTGCTGATCGATGACGGAGCACTAATATTCTGCCTCTAGTGACAATAGAATGGATATTGGTTCTACAACCATCATCTTGCACAGCACCTGGAATGGAACAATTGATACCGTATGGCAGCTAGTGGGCCCCTAGCCCCATGAAAACCGCCGCGCCTGATATCGGACAGAACCCTTCAATGTTCTCAAGACAACCATTAACCTTGATGGTACATCTATGGATGCATGTGCAGATCCGCCATTGCAACCTCGACCGTATTCAAGTTTAGGCCAAGCCAAACAGTTCTCTCGCTGACTCGCCCTCGTCGAGGACGCCACAGCTTGCATGCCCCGTCCAGGCCTGAAGAACTCTCTCTGCATGGAGACGAGGTATCCTATCCCCCTCTCCGGAATAATTTGAGTCGTTTTGTGGACACCGCACGTGGTGTGTCTGAACGGGAGCTGGCATTGAACCCTTAAGCTGGCTCTGCGCTGCGGCTCCAACGAGCACACGTAATCAGCACAATGTCATCAGGACTTTGTATTAGCTCAGCTTCCGCGATCATGCTTGAGGGCAAATAGCTTGACCAGGTACAAGCAGCAGCTGAATCGGTCAAGTAACGATACATCCACTATGGAATGGATGGATGTAGTCAGAAGAACAAACTATAATCAACCGCCGCAACAGGGCACATAGGCACGCGACCACACACAAAAATCAATCAATTTTTGTGTAAACTCGCAACTGCGGGCCGTCTTGTGTTGGCTTGTGACAACTGTAAATAGCTGACATCGCTATGATGAGACGAAACTTCTTTCATTTGTTGCTTCATCCCACTTGTTGACTATTCTCGTCGTCTCCCCTTCTCCAGCGTGGTCTAGTGAGCGCTAGCTTCATTGCTTGCTGGCTTTCTTGCAAAACGTCGGACGGTTGGGGGCAAACTTGAAGAGATCGTGCCCGCGGTACCTTCGAGACCATCGGGAATCACCCCACGGAAAGCAACAATCTCAACTCTAGGCAATCCTAGTGTCAATTCGGTCAGCGAAAGGGCAAGAGGCGCCAGTGAACTTCGGATGTGCCGCACTGGGTTGTACGGAGTTCGCCGTTTCTTTGGCGGGTCTCTGAATGGGGGACGTGCCGTGTAATGGCATGCTCAAGAAGCACTCTTGGTGCTACCCCGCTCTCCTGAAGAAATCAGATTGATTGAACCCCCCTCCAAGCCCCTCTGTCCGGCCCCTCTGCCCAGTCACGGAAGCCTGGTGGCGTCGCAGCGAATGTGAAAGTGTCGCCAACCGAGTCCAGCTCCATCCACGCTAGAACAAACATCGGACGCTCACCTCGTGCTCACGCTCTTCATACCTGGCGATGGATGGGCATTATTAGGATCACCAGCGAGGTTCGATGTTTTTGTGCTGAGAAGCCCCCAGACCTACACTTCACCTGGTTGTTGGAGCCGCCTCCTTTACTTTCTCACCTCCCTCTTCCCCTTTTCTTAAGTCTCCTTTCTCCTTATACTTGTATATTGGTGAGAGCCAAGGGAGCTGCCGCGCGGAATGTAAAAGCATAAATCCAGCCCTTCGCTCCCCACCCTTGGGGCAACATGAGGATGCTGACCCTGGAGAAACCGTCATTTTCGGAACGGAAAAGTCGGTGCTCCCGTGATGGGGCTTGTGATGCCCCTCTGCGCGATCCTCTGCGCAAATGTCGAAAGCAGGGGAGCTTGCGCCTGATCAACGAGGAACCATCGTGTCCTGTGCAACACTACCTGCGATGCACAAAGGAGAAGGAGGGGGCTATTTCTCAGGCGCTGGTGAGCTCAACCAGCATCTGATAATCTAGACGCCTTGCGGCCTTTGTCCTTCTTGGATAAGAACGTATCAGGGGTTTTGTGATATAGATGCTTGTGCCTATGCTCTCTCGCCTTTGACAGCCCGAGCTGCCTTTCCTTATCCCTCAGGCATACTTCGCAAGCTCAAGATATTTCGCTTGGATCCGTAAATGAACACGCTTAGGCTTTCGTCAAATTTTGCACTGTCGCCACCGCGTTCATCTTGCCGTCGACACCTCATTTGTCTATCGGTCAACCACCGGCACTCTGACGGGAGGCGAAGAGCACCCCAACCAAGACCGGCCACGCCTCACCCATTCGGTTTCCTGGCCATCGTTACCCCCTTTCTTTCTCGTCCCTACTCCCCACCTGTCCTCGTAACTCGTCGAGATGAGGGATTGAGAGCATGGGTGTGAAGAGGGAAAGCGGGGAGGCAGAACGTTGGCGGGTAACTCTTTAGAGGCTCACGGAGGACCAGTGCCGCTGATTTGCTGTACAAGAGCCTCAACACCAACGAAAATTCAAGCAGAGTGTGCAGCCCTCCCTCCGACCCTCTAACCAGGTGCCCAGCTTTGGAAAATACATGTAGAGGTTGTAAAAATAGACGAGGTAAAAATGAAGAAAAGAAGAAAAACAAACGAAAAAGGAATTTCGAAATTTCCAAAGCCGGGGAGCTAGTGGAAGGCTCTGCGCTGGTCACCCAGGCTTGCCAGGCTTGCCTTTGCCAGGCACCAAAGGACCGACTCTGCTGTGGCCGTGACTGATGGATTGCTTTGTGCTGTGCACCTTCCCGCCCACGAAGCTGAGCTGGAGCCTTGATCCAGTGCAAGTAGATCTGTGAACTATCAATTACCACATCAATAATAATACCTAATCGATTGAAGAGCAGAGCAAGGCGCGACTTTCGCCAGGCCCCTCCCACAATTCCCCCAATCCACCAAACCCCTCCATCGATCCATTCCCCCTTCCCCTCCCCCTCCATCACTCAAAACCCATTCCCACTGCTCACTAACCCGCCCTGCCCATCTCAACCCACCACTACCTTGGGCTACTGAAAATTTTCCCTCCAAGACGCCGCTTCAGCCTTGGGACGTATAGTCACGCCTCCTTCACCTGCCCACCTACCCCTCCTCGAAATCTTCTTCGCCCACCCAACCTTGGACGATAAACCCAGAGTGGTAGCCATTGCTGCCGCGTTTCAATCCCGTCCACTATGGGTCAAACCCTTTCCGAGCCCGTTGTCGAGAAGGTATGTCGTTTCTTGGCTTGCCAATCAATTGAGCCCCGCGTCGCCGTCACGCTTTGTCCCGCCCTCACGAGATCGCCCTCTTCCACTTGACTTGTCTCCGCTGTCTCCTCACGGCATCCTGGCTTTTGCGTGGCCCAAGAGTCCATCGCGCCGAAATCGCCTTGCTCCGCCTTTCCGCTTCGTCTAGAATGCTTTTCCTCGCCGTCCCTTGTCCTTCACCCCCGTCAACTCTACCCCTCCGTCGCTTCTGTTGCCCCGCCTCATGCTCATGATCGTCGCCCGTGATGACCGTCGGAACGCCGGCCTTGCCAGTTTGGACAGTGATTAGAGGGATATACTCCATGGTCTGAGATTGGGCACTCGCTGACTCGTTTTGCGCTTGGTTTTCCCCATCATCTAGGCTTCGGCTCACGGCGAAGATGACCGCCTCCTCTACGGTGTTTCCGCCATGCAAGGCTGGAGAATCAGCATGGAGGATGCCCACACAACCGTTCTCGACCTCCTAGCCGGCGCTAGCAGCAGCGACACCAAGGCGCACCCTTCCAGGCTCTCCTTTTTCGGAGTTTTTGATGGACACGGCGGTGACAAGGTGGCGTTGTTTGCTGGCGAGAACATCCACAAGATCGTCGCCAAGCAGGAGGCCTTCAAGTCTGGGAACTATGAACAGGCGCTGAAAGACGGATTTCTCGCCACTGATCGAGCCATCTTGAATGGTATGACATCTTCCCAAGCTTCCCCGGCCCATTTCGCGCGTCTTGCCTCCGCTGTAGCTTGTATATGGTGCCCGCGGAGGTCTTCGTGCTGAAATTATCCAACGGAATCATCCCTTGCTATCATCTCCGATCCGGCCTATTCTACCTCGTCCCCCATTTCCTTTGCTATCTCCGAGACTTTTTCTAACATCCCCACCCTTTAATGCAGATCCCAAATATGAAGATGAGGTTTCCGGCTGTACCGCCTGCGTGGGCTTGATCACCGACGACAAAGTTTATATTGTTAGTTTATTCCCAGCCGAAGCAGTTAACATAATCCGCTTCGGACACTTCATACCCTAGCGGTGATCACCTCAGCTGATATGTATATGCGGTAGGCCAACGCCGGCGACTCCCGCGGTGTGATTGGTATCAAGGGCCGAGCGAAGCCCCTGTCCCAAGATCATAAACCTCAGCTCGAAGGTACGCTCTTCAGGCCCTCTCCTCCCTACCCCGTCCAGCCCCATACCATGTATCTCTTCCCGTTGGTGTTGTACCTATAAAGCCTCCTCGTGTGCCGCCCTCTAACCGCATGCTTGCCACTAACCTCTTTTTCGCTCGTCCGCGTCTACACAAATATAGCCGAAAAGAACCGTATCACCGCCGCTGGTGGCTTTGTCGATTTCGGCCGAGTAAACGGAAACCTTGCCCTTTCCCGTGCAATCGGAGATTTCGAATTCAAGAAGAGCGCCGAGCTCCCTCCCGAGGCCCAGATTGTCACCGCGTTCCCAGATGTCGAAATCCACGACTTCACTGATGACGACGAGTTCCTCGTTCTTGCTTGCGACGGTATGTGAAAACAATCATGCCATGTGATGTGATGGCGGCGGGTCTGGATCGAAGAAAGCTTGGTACTAACGACATATGTTGGCTGGTAGGCATCTGGGATTGTCAATCTTCTCAGGCGGTTGTCGAATTTGTTCGTCGCGGCATTGCCGCGAAGCAGGATCTCGACAAGATCTGTGAAAACATGATGGACAACTGTCTGGCGTCCAACTCGGATACTGGCGGCGTTGGCTGCGATAACATGACCATGACTATCATTGGTTTCCTCAGGGGTCGCACCAAGGAGGAGTGGTATGAGGAGATTGCCCGCCGGGTAGCGAATGGAGACGGACCTTGCGCTCCTCCTGAATATGGTACGAATGACCCTGAGGAGACGGCCTGAACGTGCCTATCCCTTGTTTTTGCTTTCTTTCTTTCCCACTATTTTCTGGGGCCGGGCCCATCCTTTCAACCCCCTCCTTTACTTTGCCATATGCCCTCCCTTCGTTACCGGCGTTCTGTCTGCGTTTAGAGAATGGGTTATTATTGCGGGGTTTCCATGTCCGTACTAGCTCAAGGGAGGCTTGAAGTGGGTTGCTGCTATGCGAAAGAGGACACGCTTGGCTAATCGATGATATTTTCTTCTTTCTGTTTCCAGCCGAATTCCGAGGTCCTGGTGTTCATCACAACTTTGACGACAGTGACAGCGGCTACGATAACACGGAGCTGGAGCAGCGCAGCCGGTCCCTTGGCCTCGCCGGCTATCAAGGCCGCGTCATCTTCCTTGGTGACGGCACCGAGGTCCACACCAACCCCTCAGACGACGCTGATATGGTAGACCAGACGGAGGAGGATAAGGATCTAGTAAGCCAGGTTACCAAGAGCGACAAGAAGGAGGAGGTCGTAACCGATGCCAAGGAGTTGGCCGATAACGCAAAGGCGGAAACTGAGCAAACCAAGGCGGATGATGTCAAGAAGGACTAGAGGAGTGGGAGGAGTAGCAAAAGGGGAAAGAGAACCACTTTCCAGCTTTTGTTACCATCTTTATCCCTCACCCTCCCTCTTCACCTTCGAACCCCCCTCCCACCCCCATTTTTCTCTTTTTAACGTACCAAGCAAACTCGTGTCATTTTCTTTTTCCATGGAAAGGTGCTGCGGAGGCATGTTGCGGTTATGAGGTCTTGCGATTTTAACTATTTCCCCCAGCCCGCCTCCTTATGAAACGTCGTGCGGTCCCTTATATACATGTGTTTTGACTACGTGGATATTTTGCCCAGCAATGTGCATATCCATTTGCCATGCGACAGACTGAGCGGCCATTCCCTCATTCCCATAATCCTCTTCGTCGTATCGTGGAGCCACTTCCAAGGTCTCCGGCCGATCCCAGTTCTCGCTCGACTCCATCTCCTCGTGCATCAAGAAAACGGATGTAGAAACGCATAGCCACAGTCCTACCGGGAAGATTGGCAAACAGGCAGCGGGACGCAAGGTGGACAGGGCGGAGGCGATGAGGTTTCATTAGGGAGTCACTCAAGTCGGGAGACCCTTGGACCTCGACTAGGGATGGAGAGGGAAAAAGAGAGAGAAAAGAATAAGGGAGGACGGGTATTATTGAACTACACTTTCACGTCTTCTCTTTCGTCTTCGTTATACTATACATGGGAGACAATCCTCGAAACAGTAGATAAACCAACAGGGTGGGTAGGCAGGTGGGGGTTTAAAAAAACACAAAGAAAGGACAAAACTCCCGAGCCAGCCTCGTCTATATCCCTCAGTCTCCGTTTATTCACAGAGATCCGGTACTCCCAACGCTGCTACTACTACTACTCTCGGCCGGTCGAGCTTCGGGTTCCGAGGGTTCGGATGCTTCCTTCACCCACTCCGGGACGTCTTCATCATCAAACTCTTCCTCCTCCGTGGTTGCCGGCGGGTTTGTGGCGTTGGACGCTGTCGGATCCGGCCGCTTGAGGGGGTTTCCTGATTGTGAGCTTGCAGGGTAGGCTGGGATTGGTGAGACATGATGAGGACGCGGCTGGGCGAGAATCGAACGTAGGGGTAGTTTCGTGGGTTGCGGAACCACTCGTCCGGGTGGTTGTGGAAGATGGCGGCCGTGGTTAGCCGTATCGTGACCTTTCGGGTCTTGCCTTCTCTGCCGCCTTTGACGGGAATCTCCAGCGTCTTGTCGCGGACAGAGTCACTGATTGATAGTACATGGGAACCGGGCTGGCCAGAGTATTCGTCGCACAGGGCCATGAGCTGTTTGTCGTAGGCCCAGGCCTTCTTGATCATTTCTGAAAGCGGGATGATTGGGTTATAGCCGTGCCAAACGGTCCGGATGAGCTTCGAAATCACCGCCCCCTTGTGCTCCTTTTGCTCGGGATGGGTGGCAAGCTCCTCGTTGAAGGAGTTTCTAATCTCCAAGGGCACGTAGGCGGGCATTCCAAAGTAACCCAAGAGTCGTTCCGTCTTGGCTTTTTAAGATTGGGAGACATGTGGTAGCCCCGCGAATTCAATTGCCGAGAGACTCTGAATCTCGTGGCGAACGAGGTGGTTTCTTGGAGGCAGTCATATGCCCACAATACGGCCATGACGTTGGGAAGCCCACAGTTCCATGCAATCGTGGAAAGGTCTCGGGTGAAGTGGTGGGACTTGTTGCACCATGGCAGCTTCTCGATCCTTTCCAAGAGGGACAACGCCCCGGGGAAATCATTAGTTACACGCATGGTGGTAAGCATCGTTATAAAGGTCGTCGTGGTGGGGAGCTTCCTGTACTCGGTTTCGAAGTGGTCGAGGAGCTCGAAGCACATATCGGAGCGTCCAAAGTGGCCGCACACGTTGAGCATCCTGTTGAGGGCTGTGACGGAGGGCCAGGTCGGGCCATACGCCTCATCCATTTGCTTGCAGAACTCTTTGACGGTCTTGCCCCCTTCAACCGCGCGGTGCATATCGAAGCCGACGAGGTCCCTGACCATGTCGTTGACGGCGTGAGGGTTTTGGAGGAGGCCGAGGCTGTCCATGGACCTCACAATATCCCGCTTCGCCTGCTCGTCCGACACCATTTGTAGGAAGAAACGCCAGGTCGAATAATTGGGAACACAGCCGTAGCCGTCCATGAAGTTAAGCATTTGGTTGAAGTTGTTCAAGTCTCGGACCTTGGCAGATCCATAGAGGAACTTGTTGAAGACGTCGACGTCGACGGGCAGCTTTCGAATTTGCAGCTGGGTAAAAGGCGGCGCGCGTGCGGCCTAAAGGCAAGGCCCCGTTCTTCCATGAACTCCAACGCTAGCTTGAAGGCCGACACAGTCACGGCATCGGCGGCGGACCGGTCTCGGAACGCCTCATGGATGAGAACCATGACGACTTCGTCGGTCGCTTGAGGGGTGCCGTAGAATTCGATGGCCCGGTGGGGTCGTAGTTTGACGAGGGTGAGGGTGCGGATATATTGGAAGAAGGAGAACTGGTCCCAGGTTCGGGGTTTCGGAAGATCCTCGAGGCGGTGGTTCCAGAAGTAAGGGGATTTCCTGTCCTTCATTAGTGAGCGGGGCTGGTGTGTGATTTTGCTGGCGATGCATATTTCTTTCGCCAAAACGGGATCGCCGCGGAGGAGGGAGGCGTCCGGGTTCGAGGGATCGGGTGCGAAGACCTGGGCGTCCTCGCAGACGTCGAGGATGATGTGCGTCGCGTCGTTGACGGCCACATCGTCACCGGACAGGAGGACGGCCGAGCGGCCGTCGCCCTCCATGCCCTTGTACAGTTCAATCTCGCAGCCGGTACGACCGTGTATATCCCATATATTGTTATCAAGGTTAGTGGTGAGGGTCTTGATGTACTCGGTAGGCACGACGATTTTGAGCGCGTGCTTCGTCCACGGGCGGTTTCGCTTCGGCGTCCGCTTCTCCAGCAGCCGCAGGGTATCGGTCCACGAGGGCATGGCGAGCCCCTGAGCCTTCAGGTGTTCTTCCTGCATGATCTGGGAGGTGACGCTCCGATGCACGGCGGCCTCGTTGCGCATCCGCGCCCTTGAAGTCGGGTAGGACAGCAGGGGCTTCACCAGCTCGGGGTTCTTGGGGACGCGGAGCGACTTGTTGGCGATGGGCTTCAGGTTCGGGACCTTGTCCCATGTGTTTGCCGCGCGCCTAGATGATGGAGCCTGCGCCGCGCCGGGCAGTCCGCTGATGCATCTGAAGCTCCGTGGTACGGCTGCGCACCGGGAGCATAAGGAGGGCGGCATGGGAGGCCGCGCCACGGTCCCGAGGGCCCCGAGACGGTGCCTCCATTGTGCCTCAATTCCCCGTAGCATAGGCTAGACTCATCGCATGCTTGACACTGCGACGAGTAGGGTATCCGAGGGCGAAGAGGGATAATGGGGTGGCGGTGGAGCTGAAGCGGGCGAGGGTAGGCGTTGGGAAAATGCGGATGGTGATAGGTGTCGATGATGGAGTGTGGCAGATGTCGTCCCTACAGACATGGAAATTTCGACGGAAGGAAAAAAAAGTCATAGGTTGCTCTGATTGGTTGTTGCGGAGACACAGCTGGTCGCTCTTCAACGAACTGAAATGATGACTAACATCAACCAACCTTCTCCAAGTCACCCGTGACCAAGCTTGTGGTCACGTGTCTATCTGAAGCTCCCGGCGGCATGGCCCTGGGACAGTATAATCGTAGACGTCTTTGCCGACCCTGCTTGCACCCGGGCCCATATAGAGGGCCTTCTCCTTTATCTATGATGAATACATCGTAAGGCTGATCGATGCGCGTTGAATTAGTGGTAATACAGAGGATATCATCGTATCAGGTATACGTATACATAAAAATTACATTCCCCTCCTCATATCCTCCCTCCCTTCGCCCTCCCATCCTTATGCGTATATGCGTACATGCCGAGTATACAATTCATCCTTGGTCAAAAATGCAATCCCCTCCACCCCTTGCGTGTTGTGTTCCTACGAAGGCCCGGCTTCGTCCTGCTGAGATGGCCGGTTCCGGGGCCCGGCGGGGCCAGCAGGGCCGCTCTGATCAACGCCTTCCCATTTCTCTCCCCATCCCTTGGATGGTCGGACACCGTTGGCGGTTTCCCCTTTTCCACCATGCCCTTGATATCACTCCAGTAGGCTAGTTTCCTAACCTCTTCGTCGGCGTGCTTGACGGCGATTTCGAGGCTCGCCTTTCGTTCCTGCAGCTCCGGGGTGGCCTCTTTCTCGAGCTCTTGCGTCGTGTGGTCCAGAGCAGAGGATATGTTGGAAAGGAGCAGCTTCCGGGACGCCTGAAACACGAAAATAACCATAATCTCGTGCATATGGGGGCCCAGGTTGTGGAGATCGCCGCTTCCATGCTCCAGGTAGTTTCCGACGGCCTCGAGCTTCTCGCGGTCGATTCTCGCCTTTCGTAAAACATGCAGTAGCGTGTCCATGTCGGCGATGCGGTCGTGGACGGGGTCAAAGACGGATTCGGCATCCGAGCGCTGGCTGCTGAAGCTCAGCCTTGCACTTGCGACCCCGGTGCTGCTTCCGCGGCTCCTCGAGCGGGAATGGCTCTGCCTCGAGCTGCTCGGGGAGACGACTGTGAAGTAATCTGTGCTCAAAAGGTGGGGATCGGTCGCGGTCGCGAGGAGACACTCGGGGTCCTTCTTGACGCGCTTACGAATCCAGGCTCGCCTTCGTACAAAGGAATTCCACCAGTGAGGGCCGTGCCATGAAAACCTTTTGGAAAACATGAAAGAGTACTCCCACCCGCCTTCGTCGACATCGTGGTGGTGGTGGATACGCCATTCTGGCCACGCCCACTCCCAAGTTGGGTCTGGCAGCTGGGTCGTCTGAGGATCGGTAGGGCTCGTCTTGTGGAAAGAGTTCGTCCACGGAGGCGGGTCAAGATTGCCCAGAGCCTTGGAAGAAAACAGGGTAACTCCGCACAAGATCCCACCGCGTTCATTTTCGTACAGAATGTCGACGACATCATCACCTTCGCGTGTTGGGGCTTTTGACAGCTTTTTTCTGCTTTTTGTTGTAGTCGTCTTGACGACGGAGGGAGTCGCGTCTAGAATTAGGGAAGGAAGCCCCGGGTGGTTAGAGATAGTTCACAGCCAGACTCGCTGTCGTCTCGCAACTCACCAAGTATCTCGATGGAGGGGCCGCGGCCATGACCTCGGCCTTCCCTTCCTGCCTGCTCAGCACTGCCGCTCGTCGGCTGGGTCCCGTCTCCGGTGGGGGATGCGTTGCCAGACTCCGCTGACGAGCCCGGGGACACATTGGTATCCTGCGGCTGGGTGGAGGGTTCCCCGCGACTTGCCCCTACAGACACGTTGGATTTCGAACTATCGTTGACAAGGATATCTGGCGCGCCATCGTCATCAACGAGGGCAATCTCATGGTCATAATCGGTCTCCTTCAAGCCAGACACCCGACGCGAGGTCCGCACGCGAGGCATTGCTAGTGCGCCTACCACCAATGTTGCGCAGCATGAAGCATGTAAGGCCTAAAGGTAATAGCGAGATGAGACCAAAAGGTAGCGGCAGACGATGATTTAGAAGGGGCAGGTTGAGCTTGCCCAGCCAAGGGGGCGATTACGAGCACACTGGAATGATAGACAATGGTAACCCGAGGAGCTCGGAGGGGATGAAGGGATGGAACACAAGCCAAGGTGTGGCCCTCCAACGGGCAAAGGGCGGCGGGGTCTTGCAGAAGGTGACAAGGAGAAGGCCCGGGGGAGAAAAGGCAAGGAGACAAAGGGAGGGAGAGTGGGATTATGGATAAATTCCCGTCCTGTAGGGCTGATAGGAATGTGGATTCTTCGAGGCACCCGAGGTTTTCAGAGGTTCAATGGGCCGGCTTAGTATTACAGGAGGAGTCAGAGAGAGATCGATTAGGACGTCGGTTGCTGGCAGGGATCAGGGATGATTGTACAATGGAGATGGAGAGGTGGGAAAGGACTCGGAGGCCTGTGACGTCGACGGGAATGGGCTTAGATGGGTCAAGCTGGCACTGGCCAGCTTGATCGACGCAAGATCAATTTGAACGAGCCGGTGCAGCTGTTGAGACTGCTGGGTTGATCAATTTGACCTACACCTGCACCTGCACCTGAAATGAACTTGGGCCAGCAACTGGGGCTGATGCACGCTAGCGGGGCACTGTGCAGTACTGAAATTGATAATGAAATTGATCGCCAAGGACTCGATCCGACAAGTAGCTTGAGCAGCCTGGATCCATCGATCCATCCACCATTGGATGGACATGGCACGCTGAATGATCGACCACATGTGCCTGGGCACCTTGTCCCGCTTGAAGTTTAAAAGACATCCATTCGCTTGGAGGTGTGGCCGGCGTATTATCAAATGTCTCAATTGGTCACTGAATCCCGCAGCATTGATGGATCCAATGGATATGTTGCAATTCGTGGGCGAGAGCTTAAGATGGAGAGCATGCAGCAGCACAAGGCTCAGAAAACCACCATCAATCAATGAACAAGAAGAAGAAAGAGCTGGTGGGTATTTCAGTCCATCTGAAGGTATGGCCGTTTTCGCAAACGGCCAAGGCCTTGAGTACATGTCAGCAAAAGAGGTCAATAAATTGTTCAAGTGAAGGTTGACGTTCATCAATTAGATCTAGTATCAACTAGAACGTGCACTCACTGTGCACTCACTGGTGCGTCGATGCTGGAGCTTGTGTGGGTTACTGCGGATCTCTCCATGTCAAAGGAGACTGTAATCCTGGGTGACAATGCAAAGCATTCTCGATGAGCAGATCAGGACGACCATCGCATTGTCAACACGCTAATCCCACACGACCAAGCCTCGTACTAATGATACAATAGATGTACCATGGCAAGCTTGCGTGTCGAAGACTCTACAACCCCCGAGCTGGGCTGGCCATTCCGCCCAGTATGTCTCCGTCTAGCCATTCCCTGGACGAAGTATATAGCATTGATGTGCCCTTTTGGTTCCTTACTCTGCTCGGCGCAGGTGGGCAGTCTTCTTGTCCTTTGACGATAACGCAGGAAACATTGAAGACCTTGGGCGCTCAAAGTCGTGAACGTGGTCCACGACATTGATCAAGAACAGGACCCGTTTAGCGCCGCCTCTCTGTAGCTTTTGCGGGGACCACCAGTTGACGGCACCTTCAGAATGATGTCATCGGCGGCGCCTCGTTTTCCATGCAAAGCTCATGGGGCATATCCCACGCTATGAATCACCTTCGTGAAGAGCTCGCCAGCGAGTTATGGTCTCCGGTGCGCAAGGACAGCCCGTTTTTAAAGGTGCAAATTAAGCAGATTTTTTCCGTTTTCATGTGAAGCAGAGGAGGCAGAGCATACACTGCCAGCGCGTGTCGGAATAATATGAGGGCTACCGCCTCGAGAATGGGTACCAAAGGGCTGCATCAAATATTTTTGCTGATGATAATGGATTTCATTTTGTCCTTCTCCCATTTGATCAAGGCTAGGCAAAGCCAGGTGGGTTTCCTAGTTCCCCATACGCCAAACCATGCCCTGCCGCCCATGTCCCGTTTGGCAAAAACCAATCTTCGACTGTGAGAAGCTTTACGTCATGTCTTGGTCTTGGAGGAGGGTTGCGTCCCCGCCGGCCAGCAATTGGATCAAAGCAACGAGCAAGGGTAGTGGAAAGACGCGGGCAAAAGCTCCCTCGCAGAACGGAAAAAGAAAAACCAACTTTAAAGGTGCGATTGGTGACATCAGATCATCCCGGACACGCGGGGCGGCACTGTACAGGCAAGACTGGACTGCAATATCCAGCATCATCGTCAGAGGGTCCGCCGTGCCCCGTTCGGCCATCACCCGTTTCGCAGGTTGTCACGTACCAAGTCTGCGTCTGATGGAAAATGAACAATCCATGTACCGTCCTCAGACTGATGGCTGGGTGATACCCTCTGCACGCTCACTCGGCTTTGCTGGCTGGCAGCCCAGTTTCCCCTCCCATCACGAAAGAAATCCCCATTGGAACTGGGTTTGTAGATCAATGCTGCATGGTTACGAGGAGAGAGATCCATATTTGTCCGTGTATATATGGCAAGACCACCCCCTCCTTCTTCCACATCACCATCATTGTACTCAACTACCCGCCACTATTCCCAGACAGCTTGCCAACATCCTCCTTCATAACCACTTCACTCTCACATACTCCGTGCAATACTTGCTACTACAACCTCATCCACCCAACATGTCGCGATCTAAGCTTCCCACCTTCCTCGCCCTCACCACCGCCGGTGGTATTGGCTACTACCTCTACCAGGCCGGAGGCAACCCCAAGCTTGCCAAGCAGAAAATCAAGCGTTCGTGTACCTAATTCATTTGTTTTTTTTTCTTTTTCGCCGACCTGCCTCCCGTTCGTCGCACCTTGCGCGGCGCATGATGGAATTGAAAAACAGAGTCAAAAGTGTCTGAGCATGATCCCGCTAACGCCACATCAATCACAGATGACGCTTCCACCCACCTTCCTGGCGGACACCCCAGGCCCACGGCTGCCACTGAGGTCGGAAGCAAGATTGACGATGCTGTACGTTGAACCCGATTCTCACCACTTTGTTTCTCTCTTTTCTTTTCTGTTTCTCTTTCTTTTCATTTTGGGGCTTTGATCTGCCTCTCTCCCTGCCATAAGCACCTCATGCTTTCGAGCTAAGAGCTCCGGTCGAGCTAGCCAGAATGACGTCACTAACAAGGTTTCAAACATCATGACAGGCGTATGAGGCGGAAAAGTCTCTCAACAACGCGAAGCACAACGTCGAGGCCTACGCGAGGGAGAGGAAGAACGAAATCATCCGGGGCATCGACAAGGCCGACCACAAGATTGAGGAGAGCGCCGCCAAAGCCAAGGGTTGGTTCTCTTCTGGAAAATAAATCCGGCCGCCTCTTGCACAAACCCGAGTCTTCTCTCTAATAATTAAACCCCGGGCAAAAAGAAGGGGGGCAAGTCCCGGAATCGGATGAACCCAAATACCCAGTCCCTTCTTGTATGGTGTTATATCGCTTGTATGAATGGAAGAATAGTATGATTCTGTCAAGGCCATGGTGGGGGCAGGAGGACGAGATGGGAGTTGAGATATCAACTGGAACGCATGTCCATAGGAGACGCCAACATAATTTCAATACAAACCCTGATCAAATCGTTCAAGACCACAATCTTTGCCAAAGGAATTTCTTGCTTGCGTGCTATATTCTATACAATACATTCAATCTATCGTTTTGCCGAAAAGAAGCTGCTCCCACCCATCACATCGCGCGCCGTCGCTGGCCGTGAAAATCGTCCGCGGATCCTACCGTTACATCCATCGTTTTATCCCTCGAGGGCGGCTGCCGTGAGCTTCAGAATATCTTCGATGCCCTTCCTAGCATTCGTAGGATCCTTTGCAATTCTCTGCCAGTATTCGCCGTGCCGTGGCTCGTTTAATATGCACTTGGAGATGACTTCGCCTCGTTTTGCCTGTTGCGTCGCAAAAAACACCTAGCGTTAGCAAATCTTCATTCTTTGAAAGGAGGGGGCATGGCAACATAGGTAGCAAGCGAAAAAGGGGAGAAAACGGGCAAAAAGAAACAAGGAAAGAAAAAAGAGGGCTTGCTCACCTCAGTACCATGCTGCAGCAAGAACTTGTAGTACCACGCCCACGTGTCCCCATTGTCGCTATCCAGCACCAGCGCCTTCTCGAACCAGCTCTGCGCCTTGTCGAGCTTCCTCTCCGCCCAAAGATGCGCGCCACCGCCACGAAGAGGATGGGGTCCGAGTCCACCTTCTTGATGGCCTCGAGGCTGCGCGGCCGCCTCTGCGTGCGCGGCTCCAGGAACCAAATCTGCTCGCTCCAGAGGATCCCGCTGCGCGGCACCTCCTGCAGCGCCTTGGCCATGACGCTGCGCGCCTGGTTGCCGTTGCCCGAGCGCCGCTCCACCCGCACCGATTCGAGCCATAGCTCCGCCGACTTGGGCACCGCGAGGCGCGCCCGGTCGAGCACGCTGCGCGCCTTGGTCACCGACCCCACCGCCTCTTCCAGTCGGGAGTAGAGGAGCCAGAGCGGTACCGACTTGGGCACCGCCTTGACGCCCGTGGCGTACGCCTCCTCGCCTGTGGTATCATGCCCATGTCCTCGTAGATTTGGCCCTTGAGCATCCAGAGCTTCGCCGCGCCGGGAAAGTACTGCAGCGCCTTGAGGACGAGGGCCAGCGCCGCTTCCTGGTTCCCTAGCACCCGCTCAAACACTACGCTCTTCATCCACACCCGGTCCGTCGGCGCCTGCTCCCTCGCCAGCTCCAGCAGCTTCCGCGCCTCGTCCACCTGCTCGTTCTCCGCCTCCAGCTTGACGGCCGCGAGCCAAATGTCCTCGTTGTTGGGGTTCTGCTTGAACGCGCGGGCCAGCACGTGCCTGGCGCTGTTGATCTCGCCAGCCTGCCACTTCTCCTTGGCCAGCATCATCCAGAGGACTTCGCTCTTGGGGCATGCCTCCACCGCCTTCTCCAGCACGTCCCACAGCGACTGCTTTGAACCGTGGTGCCTCTCCAGATCCGCCGCCTCCATCCACAGCGTCCGGCTGTTGACAAACACCCGCAACGCGTACGAGTAGATGGCCCGCGCCGTCTCGTACATGCCACGGGCGATGCTAGACTTGGCGTCCTTCATCCACGTGTCCTTTCGGTCGTCGTCCTCGTCGAGACTCCAGCCCAACGTCTCCCGTATAATGTTGCCGCATGTGATGATGGCCCCTTCCTGCTCGCACTTCTCCGCCTCCGCGATCCACTCCTCCCGCTTGGGCATCGCCGACTCCTTTGCCAGGACCTGCACGGCGCGCTTCATGACGTTGACCTTGGTCCCCTCGCCCAGTTGCTCCTGAAGGCGCGCCGCAGCAATCCAAATCTCGTACGAGGTGGGAACCGCTTTGCGGGCCCTGTTGAGCACCTTTGGGCGTTCTCGGGCGTTTCGAGGCGCGCGAGGGCGAGCCACAGGTCCACCGAGAGCGGAATGAGCTCAGTCGCCTTGGCTAGCAGAATCTTGGCATTGTCGACGTCCTCTTCCAGGTTGACGGCTTCCTTCCATAGGATCTCGGAGTCCGGCAGGTGATCCAACGCCTGGCGAATCACCCTCTTCTTGGCGCTGGGTATGTTTTCCAGCTTCATCGCCTCCACCCAGAGGCGCACCGACCGGCTGTTGTGCCGGATGGCCTCGGCCGCAATCACCTTGGCATTCTGCCCTTCGTTCAGCCGAATGTTCTCCAGCCACACGTCCTCGCTCTTCGGCCTGTTCTTGCAGCCCTCGGCAATCACCTTGCGCGCCGTCACAATCTTGCCCGCCAGCTCTTCCAAGCGGGCGGCCGCGATCCACCCCAGCGGGTTTCCGGGATTCGTCTTGATGACGGACTGCAGGAGCTCGCGGACTCTGTTGATGTCGCCCACCTGCGCCTGCGCCTCCGTGAGGGACCGCCTGTTCAAGCTCGTGATGTAACCCTGCGGGTCGATGCTCGTCGCCGTCCCCACCGTCGACTCTGTGCCGCTACCACCGCCGCCACCGCCGCCGCCGCCTCCCTGCGACGCCTGGTCCAGCCGAACCTTGAGCACCTTGTCCCTCGCCGCGCCAATCTTGGCAAAATTGGTCATCGTCCCGTCCGCCGCGTCCGCGCCCGAGGCCGTCCCGTCATCCGCCACCGTCGTCGTCATCTGCGACGAGTCGTTGGCCGCCGCCAACACGCTGTCGGGGACGGCGTAGAATTTCTGCCGCAGCGCCTGCTTCGCCCGCCGGTTCTTCCCCGTCAGGTCGCCCACCTCGGGCAGACTCGCCCACTCTTCGTCCGAGACGGTGCCCAGCGCGCGCTTGAGGTCGGCGAACTGCGCCTGGATCTTGGGGTTCTGCCTCTCGTACTCGGCCGTCTCGGCGGCCTCCCGGGCCTCACGCTGCGCCTTGCGCCTCTTGGCCATCTTCTCGTCGACCCACTGCCAGATCTGATCCGCCTCTTCGTCGTCCTTGTCGTATATTCCGCCTGCAAACAGGCCCACCTCGTTATCAGGATCTTGGTACCGTTCGCTGTCGTTTCCGCCTTCGTCGTCGCCCCTCTTCTTGCCATCCGGGCCAATTCCGAGGGCGGCGGCACGCTTTGCTACAATCTCCTTGATCTGGTCATCGCTTGGCCCATCGCGCGCTGGACCAAGATCGGATCGAGTCGTGAAGCCGGTGGCACCGCGACCGAGACCGGCGACATAGTTTTCTGGCGCCGGTTGGTTGAGGAAATCACGTCGACTCGCCATGATTGTGTCTGTGTTTTTGTTTTTGCTTTCCCGTTCGGGAGGAGGTTCTTCGAGTACACTCGATACGGATCTCTTGTCGTCGTTTGTGTCGGTCAGTTCAGCATAGCCGCGCTCTTCGATTTCGGTGCCTATGCGTAGATGTGGGATTTCGAGGATGTCGGCCGCAAGGAAAATTGTCTATCTCTATTCGAGTACCCAGGAAAGCACACGGAAAAAGAGAGAGGAAAAGAAAGAAGGATACAGAATTATCCCGCGCTTCGAGCTGGATCGTATTATCCTGCCTTGAGGGGTTGCTCTAGAATGTGAAAATGCTCGTTTTTGAGCAAGTCAGCCAGGCACACAAGGCTGAACCGTGGGACTTCCTCAGAGAAATTTACGAAGCTTGTCCTGGCCTAAAATACCAAGGTACAGTGTGCCTGCCTTCTGAGCGTGAGCAGCCGCCCACCCATTCGGTGTGTCAGCTGAAAACAGCTGTCAAATCTAGAGATGGATTTTTGTTCGAGCGAGATGTTGGCGATGCGCAGCCAAGGATCGAATCGCGAGGAGACAAACATCAGGTGAGTTCTTCATTTTGTATTTGATAAGATATTGTAAGGAGTCATTTCCATTTTCTTTCTCTCTCTCTCTCTCTCTCTTCTAAAATATCCGCTGCTCGGGCATCTGTTGTGTATCTACTTTGAAAGTACATCACGAGAGTGCTTGAACTGGGCAACTCCCTCCCTCAGGGCATCCATGCCAACGCCTCTCAGCTCTCCTACGTCCTCCTTTTCCCCTTATCCCGTCCACATGTTTCTCTTCCGTCATCATAACGGAGTTCGGGTTTGTTGCTTTGATCACCCTCCTCTCCGGGGTCCAGCCGTTTTGCGACACCATCTGGCCCATCACGACAGCTCGGCTTCATTACAAGTACAGCAAGTGGTGCCACTTTGTCGTTATCCATCTAAAGATATGTATAGCAAGAACACCGGAAAAACAAAACCAACAAAATGCAGTCGAAAAGAAAAAGGAGAAGGTGGACATAGGAAAAGGGACTGAACTAGGCGAGACCAGATCCCAGGAGATATGCCTGAGAGGACTGGAGCTTGCCGAGCTAGTGGCTGCTGTGTAGCTGACTGGGGCGAATAAAGAAAAGAATGTGTTGAAGAGGGTAGCTTTTGTGAGAGAAACAAGCGATTGTTATGAAGCAGAAGAAGGGGATAGAGGAAGCGGGAGGGGGACGCTAGTATAAAGAACGGGCATAATCGTGTCTTCCTCCTGTGCTATAAAACCTGCTCCAGGCGGCTGGAGCCATGTATGAATATAAGGGTATTGTGCATGTGATGTTCCTCGAATAAAACCAAATATGTGTGAAAAAGCAAATTTCCCTCGGTCGTAACTGGGTTTTCCTTTGGCCACCAATGGTGACGGTGGCATCCTTTCTTTCCATTCAACGCCGACAATAAAAACAAGAAAAGTGATGAGTGCTCCGTGTCTGGTATGCCATGCTATGCTCGCTTGATACACGGGGAAATGAAATTCGTTAATAAAAAATAAGAGAAAAAAAGGAAAGGGCAAGAATGAGGAGAAAAAGGACAAAGTAAGGCGAGGGGAACAGATATTGGGGATGTTGCGCACACAGGCAACCTGGAGGGGTTGCGTGATGTATACGGCCCTATCTGTTATGTCGCAATTGTGGTAGAATTGGGCTTCGGGTGCGGGTCGTTGGCCGAATTTGGTTTCACGGTTGTGCGCCCCGAGATGGATGCGGTCCTAGTCTTTTGGCTTAGCGGGAGATTGTATTTTACAATCCCCTTGATGACGAGATCAAACTCATCCTGGAGGATGCGATTCCATCGTTCGGATCCGCCAGCGGTCTGGTTCCCTGGAAGGTGGAGCCTCATTGCGCCAGTGGAAGACGACATGCCCTTGTGGAAGAACGAGCCCTCAAATGTCAGGGGACTGTCAAACTCAGTAATCGTACCGAGACGCATGTTTGGTGCGGCATCGTCGTCGGGCATGTCGGGGGCGGATCGTCCGAGATATGGACGCCATGATCATCCTTGCCCCGTCCGCCTTCATGTCCTGGGTCCGGAGGGCCGTTGGGATACTTCCACCACTCCGAATCTGAGCCGGCGTGGATGGATTTCGCAAAGATCTCTAGGTTGGCGTTGTCGATCGTGACTACTACGATATTCGGGTTGTGGGCCTTCACGGTCAGATCGAACATGAGCTCGGGCTCGCTGGCAATGACGTTATGGATCCCGGTCAGTTCGATACTCGTGAGGGGCTGTGAGGTTGCGAACATGAAGCTGATAGCTCCAGTGATGACAAGAAGAACCATCATGGTAACGACGAGACAGGCGGCTAAGCGGTTTAGGTACGAGGGTGTGCCATGATACGACTGAGCCTCAAGCTGGCGATGTGAAACTGGACCTCGCCTGTTCCTTGTCGATCTATACGAGCGCCCCGAGGAAAGAATGAGGGGGTGCGCTCGTCATCTGGCCCGGTGTCGTCCAAATCGTAACCGCCAAGGACATGTGTCGTCATCCTCTTACTGCCATTTGCGCCGTTGCGAGCTTGATTTCTTGGGCTAGGAGGACCAGACGGCTGCCGCGAGGGGCACCGGAAAATTTGGCGCGCTGAGCTACTGGGAATGGTGACTCGTTATCGAAGAGGGACGGGTGACCACTGCGACCCCACCGGCCTATGTGGTGGTGGTGGCGGGCAGTTCCCCTTCCAGAGCCAGTGCTACTACGTCCGGCACCGCCCTTGCTGTCGTCCTCGGTCTGGGTAATGCTGTCTCCAGCAACACTACCGCTGAACGTGTTAACAAACTTCATGTTCTTGCGCAGGCTGATGGGAGGCCCCGTGCTCTCCATAACACTGTGAATAGACCTCATGGCATTGGCGCGTTCGGCCTGGCTCATCATCGAGGTAGCGCTGGGCGTTCGTGAATGAAAGCGGCGCGGCCCATCTGGGGGATTCGAGTCGTAGACAAAGGTTTCTTCCGAGTCCGAATCATCGGCTTCGTCAACGGCGCTAGCGACCTTGGCTTCAAAATTTCAGCCTTCGAAGAAGCTGTGCGAGGACTGGTCAGTAAAGAGCGCACGAGGGTGTAAGAGGAGAGGCCTGTTGAAGGTGTAGTCACTAGACTCGGCGGGCTATAGTGCGCCCGACCGCCCCGGCGCATTTCGAGATTGGAAGCCTGGCGGGGCGACCTGGGGGCGGGGAAGTTTCTGTTGCCGGGGACACTGGTCCCGGCGGAGACTTAGATCGCGACCATGACGATCGAAGATCTGCAAGGTAAGTAGACGGAATGAACAAAGATAAATTCTCACCAGCACCGGTGGGCACGGCGGCCTGTTTTCTGCTGCCCTTCTTCTTTTCCTTCTTGGGCTTGATCGTCTCCGAGCTCGGTCGGGTTTTTAGGGTACCGTTACCACCTTGGGGACCGGCAACTACGAGACCAACAGCGGGGACCGAGACTACGGTTTCCGTCTCGACAGTCATACTCTGGCTTGAGCCTTCAGTCTTGGTCTTCCCTGCCTTGGTCGACATGGAGCTAGACTGCCTCGACATGAGGGGCGGAGCGGCGACGCCACCGATGGTTCTTCGGCTCTCAGGTTGGACGTTGCTGTTCTCACTACCGCTCTCGGTGGTGTACAAAAGAGGCCTCGCTCGTAGTGTTCTGATATCGACGGCGTAACCGGCTTCGTCTCGGGTCGCGAGCTCGGAGGCGAGCTTTTCCTTTACCTGTTCCATTGCGGCGTCGGTAACGTGGCCCGGGGAGTTGGGGAGGCTTACTTCCTGCACTGTTTCCAGAGTGGAGCCGTGGGCGGGAGTCCTGAGGCCTGACTGGAGTTGGATATCCTCAGTTTCGCTCTCCGACATGAGCGCGAGGTCAGCGGGCAAAAGGGTAGCGGTTGGCCCTCGTGGAAGTATGACGGAGGGCGTCTCCTGCTCGGCGCGTCGGGATGCGATGGAGGGTCTGTTTAGCTGGGGTGGAGGCGAGCGCAGTCGGGGGAGATGGGCCATCGAGGACCGGTGCCTTCTTGCGTCTGGTCTGAAGACGTGGCAGACTTTTGAGGGTGCGACCCAAGATGCTGGGCTCCTGTGCGGCAGGAGCGAGTGCAGGTGTGTTGGCGTTGGATAGGGTCCTAGGGTTGCTTTGGGGTTGGGGAAGGCCGGATCGAGGTAGGCGTGTAGGGCTGGTGTCAATAAGACTGTTTTTGCGCGAACGGTTACGGGGAACGACGGCTGTTTGGAAGCGGGTTGGCGGAATACGCGGATTGGAGAAGGGTCCCTGGAACCTAGGGGCGAGGGCGTGACGGAGTTGTTCGCTGACGATTGTTTCGAGTTATTCTTGTGGTCGGAAAGCGAGGTGGACGAAGAGACTGAGACTGGTTGCGAAGATGAGAGTTGGGGTTGCGAGCTGGCAGACAGGTAGTGGCGAGCCTCTATTGTGCCGCTCGCCATATTTGTGGATTTATCCATGGCTCTGCAACGTGCGGGAGAGTCGCATATGGTGGATCAGGAACTCTGAAAAGGGTGAGGTTTCTCGGACAGTCATGCCAATAACCGGCCGGGCGCTAAAACACACAGATCAACGGACGATGGTGGAGGAGCAGTCAACCATGTTGTTTGAACAAAACGAAAACGGACGACACGAGGCAATTCTGGTGATGCGCGAATAATCTTGTTGGCAGAATTGGATCCTCTGTTATTTTTCGTCTCGCTTTTGGTCTGGTTGCGGATTGGGCTCAGCCCAACAGGTGGCCAACGTTGACGCTGAGTCGCGTGGTGGAAGATCAGTGGTCCAGCAGAGCCGGTAGGCCCCAAAGGTGGCTGATTTCACAGGTGACGACTGTAACTGTGTTGCCTTCCTGGTCAAGCTCAAGTGTCGTAATGCAGGTCGGAGCTGAGAAAGCCAAACTCTTTAGGGAGGGACCTTGGAGGAATAAGAGTCGCAATTGAAGCGTGATGCAGGGAAAGATTTCTGGACTGGCCAAAAGAAAGCAGATGAAGCAGAAACGATAGGTGGAGAGAGGCCGGACTAAAACAAAGATTGGAAAGGGGGCGCGTGGGAGGTGACGGATGGATGAGGAAGAGGAGAAATGGGACTGAACGAAGAAAATGGGTTTTGGCTTTTCTCTGGCAGGCGGGTTTCTGATTGACGTGGGATTGGACCTGGTATGACGAGCGGAGGTGATGAGATAATTGCAGGCCGTGCGATCCAAGTCAAAATACAGGGCTCCATCCAAGCAGTAGACACCAACAGGAGGGCGAGGCAAAGCCGGCTGGGTTCGTTCCTTCCTCGCTTTTCTTTTTTTCTTTCTTTCTTTTTCTTTTTCTTCTTTTTTTCTTTTTCCTTGACTTTTTTCTTTTCTTGCCACGAGGATCTCGTCGACAAGTCTGGTCTTCTTCCTTTCCTGTTTTGCCCTTTTTTCGTTTTCTTTGTTTTCTTTGGTTCATTTCTTTCCTTACGTCCATTCCCTTTCTCCAACCCTCCCTTCCTGTTTCCAATAGAACCACGGATGTCTTATGAGAGGCGTTTGCCCTGACCGTCTGGCTCGTAACGCTAGTGCCGTGCCGTTTGTGAAATGTGCGAAGTACCGGATAGCTCAAACCGCCCCCTCCCTTGCTGGCGCTGGCCCAAAAGGAAGAAAAGCATCAATGATCAATTAGTATTAGTGGCCAAACCTGGGCCAGGATTGATGAGTGAGACTTGGTCAACAACCCTGGCAAGAAACCGAGCTTCAATTTTGGAAGGCAGGCTAAGAACGGCCCCCAGGAGACAAACAAGCCACTAAACTAATAAAGGCAGAAAAGCCCAATTCGTTGGGGCCGATGAAATTCGGAGAGAAAAACGCTGGGCTTTGACGTAGCCCCTCCAAACTTCCCCCACCTCAGCTCCCTACTTGTACATCTTTGGATCTATCTATTGTATTGATCGATATGGGTGGCAACGAACGCGACAACGGCGGCCAAACAAGACTTCGAGGTTGCAAAGGCAAAAGGCAAAAGGCAGAGAGAAACCCACATCGGTAATGTCTATCCAAAGAGCTAAGCACTAGACATGGACGATGCCTTTTGACCGTTGTCACGCAGGTGGGCAAACAAGCCTGCTTCTTCCTCCCGTACAGATACATACACTACAGCAATCGATTTAAATACATCAAGTCAATGTCATGATCATAATCAAACAATCAGACCGCGCATTTCGTAGGGCGGGCGCTCTGCAGCTCGCTTGTTAAATGGGTGTTCCCGGATCGCATCGGCAAAGAAGGAGAAAGGCAGCAACCGATTCTCGGGTGACCAGCTCGTCCAACCCGCACATTAGACCTGGCTGGTCACCCGTGTGTGGGCGAGGTTCGTTCCCACACATCAAGGACCACCCGCACCTCCACATAAACTACCGATTCTAGGCTTGTCGTTTCGACTGTCCAAAGGAATAACATACAGGAAAGCTGGGGTCTCTTCAGAAACAACCCACGGGAGACCAGTACCTCGTCACCTCTCTTCAGTCATCCAAACCTTTCACTTTTTCACTCAAAGTTCTAATCATAAAAGAAACGGAGGGCTGGGCTGTGGTGTCTATAACCACGTCTGTCCACACAAATAATACTAGTGGGGTCGCTTCGGAAGCAGACTGAACATTATTAGAACATGGCCATCTTCATCTACGAAGATTATCAGGGCTAAGGAAATGGTGATTTTGTCCATCAATCCTAGCCCATTCTCGTCCCCGGCCCTTGTCTGTTGTTTTCTGTTTTTTTTTCTTCTTTTCTCTCCCTCGGTTCCTTGTTCTACACGTATGATTAGGCGTTGTATTTTGCATCCGTCCTGGCAAGTCACGAAAGGGTTGGGCGGGGACTCTGTACCGTATTGGATGGAATTTTCTGAAGAAGAAGAAATCGATACCATAGTTCGAACCTCGCTCTGATGCCAGGACGGGAGCATCAAACTGATCACCACCCATCTCAACGGACGCCCCAGGCGAATTGGACAACTCAGCGCAGTTTTGTACCCTCCAACGGAAGCGAAAACGTCTCCCGGTTGGTCGGTGAAGGTGACTGTTAGCGTCTCGTTTCGTGTACAGTGCAGGGTTGGGTCAGCCCCGTCCCGGTCCCAACCATGTGTTCCAACTGCCACATCACCGCGCCAGATCACTCTCGGATCAATGTCCCCGGATACCTTCTTGCAAGAACAACGTCAAGCACCATCCACACTATTCTGCGCCATATGTCGGCCAATCCTTTGTACTCTGTACCTAGCCGATGGGTAGCGTGGATGAGTTCGCTCACTTGTGGAGGAGTCACCCAACCAGAGGATCCATGTACCTTTTCCCCACCCCCTCCCTCGGGTTCGGCGTCCAAAGACGTACGTCGTGCTGTGCCTGCTTGGTGAAGGATTCAATTCACTACTCAGTCGGTGCATTTCCAATCGGCTTCCCCTGTTCTTTCGGCAGAAAAAGATCGATTCCCCCACGATGGAAAGTACTTTGGTCAAGGAGCAGCCAGTTGCCAGGCGAAACTTGAGTTCCCATCGCGGTCCGTGACCTCGCCACCCAGAAGAGAATCAGTCTGGTTCCCAGTAATGTCATGGGGGAGAGGGCTTGAACAGATTCAGCCAAACCGCCATCCGAAAAGGGTTGAGGCAAGGGGGTCTTGAGGCCTTCCTTTGAAGAGAAAATAAAGGGAGAATTAGGCAAGCTATCTTCCTCGTGTCCCGAGGTCAGCTTTCAGGAGGCACATTTGGCTGTCTTCCTCGCCAGTGTCCTACTTATTCGTGTCGCCGCCCCTTGCCTCGCTCCTCTTTCTTCAGCACCCCATCCCAAATGAGAGTATGGAAAGATGCCATGAAGCATTCCCCTATGAATCGTTTAGGGTTGATTTCAAACTTCGGCGTCACCCCTATTACATGTCCTCTTCTCCTTCGGTGAGCCTTTATGGCTTGAGAACGGCCATATCCCGTGTTCTTCAGGTACGATCAAGAGCAAATACCGAGGTACTCCGGTGGGTTCTCTTCATGTGTGTTCCATAAGCATACGTCTCGGCCACACGTTAAAAATTTTCAACCCTCTTTCACACCTTTCGAAAAGCGAGGAATTCTAGAGGGGGATTCTTCAGGATTCTTCAGTACAGCCAGCTACCACTCTCTCAATGGAATTCACCAGGTCATACAAGGTATCCCCGGTGTAATTCTCGCCCATGCCAGAGGAGAGAAGGGAGGGGGAGAGACAAGGGGGCCAAAACAGGAAAACTTTCTAGCCCTGCCAATTGGTGCCACGATACCAGCCGTCAGAGCCAGAAACCTTGCTTGTGCAAAGAAGGGGGCGGATGCACCAGAACCAGATTGTTGGATGTAACCACCCGGTCTTCCGTTCCGTCCCCAGGGGTTACAATTGGTCGGGTCGCCCCTAGAATTTTCTAGCCCAACCCGAGGAGTTTCTCCTCAACAGGCCAGCCGGGGGAATGTGAACGGATAATATCAATACTTCTATTAGTTCGCCAAAGTTGACAGGGTCGGTCCAGACCCCAGCCTTGCTGGATGCAGCATAGATGAACCGCGCCTGGTGTCATATCGAGGCACAAGTAATATTCTAACACTCCAAGTTCAGAACTTGAATAACGCTTGTGAATTGATATCAACGGAGAGTTGAGGGAGTTTGATACTTGTAGGTGCCTCGTCTCCGTTCTTTCCGAGTTTTCCTCCGCTCGCTACTGGTCTGGTGTATCACCGACCTGTTTGCCCTAGCGTTGTTGCTGCCCCCAGACGAACACCTTCCCAGAGAAGAGGAACGAAGTTCCTCCATCATGTTGGTTATCATCTCGTCGAGCCAGACCTCCCGGGATGAAAAGGGGCAAATGGTAAAGACGTTCAAGTGGGGCGGGTGAGCGGTGAGAAAAGAGAGCCTTGAGCCACATGAAGCTAACCTAGATGCCCTCATCTGGGAGGAAGAAGAAGTTCATTTCGGATCAATCTCATGTTTGCCTTTGTCCGCCGAGCGCGCTCTCGTAACTGAGACTTGGCAACGATGGCCAGGTAGACTCATTTACTTGTACCAACGGTGAGGGGGTCAAGGTCAATCCTAAGCTGATTTCTCCTGGCCGATCACGCGTGGTGGTTCCTGAGCTAGGAAAAATTGGCTCCAGGGGTGGGTGTGGCTAAAAGAGGCAAGGGGAAGCAAGGGGGTAGGTGAACGATCGAGATGGGGGTAAGAAGGAGACATGGAAGAAAAAAAGACGAAAAAGAAAAGGAGAGAACAAGGAATGGCGCAGAGCTTGGCCAGGATCAACATAATGATGGATGTTGGCAAATCTCTCCGCTGGTGTAGCATTTTCAGAAGAACCGAAACGAGCTTCGGAAGTGACGGCCCTACCCAATGTACTTGGAGGTGCAAAATATCATCCCCAGTCTCTCTCCAGCCAGCGTCTCCAACTCTCCAGACCGGCGGTCAAGGATGGAGGTTGAGACCCACAAAAGGGTGCACGATGTGTTCAGTGTTGTCGTCACCAGTGGGTTCGAGTGGTGGAGGAACTATTGGATTCCTGCTTCTTCCCCGGATCAGTTGAATGTCTGTCCAGCCGAATGCTTCAAACCCTGACCACATTGCATCGACGCCAGTCTTGTCCTCCAGCAGTATTGCTCGGGTTGATTCCATCAGGGAAATTAGGAGATCTTGCAAGAGCGCAGTCCGTAATTGATCAATCAATGTTGGAGGCTGGCAATACCTCACCAGTGCTCCCTAGAGTTTTGTGGGGTACATGAGCCCGCCAGGCACGCACATATTCCTTTAGTCCAATCCACAATTCAATCAATTGACCCAGTGTTGAAAGGGCTTCCAGAACTTGAGAACATAACCCTCCGGCTAACAAGTCGGTTGGCCCGCTGTCAACTCAAAGCCGTGCCCACTCCGTCAAAACTGATGCCGGAGCCATTAGCATTACGCCAATATCTGCGAGTAAAACAAGCCTGCTGCACAGCGTTTCCCAGCAGGGTCACGAGCCAACACTGCAGGATGCAGTCCCGTCTGGGTCGTGGTGAAGTATCCAACGAATCCAGTTCCTTCCAGAGTGAAAGGAAAAGGGAACATGGAAACATTCGTGAAAGAAGTTCCAATGGTGGATATGTTGAGAATACGGGTGGCGAGGGATGAAAATTGCCAGACTTTCGATGCTTCAAGCCTCAAATGCAGCATCTAATATCATTGTGTACACCATCACGTAGTGGTATTTCATTTTAGACCACGGCGGGCAAGAACGTTGAACTCATGTCGAGGCCAGACCGCCAGCGTTGGGGGAAGGACCGCTCCCTTCCTGTCAAATTCGTTCAAGGATACTAATGGTGGGAAATGGCGACGGGCGCCCCCGGACATACAATACGCAAGCGAGTATCTCCTTCCTCTGATGGCCAAATTTCCGGGCCCCCAAACGGAGGGTCAAGATAATAGGGTTCATCCCATTTCATGGCCTGGCCCAAACAGCCAAGGTTGGAAACGAGTGATGCCTAAAGAGACCATCCCACCCAGCTCCCGGGCGGGTACCAACGACGTCAGGCACAGGTCATGTTGCAGGCAAAGAAGAAAGCAAGCAACCGCACCGTATTCTTTCGCACGCTGCCTCGCCGTGATTATCGACTTTTGAGGCATTTTATACCCACGCGCTTCTCGTCGCGTGGCGGGCCCTGATAGGGCTTGAAGAACCACCCCGGCACTACAACACGAACCGTGGGGGAAAAGAGCGTTGAGATGGTTAATCATAGCCGTTTACTCCCAAAAGACCCTCCCAGCGCAGCAAGCCAGGCTCCTATCAGACCATCAACGGTACCAATGGCCTCATTGATGTGTAGTAGTCCTCTATTGGGCTTGAGGCAGTAGCGAGGGTGAAGAGGAGAGAGAGAGAGAGAGAGAGAGAGAGAATGGGATGACAAGCGTGGATGATACAGCTAGGCAACAAACATACATGCTTTGGACCATCCAGGGATTGAGACACTGGTCACTGCCAGAGCCACGTTTTAACATGATTCCCGAAATCAACTGCTGTGAGCCAAGCGATCAAATGCGAAATTAGAGCTCGCTCCCCCACTCGCGCAACCACCTACAGCATACAGGTAGATCAGTCACCTGTTCCTTGGACTCACCTCACGTTTGACGGGTCGACGCCGCCGCCCTGACTTGTCGCGAGCGGCCCGAGACTTGGTAGCGCAAGTACGACCGGAGGAGGCGGAAGACCGCACGGATACAGGGACGTCGTGTTACCAAGGATCCGAAAATACGCAGGTGTTCGATTGTTGACAAGTAAAAGCGCCAGCAAGCGCAAGGCAATACGTTTGTTCATCTGCTCCTCCTCACCCCGAAGATCAAATAAACCCCAAAAAAATGAAATGAAATGAAAAGAGCAAGGCCAAACCGGCGAGAAACGGTTCGCAGGCTGACCTCCCCAAAGCTGGCGCCGCTAGGCTCCCACAAAATAGCATACATCCTCTGCACGTCCACGAGCAAGCGGGTGGCACAGTGTCCTGCCATCTATCGTCTCACGTCACCGAGACCCCCTTTTGGAGAAGAGGGGGGCTCTTGTTTTCTGATTTGACTGACATCATGTCGCACCCCCGCGCGATGAGGCTGTTCATGCCTCTGTCGGTGCCTTCTCTTCTGACCTGCATGGCCAAGTCCCCGTCACGCAAGGTCTTGCCCGACGGACCAAAGAGGGCTGTGTCTGGCGGGATAGAGTCATGGGTCACAGCTCGGTCTTCGGGGAGGAAAGTATTCATCTTCCCAGCAGTACAGGATGCGGGTGTGCAAATGTCAAGAGCCGCGGTGCGATCCGTGGAGGCGGAAGGCGAGATGCAGCCTCGTTTCGTTTCCCGCCTCCACCTCCCGAGAAGTTCCCTTTCCCATCAAAAATTTTCAAAAGTCCGTGCCTCTTTTACTTCCCTTTGATTTTCTCTTTTTCTTCCAACTTCCCCCACCCTTTGAACCTAGCCGCAAAATTGTGTCCATCCGGCACTTCGCGGGATGCCTTCCCGTTCGATCTGCGGTGTGACAACGGATGAGTGGCGCCCAATGGAAATGAAAAGAAAAACAAAAAGGCGAGGGGTTTATCATAATGATTTCAGACCATGGTCTGACACTCCAAGTATTTCCCACTCTCATCTGACATCCAGAAGCCAAGACAAGAGGATAGAGGGAGCCAAACGCCACGCACGAGAAGTGCCGTGAGAGAAGCAAGGCCCGCAACTTTAGCGGATAACCCCGAGCAAAGTTCCCGCCAGGGGCATCTGCTGGGGGAATCATGGTGCCCAATACTCTAATGCTAGATTCAGTTGAGGGTTGGCCTCTCCCTCTAAAAGGATATGCAAGAGAATGGAGCAAGGGAAACTTTACTCGACTTTTTAGCACGACGGCAAGAGCCCAGGAGCCAACATCCTGAAACGTGGCACATGAGTGTTGATCGCTAGTCCTCGTGCCATCGCGCGTAGAACCAGAGGGGATCTACCAAGGGCACATGGATGGGCGATATAAACTACACGCTAAAACGTACATGGGTTGCCAAACGATTTCAAGTACTGTGTGATGCAGTAGCCACGAGTTCATAGACTGCTAAAAAGAAAAGAAGAAAATGCAAGGAAAAAGAAAAGTGCTGATCCTTCCTGAGCACGTCTATGTATATATACTCTCAAACGTCTTGAAGAAACAAAGCAAGAAAAACACGGTATCTGTCGCAACGTTGGGGAGGAAGTGATCCGAAACTTCCTTCAAAGAAACAAAGTAGAAAAAGTCAATCGTACATGTTCTCGTTCACGGGTGTATCTAGAAGCTCTCCTCCCACCATTTCCCATCCCATTAAAAACGCATCAATACAAAATGGATGGGGTGACAAGATTCCGGTCTCCAAAGCAGCTGGGCAGATGGATACCGATCCCACTCCTTTCATTATATCGTGTAAACCTTCGAGCCCACGAGAGGGTATGTAGACGGGACAAGGCCCCGTCCCCTTCCCCTTCCTAGAGGAAAATCGTGACAGAATGTCGTCATCGTTTCCCATATAATCCGAACTTTTCGTCTCTCATCGCCGAAAGAACAACGAAAATCCCATGTACACGTAAAACCAGACGTAGTAGCCGGTGCTGCGGCTCCCAGTGCCACAAGAGAAGCCAAGAGGAACCGCCGCCGAGTGCGAATATCTCCTCGGCTAGTGTTCTAGTGAGGAGAAGGAGCAGAGAAGACATGAATGAAAGAGACATGACTCTCTGCATCAGCACCACACGTCGCACTAGGTATGAATGCTTGGGGTATGAGAGGGTACATGGCGCATATGGACAAGGAAGATAGGAAAATAAATGGAAGTAAAGGGCCAAAAAGAAGAAGAAGAAAGCCGGAAGGGCTCCGAGGTGGAGGATGGTAGAGAGAGAGAACACTCCGTGGCAACTCTTTGGAAGGCACCTAGGCGACGTCATTTCCCGAGATAGTGGGAAACAGGTATAGACGAAGCCTTGCTGTGATCCTGAGTTCCTCGTTATTCGGCAATAGCACCGGCGGCGGCGGCCTCCTCCTTCTTGCCCCAACCTGCGGCCCACCCCATCCAGCTGGCTCTCTTGTTTGCTGTATCAGACTTGGCCGACTCCTGTTCTTGAAGAAGACGTAGCGGCCGTGGCTTGTTCCCTCCAAACGTGGTGGCCTTGTCACCCGCTCCATGGCGGGGCGGGGACTGCGAGGGAGGTGTGGTGATGTCTCCAGAGTCGCCGCTCACGCTAGACGTCTCGCTTCTCATACCGGGGAAGTTACCCGACGATGCCGCGTGCTGGCCGCTCGGGGATCGAGCACCGGCGGTAGAGAGACCTGACGGGGAGAAGAAGGTTTGCGATCGGCGGGGCTCGCTAAACGTGGGCGAGGCCGGACCATCGGCGCCCCGATACCTCTGGCCAAGCATGCTAACCCCAGCACCCGTAAACTGCTCGCTCATTGGCCTAGAACGGCGAACGCTGGTGGATCGGGTTAGGTTGCCGATGGGGATCTTGGGTGCCGTTTCGGGGTTGTTGTGGATCGAGTTCGGAGTGCTAGTAGTGGACATAGGCATCACTGACATGGGGCGCGCTCGTGGCCCCTTTGGCCCGGCCCCCACCGTAAATTTAGCTCGTTGGAAGATGGACGAGCCCGCCCATTGCTGGTCCTTCTCGGGAGGAGGTGGTGGCAAGTCTTTCTCTTTGGCCGTAGACTGGTCAAGAATGGCTTCGAACTCGGGGTGACCAAGGACCTTGCCCAATGTCTTGTCAATGTAAAGGATCAAGGCCTTGTTCTCCTCCCTCAGCGACTTCAACTCGGCTTCCAGACGGCGATGGCCGTCGCTCTCGTTTTCAACCGCGCTGGAGAGTTCATCAGCAAGGGTTGTTCCGCTCTCCCGCCCTTCGAGGGCGTTCAGGGCGTCTTGGTTGGCTGAAGCGCCACCCATGAAGGCGAGGCTATTCTTAAATTCGCCGTTCAAAGTCCTCTCCTGGAGGAGGAGCTGGTAGCTCTCGTTATCTTCCATTAAGCGAGCGTTCGCCATCCGGGCTTCCATAAGAAGCCTCTCCACCTCTTGCAGTCGGCCACCGCCTTGGTTCTCGGATTCGACCAGCTTGATCTGGGCCTCGGCGAGTTCGAGCCGAAGAGACTCGATGAGCTTGTCCTTTTGCAAAAGGAGTTTCGAGTTGTTTCGAGAGTCGCTCCGGTGCAGTGAGGATGAGGGGGCGCGAAACTCCGCTCTCGACGGAGGGAGAGCTATTGGCTACAGAAGGGAGGCACGTGTTAGCAGAGCGAGACTATGTATGTGTATGGCGTAGTCCGAGCAATGCGGCGAGGATTGGGGAGGGGGTGGGGTGTATTGCTTACCTTGTCGAGACGGACGCACATCGTCCTCGTCCACGGGGTTGTACTTTTGCGCAGCAAGGCTCTCCTTTAGCCTTTGAATGACGGTTTGCATTTCCTCTTCCCGGTTCGCCATCTCCTCCTTCTCCTTCATCATAGAACTGCGTTCCGCTTCGTAAATGGTTTCCATTTCACGTATTTTCCTGGCGGCCTCACGCTTCTCGTTGGTCAAGGACTCGATCTGTTCCTCGGCCTCATGCAGGCGCTCTTCGAGTTTCGCTTGTTCCTGAACAGTATCATCGTGTCGAGCCTGCAAGACCTCTAGTTGTTTCCTATACGTTTCGGCGTTGCCCTCGGCAGTGGCCAGTCGTTCCCTCAAGTCTTCCAGGGCAGCGGCAGCTTCTTCGCGAGCTTGGAGCTGGGCCTCGGTCGAGGCGTTGCCTAGGAGCGACTCACGCCTGCCGGCAGCGGCAGCACGTGCAGATACAGGAGCAGAGGTGCGAACTGACCGTGTCCTGTTGACAGAGCCAGGTGTGTTTGACGTCGGAGTGGAAGAGCGGGGAGTCTGTCGCGAAGGAGTGCTTTGGGGAGAGGTCGAATCTGTTACCGAAGCGCGGCCGACGCCAGGGGTAGCTGACTTCCGAGTCGGTGTCGCCATGGTGGAAGTCACTCGGCGTGATGATCGAGAGGACTAAGCGCAAGTATTCACTTGCCGCAATCCTTCCAGAAGATTGTGTATGGGCGAGAGAATTTATTCAGATGAACAAAGTGCGGAAGAGAGAGGAAGAGAAAAATCATTCACAAAAATAAGAGAAGGACGCGCGAAGAAAGTCTTATGTTTGAGCGAGGTCAGGGGGCGGAGCGAGGGGAAAAGAGCGGGCCCAAGGATGGCGGAGATTGTGGAGCGGTAAGGCAAGGGGCGCTAGGAGTTGAGGTCGTGCTGCTAGAATTTCGACAGCATGCTCCGTTGCAACACAAGAGTCTAGGGTTGGGGAGCTAGGAGGGAAGAGAAAGAGCACGGTGCTCAAAAGGGCCAGGGAAATCAAATGAGAACAATCCGCGAGGAAACGCGCGAATGGGGGAGTGGTGGATTACTCGACACTCGATAGACGGATGCAGCGTGAACGACCACTTGGGGGAACAAACAGTCGGACGGGAGTTGAAGAAAAAGGAAAGGAAAGAAAGCAAAAAGGAGGCCAAGTAGTACTTTGGATGGTATGTTGCTTTGGTATCAAGAATGAGGAAGAAGCCACAGCCCCGTTTCTGGAAATCTAGACTGGAAAGGCATCAGCCACCCTGCTACAGGCGGAGAGGAACAAACAATCTGACGCCCCCTGTGTGACCAGTTCTAAAGTTCTGTGTGGGCTGCAAAGTTTGGACGGGCTTAGGACCGTTCTTGAGTTGTGCTCACTTCAATGTTCAATGTTGACTGGCTTGGTCGTGTCGCGTTCCCCGCCAAGCGTGGTATCAAGTCAATCTCACATGTACCTAGCGTAAAGGAATAAAAAGGTGTTCCCCTAAAATTAGAAGGGGTTTGGGGCGCGGTCTTGTTCTGGCGTTGGCTTCGACCCGACTCGATTCAAAAATAGTCTGGGGCGTGCCTGGAAGCGCTTGCGAGCATCTGGTTGGCTCAGCCTCGACAAGCGAGACGAAACAACGTGCTTCAAAGGTGACTGGTCTCGAGTGTACTTCAACGCTCGAGTTGTCCCTTTCAACCACTGACCGATATGGACACACAAGTAATATTATCACGGGAGGAGATGGAGATTAATGGTCCTTGGACCACAGCTAGGGATCATTGGGTACAAAGAGGACAATGCGAGTTGGTAAACCTGATATTATTGCGTTGATGCACCAGAACTTGAACTGGGGCAGGCCCGATCGGCATCTTCTCCGTGTTCATGTGGTTTTCTCCTTCTGGCCACGCAGCAGGTTTCCTCCGGATATACCCATCCATGGATGGATGAGAGCGAGCTCCATCAATCTCCAGGTACATGACCATAATAACGAGCATTATGGGCCTGGGCAACCAAGAAGATTTCGACATTGTCCTGCCCACTGATATCGTTCATGATTGATCAACGGGGAGTGGTGGCGGCAGGCAGCACAGTCTAACATTACCCGGTCCCGTTGGGTGACGATATCAATCCATTCCTCCGTATCTCGTCAAACAGACGGTCTTTGTTTTAGTGGTCCGGTAAAGTTCTTTGCGCGGCACACCCCGAATTATCTCTTGATTCCGTCGATCATCCATTTGACGATCAGCTGCAGAATCAAGCGACCGGACAGGTCCCCGGAAAATCCTCTGATCCAGACTATTATCAACTTCACATGGGCGGGGGCTCGTTGGGGGATCCAACGTCTCGAGTGAATGGAGATACGAAATATGATGCTCGACTCCCCCTCCGCTCAAGACAATGGGCTCGTGATCGGAAGATCTCTGCCTCACTTGTCCGTGTTATGGTGTTGCGGCAACCCTCCCGGAGCATATGCATTTCCAAACAGGTCGCATTTCCCATTCACGTGTCTTGACGGAGCTATTGATTATACTTTCGGATCTTTTGGCTCCTATGTGTGTGTTTTCTGATGCCGGTCCCAGCATAAAATTGCATATCTCGGCCTTGATGCCGAAAGGGAACCACGGCGACGGGCAACTATGTAATTTGTTTTGAGGGCTTCCCTCTATCACTCACAAGGCGGCCATGAACGATTTTCTTTACCCTGGGCTCGCCCTTCCATTCCCAGGGCTCTTTCTTCTTGCGGCTTTATCCTAGCCGCGATATCTTGCATCATCTTTTCGCAGAGCACGGTCAAAGTTGACGTTCATTAATAAACGGGCCAATATTTCATCTGAATGGGTGCTATGGCGACCACGGGCCACCGGTTTCAAAGACATGCCTGTCATTCCCCGGACATGAAGTACTTTTCTTTATTGGGCAAAGTGCACCACATCCATCAATACCTCGACAACACATGTCTTCCCTACATGAGACAGCGACGCAGAAAGCACATTGTCGAAAAACGGTTCTTCTTCAGCAAGCCCGGCTCTCGACATCAGGCACGCTCTTTCCTTTTTTCGATCAGTAGTGTAGTGTACCGAGGTACCAAACACTTGATTGAATCTCAAACTAATCACAATTCACGGACATGGCAGAAAGCCCCAAATTGGCTTGAGTTCGATGTGGCCCACCTTGGTATAATTCCGTTTCATGCATGAGAACCAGTTGCAAGGAAAGTACCTAGGCTCCATGAGAGGCAAATGAGTGGATTAAATAGATTCATGGTTGGGTTATCAAGGAATCAAAGAACGTCTGGAAATTCGAGCTACTCTTGACTAGAGGTACCTCGGTACATTGATGAAAGAGGTGTCAGAAGAGCAAGTGAAGCTGCTAAGCAACACCTTAAATTGCCTCTTAATAATGCGATTCATGCGCTCCACGCCTCCACTCCCAACGCGCGCGTCGACTTGAGACAACATCTCCATTCCATCAATCGACTTCAGTCTACCCGACGGGCCCACACCTACTTCTTTTACCTAGTCATCTCCAACATCCAATTCCTCTCCGTCACGTGTTATTAATACAACCCACCAGTCACTGCCGTGCGGTGGAGGACTACTGGCTCTGCTAGTGCTTTCTATGTTCTCGAGTGTAAGTCCCCCACCTACGTGTGTTTCGAGTTGCACCCTCCAGCGGCACTCGGCCGGCCGACTGGTGGGGTGTTTACGGGGACAGAAGACCTTTCTCTCACCCGAACCGAGTCCTTCGGCAACAATCGCCTCCAAGGCATCGGAAACATACCTCCATCTGCGTAGCGAAGGGATATGGAGCGTCCTGGCCCGTCCTGAACCCTGGCGGAATTCTTCTAAGCTTTGAGTAAACGGCGGTGGACTATCCAGGGGTCATGTGTGCCGTCCCTCCGACATCTATTCCTTGAACCACTGTCCTCTCTTTTCTAGAGATCCCTACTTAGTTGTGTCGGTGAGAGTAACAACTCTGATAACTTCAAGAAGACCCAGCCCTCTGGTTGCGATAGAAAGGCAAGAGTCAACCCACGGTAGGTTTATGACGCCTAGTTGGGCAGTTTGTGTCCCTCATGCCTGGAGGTCGCTGCGCTTTAACCTCAGCCACTACGCAACATCCATTTCATTGGTGTGAACGACGTCCTAGACGAGCGAAGATAGGGGACCTCGTGAAAAGGAAGTGCAAGACAGCGTGGTGGTTCTCTGGATATATAGAGGACAACGAAGATGATATCTATTGGATTACAAAGCATGCGGAACTCAGTGGAGAGGAAGATAAACAAGAGCCAAGAAAGCGGCCGTAAGAATGAAGCCAGCCGGAGACCAAGTGGACTGAGAAGGGGATGGCTGCGGAATCCTCGGACCTCAGCCAAGCCCAACTCAACCTTCCACACAGTCTCGTTGGTTTATAATCAAACGTCTTGAGATGGGTGGCGATGGCACTTAGTCAGTAGGTGAGTAATGGCTGGCCCGGGCCCGGACTCGTAATTGTAATCACCGCATTCAGAGACTTCATGTTGATTGGTAATGACAAAACTTGACATGTTCAATAGTGGATCAACGCTCCACGAGCTGGTGACTGGATAGTAAAAGGTCCGCCGTACTGAACGGCTGGCACCCCTATAGAGACTGTTCAGGGGTTGTAGCCATTTTGTCTACCTCAGGTCCCCGAGAGGGGTTTGCACACAAGGCCCTTGGGGCAAGACGCAGTTTGGCCATTTTTAACAGTCTTGTCAGTTTATTGATATCGACTTTGCCGGGGCGAACCTTTGCCCATAATGACATGCGCCATGTAATCATACGCCGACCAAACCGTGGTCATCTCCATATCCTCTCCCCATTTCCCAAACCTTCCTCATCTAAGCCTCAAAGGCCTCGGGGAACTGCTTGATGTTGTGCTTGAGGGGCCGCGGTTGGTGAGGAACTTGACGTAGGCACCGTCGACCTTGACGTGACCAGCCTCCCTCTTGACGACGTACTCCTCGCGACGGAGAGGGTGAAGCCCCAGTTCTTGGAGATAATGATCTTTTGCCTGCCGGGGAACTTGTACTGGGAGCGGCGGAGGGCCTCGAGGGCGATAGCGCGGTCTTGACGGGTGATGTTAGTAAAGCCTCTTAATTGACAATAGGAAGACATGTGAAAAGTTCTCGACATACTAGAGTCACGAGTGCGGACGCTCATGAGAATCTGGCCAATGTTGACACGGGCGACAGTGCCGTTGGGCTTGCCAAAGGCACCACGCATACCAGTCTGGAGCCTATCGGCACCGGCACATGACAACATCTTGTTGATACGGACGACGTGGAAAGGGTGGGCACGGACGCGGAGGTGGAAGCCTTCCTTACCGGCGTTCTTGACGAGGTACCTGTTTGCGAAGAGGTGGTTAGTAGCTGCTGCGCAAATGGTATCACCAGTTTTTTTCTTTCTATTCCTTTTGTCTTCTCGAGGCCGGTCTCTATTTTATCGGCCCAGTACGGATACTACTCACTTGTTGGCGCAGATACGGGCGGCTTCGAGAGCCTCGGAGCTCAGCTGTTCGTACTCATTGGAAACGAGGTGAATGCAGAGAGGGAAGTCGTCAACACCGGCACGCTTGCGGCCAAGATCGAAGATCCTGATCTTGGGGTCGGGGACACCACGGTTGAACCGGGACTTGGGATACGGCTAGAGCAACATGAGAGGATTAGTCTATTGGTTCGGTATAGTATTGTGCCTTTGAAAAAAAAAAAAAAGACAAGAGTTTGGCCAGCATCTGGACCCATTGTTGGAGCAGCGAGAGGAGCGACGACGTTGCCCATTCTTGCAGAGTGAGAAAAGAAGGCCACGAAAATGCCCCTGCCACTTTCGGTCGTCGAAAAAAACTTCCAGAAAAAACCCCCGAGCAACTCATTCGCCTTCACAACATACCTTGTTCTTGCAGTATCGGTAGCAACGGGCGGGACGACGAGCCATTTTTGCGGTTGTCTTGTCGATTTCGAGGTTGATGTGGTTGAGGTAAAGGTTCAAAGGTGTGAAGGCCGGCGACGGGGGAAGAAGAAGCCTCAGTATGTTCCAAAGGGCCTGTTTCGAGTGGCGACCGACTGGAGTGATTTCAAAGCAAGTTTTCCTTGGCGGGGGTACGCTCACAATTCCGGCTTAGGGCCCTCGAAGTTAGGGCTTTGGAGGAAAAGGTTCGTATGATTGGCTAGAACTTGGGAAGAAATTCGGCTAAACTAATTCCTCGTCCACCCACATTGCTGACAAGTGGAATTTTCTTGGGCCACCCTCAAAATCGTTTAATGATTGAAGGCGACTTGAACTTTTTCTCATCGTGTCAACCAACTTTCACGACAATATCGCCTAACCGTCCAGAGTCACCGGATCCCTTTAGCTACAATGGCCCCTCAGAAGAAGTCTAAGAAGGACGCTCACAGGTACGGTTTGATAACCCTCATCTCTTTGCGAACCGAGTTTTTGCAAGTTTTGCAAGTTGGCGGTTCAAGCCATGAATCTTGTTCTGAGACGATGCTGACCTCCTGAATAGCATCAGCTCCAAGCTGGCGCTCGTCATCAAGTCCGGCAAGGTCACCCTCGGCTACAAGACCACCCTCAAGAGCCTCCGAACCGGCAAGGCCAAGCTCGTCATCATCGCCCAGAACGCTCCTCCTCTGCGCAAGTCTCTCCTCGAGTACTACGCCATGTTGGCCAAGGCCCCCGTCCACCACCTCTCTGGAACCAACGTAAGTCATTCATATCCTCTAAAGTAGAATGTCTTCCTGCGAAGACATGCTGCCTTCGGTCTTCTCGCTTGCGTACTGCTTGCGAGCGACATACCCCGAGAAGAAGTCGCTTTAGACTTTGGAGGGTAAATTCACCTACTTACACTCGTGCCCTACTCGTAGATTGATCTCGGAACCGCCTGCGGTAAGACCTTCCGCACGTCTACCATGGCTATCCTCGATGCCGGTGACTCGGATATCCTCAGCGACCAGCAGTCCTAAATGCATACCCCTGAGGTATGAAGGAGACAAAACGGAGTTGGAAATTGTGCCGATATGCGCATGAAGAAAAAGAAAGAATTGAAACAAAATACAATGACAAGGCACCTGGCGTTGGGGATTCCTGGTTGGGGCATCTGGAGGCGTCATTCGGATACCATGTAATGCAAGATTACGCTAGATTCGGCTCTTCATTATCTTTTAACTAAGCTACCCAAGCCATGGTTTCCCATTGTTCCTTGTCTCACGGGCGGTGCCTTCAATCGCTTCGAACTTTGAAGACGATAATCTGTGATGAACGATGTCAAGTTCCGGGTCTCGATGAGCCAGTAGCTCAGAGGTACAATTCCCCCTCGAGCTGTTCAAAGTAAAATGGTGATATGTCGGCTATCTAAACCCAGCGCTTCGCGAAGAAAATTTATCGGTTACTTACCGCGTGCGGACTCGTTGAACCAGCTTCTTGGTCGTCAATGGGCCAAAGACTTGGCATTCACCAACCCCGAACATCCCTTTTTCAATCGGTCTGGCACAGTGCATTCCGGGAGGCTGGGATTTTTGTGTTGTAAGTTGAGGCCTCTCCGAAGAACGGAGAGTCCAAACCAAACCTGGCACGGTTGATTTCGGAAGTCTGGGCCGTCTTCGAGGGAGGCGGGATATTGGGTAACCGATTCCGATTCCAGACGACACTCCAATAATAGTTCTTTGTCTTGGTGACTAGCCAGCTCGCGTGCCTTTCCAGGACAGTGCCGCCACATTAATGCTGGACCTTTTCAGGCCCCCTTTAGCTTCAATGTTTCTAGATATGTTGGGTTGCTAGTGCTCATCACTACGCTGAGTAGTCAGATGGCGTGGGGATGGCGTCATGCCAAAGTCAAGCCTTTGAAAGTTAGATCCTTGTGAGCGAGCAGCGCGTCAACCAGACAGAGAACCCCGCATCAACCATCATACAATTATACCTTTCTCCTTGCCCATTTCAAAAGGCATTCTTATTTAGCACTTTTCATCGTCGTTTTGTCTTGCATCGATTTCCGGCGTCGTCCTTTGCAACTCGTTCCCGCTTATTCCCATTCGCTCGTGTTTTGGGGAAGGGCAAGAAGTGAACCCCTCTCAAATTCCCGGCCCAACGCCAATCGCGGGACACTGCGTGAAAGAAGGGACTGGGGTTCATGCCACCTGACCCAAGTTGAGGAGTGGAGTGGATCGAGAGGCCACGGACGGGTGACCCTACGACACAACCCCCAGAGCCGCCCGCTCTCAGCACCCTCTTTAGCACATCGACCTAACAACGAGCCAAGCATCTCTTGCCCCCACCCTTCCACCATCCACCTTCCGCAATCCAACGAGCCCCTCTCCAGTGTCCCGGCATCGCACGACCTAGAGAGAAGAGACCGGATAAAAAAGAAAAGAAAAAACAGCCAAAAGTTCGCGCGACTTTGTAGTGTAGGCAAGGGCGGTGAACTCCCCCTTCCCAACCATCTGGCTTCAACAATATCGTTGGCTGGACCCTGTGCTCCCCGCCCCGCGGATGAAAGCACGCCTGCCGCACGCAACACTTGACCCACTGGTTCGACAACTGCAAGTTCGCACTGGTCCAGGAGTACTTTACTTTACACGCAGTCTGTCTCCACCCTGGTCAAGCGACGTGGTGACATTGCCTTGGTCGTGTCACGAAACTCCTCAAATGTTTGGGCTTTCCCTTCTTTAACCCAATTATTCTATCCTCAAGGCCTCACAGCTTGGTCCCATCTTTTATTTCTGATCTCTTATTCACACCTGGACGACGCCTTGTGTCTTCTTTCCTGAGCACGTTGTGGAGATCCTTTCGAGCCGCTGTGGCTCTCCCTTACCCCTTCTAAGACGACGTCTTCGCCTTTCACTGGCCGGATCGATCCGGACGAACAGGGTTCTTATCAGGATACTTAGCACGAGCGATAATCACTCCGAAAGTCGCCCAGGATCAGCCCCAAACTCAACGCTTTCCGCAGCCATCCCTTCTCACAATAGCAGACCTCGCCTCCTCCTTGATTTCTTTCCTTGTTTTTTTGTTCGGTCCTTTCTCGTGTCCCCTTTCTTCCCCGTATTGTCTCATCCCCTCTCTCTCGACTTCACGATAGAACAGAGGGCACTTTGAGCATCGATTATGGCATTCCACCCCCAGGCTCGCCAATCGCTTCACCGTCCCCTCCAGCCAACATCTGAAGCCCAGGATGTGGAGCACTACAGTCCACGTGCTCCACAAGCGCAGCAAGCGCCCGACGAGTCCCAGACCTGGGTTCTTTTCTCTCCTGGAGATAATGCCACAGCATCTTCTTATCTTGGTGAGAGCGACCGATCGCTGCAGACGGCAGGCCGGTCGCGGGCTAGCGACTTCGGTAGCCTAGATTCGAACCTGAGGTCAGATCTTGATCTCGATGCACACTCACAGTCTTTAGAGGTGCCTGCGACCATTGACGAGGACCTCGCCGAGGACGATGCCGAGTTGGACAGCCTAGACAGCCATCTTCCCGAGTTCCGGGCCATACACAATCCCTATCTCGAGCCGCCCGCGCCCGCCTCCCAGAGCGTGCCCGTCCTGCCGCGGCATGATGGACTGGGCTCTTTAAAATCGAGCAACCCGCAGCCGGGCCTGAGATGCAAGAAAGGCTATATGCGTTTGAGAGATTCAACCCACATCGGGTTGCCCAGAGAGACGACGTGCCGGACTTGCCCGACCTATTTAGTGACCCCGACATGGCACATAAGATGAATCGAATCGAATCCTGGCGGCTTGAACAAAGCCGGTTGCTCCTCGAGCATATACAAAAAGAAACTAGGACAAGGCGCATGTCGCAGTCCTCGGCCATCACCGGCCCGCCACAATCAATACAGTCAAACGAGAGCGAAAGCACCCAAGTTCGGTCGGAAGAGACTTTGTCCGGGATTGTCCAAGGCGAGCACGACAATGTTGACTGGCATCAGGGCGGCCCTTCCGAGGGCGAGGTGCCTGCCGAGGGGATCTTGTCCCGCATCGCTAAGAACCTAATCAAGGAGCTGGTGGGAATCGACGATCATCTAATATTAGCCATTCTGTTTGGGGAAGCGCTTCCTGAAGATGTGCAGGACATCCCAACCAGTTCTAGCACCCAAGGGCCCGAGAATGCCCTGGTTCAATCCCAAGGGCCATCTTGGCAACTGCGTTTTCTCGAGACCATGGCCAAAGAGCTTGGTTTCCTCATCAACAGGCTGTCACATCACCCTGGCGCCTTTTCAACCTACTCGCATGCAGCGCATGCCCCTGCCCTATGCGGGCCTGCCTGTTATCCCCGAAACGCCAGCAGGCCACTTCTCACAAGAGGTCAGCAGGGATCAAGATGGTCTCTCCGCGACGATGCCAGAATTCCGACCCACAGCTCCACGGCAGAGCCCCGTGGGCGAGACCCAGAGCTTGATCCCGCAAGTAAGCGGGCACGAAGCTACGCCAGCTAGCCAGCATTCTGCTAGCTTCACACAAGACGAGTGGGAGCAAGACTTGGATATCCGACTTGCTTTCCGATATCTTCGCTCGCGGTTCAGCTCACGGTCGTCGCCGGCACCGGCGACAGCTGGTACGTCTCATCTCGCTACATCAAGCACGCAAGACAGCGCAGCCAAGGCGGCAAGGATAAGGCAGCACCATCCGCTCGTGGCGGCGCGGCCACGTGCGGTGGAGAGGAGGTCTTTCAAAGTTAGCACGCCCAGTAGCCCCGCCGTGATCAGGCACGCCTCGAGCTGCGCAAGCCAGAGCACGAGACGGTCCGGCAGAAGGAGCAGCGTATCATCGCGCCACTACTGGGACATTGGGGGTTCGCTGGGAACGGGCTCGGTGATCGCATCCAACGGACCGATGGGGAGCTGGGGCGAGGTCTAGGCGCGAGCGACTTATATCATTCACCCCTGTGCCTTGTCTTTTGCATACTTGCCTCGACATCTGTTTTGGATCAAAGCCTCCTTTTCTCTTCTTCTTTTTTTCTTCTTTTTTCTTTCTTCATGTCATGACTACTGCATTCCTCATCGGAGCGGAATGGAACAGCCGGGGATATCAGGTTTACGGCATGGCCTCCCGAGCCTTGGCTGCTCGAGAGCATCAAAGAATAGTAATGCGGATTCTCACATGCAGTGAGTGATTTAGGGCGTGGGCTATGCGGGCATTCACGAGGCAACGGAGACTTGTCAGATAGAGATGCGCGTGCGCATACGATATATGGGTATATATCTGGTGGAAGATGGCAACATGTAGATTTACACTTCGGACACTCATCTCTTGCTTAGGTTAGGGGCGTTAATGGATCAACCAATACCCAAATCGCGCGATACAGCCTGTCCTTATCGACATATTCCTCCCCTTTGTGAAGGAAAGGGGGGCGTGAGTCGAGTCAAAGGTACTTCATCCTGTACTTTTGTTCGCATCTCGGACACCCATTTAGCACACGGAGTTGCTGAGCTTTCAAATCCATGCAGATACATTTTGGCTGCTTGTTTGACGTCTTCAGACGTCGAACTCGACCCACTTGATGTGCTGGATAGGGCACTACCAAGCTACCTCTAGCTTCGTACATCGACGAAAGGAGATCTAGTTGGTGTACTACCCCCTCCTTCCGACGGGTATGGGGCTCGATTGAGCATGACCGGGGAGTCTTCAGACACCACAGGCGGTGTCAGTGGATATTATTCCTATGGTTGATCTAGGAGATCTCGTTGGATTCATTCGTCCATTATATTCAAACTCAGCGCTGCTTGCAACACTTGTTACTAGAGGGTTATCTCCTTCAGGGTTTTCCTTTCTCTGGTAAAGGACCATAGAGGGAAAGATACATGTAGTGAGACGTTTCAAAGATTTAAAAAATTTTCAAATCGGCCAACCATTGCGAGGGGCTAGACTCCTCCAACTCGGTGATGAAAAGTGATTCTTTTTTTTTTTCTTTTGGGAAACACTAAGTGACCTCGCAATTTTCCCAAAGAGGCAACTTTGCTCTTGGGGCAGCGGGTCAGCTTGTTGGTGTTGGAGCCAAATTTCAGGACGACCGAACTTTGCGCACGCCGACTATAATGCGCTATTACCTCGCTCCCGCGTTTGCTAGTGTGGGATCTATGGATGCAGGTTGGTGTGAAGGACGAGGTGGCCAAACTGATTATTCGGCCATGCAGATCTCGTACTGCACGGGTGACTCTAACAATGACTCCTTCCTGAGCATTTCGACTAAGAGATGCAGCAACCTCGGAGGTGGGAGGGGGTGCGGCTGTGGAGGAGCGGGAGGCGTCCCCGTGTCTGGGCGGGCAAATAAAATCGTAGGAACACGATTGGCCTGACCACCAAAGCCTTGGCTACTCCGTCCCTGATGTCGGCATTTTGAGGATCTTTTTTCTCTAGTTTTTCCTAACACTCGCCGAAGGATCATTGGTACATGGGAGGGGGACAAGAAAGAATCCGAGCCATCAATCGGTCCTAGTCCCATTATTCCGAGAACCGCTCAATGGTATCGCCCTTGCGATCCTGCATGTAGAACTCTCTACCTGAAGCGTTTGTGGGAGGAATGGTGGTGATGGAGGGACCGACCTGGTGAGGAATTTTGGATTAAAAAGTCTACACTATGGAGAGTAAAGGGGCACCTATTGCTCACAAACACCTCGCTAGAGGACTCTTTGCCGAGTTGGACAGTGTGCCAATTGCGACAACATCGACCAGCTTGGGAAGTGGAATCGTCACACAGAGCCAGGATCGAGATACGAAGCTGTGGAGGGTGTAAGTTGATGGGAGAAGGAGATGAGTGACACCTCTACCCTACCCGCTTTGGGCCAAAACAATGCATGTCTAGGGTAGAGAAAGAGAACAACAAAGACAAGGACAGAGAGTGTGCAGAGAGGAAGGGAAAAACAACAAAAAAACAAGCTAATGCATCGGGTGAGCAGGCGAGATGAGGTTGGGAAAGTCACTCGTGGTGAAGCTTCTCCGGAGCTTCGTTAAGAGCTTGCAGCGACCAAGGGTGGACGTCTTCACAATTGGCCGGCGCAGCAATTGGAGCAGCAGAGCACCAACTCGGAACAGTACTTGTGCTGCTGTGGGACTAGGGAGATGTCCTGGCAGGGGTACGAAAACAACGGCCTGGGCCAATCAACACTAATCGCCCGGCTTCTCCTGGGCCACTGACAGGCGGATGGGGCTAGCCTGGGTGGGCTTGGCAGAGACAATGATCAATTGACGGGGGCGGGTGGCCGGAACCTGGCGCGTCCCACCGCTCAGGGTAATAGAGAGGAGTCAAGGTGCGTTCAACTGATGAAACCGGGGGAACTCTCAAGATCTCCATGCAGACAGTGCGTCAAGTGGCCGACATTTGAGCAAACCGCGCAGATTTCGGAGCGTTGCCGCCTGGTTCTTTTTAGGTCTGGGCTCCTCACACTGTGGCGTGCGCCATGTTCTTGGAGGGCCTCCACGCCTTGACGCGTTAAGTGGTTTTTTTCTTCCCCTCCCTTCAAAGTTCCTTCCTCCCTTTGCGACCTGGATTCGACAAGATGATCACCGAATCATTCTTGCTTGGACAGCTCGTTGAATTGAGATTAATGGGTTCGTGTCTGCCGAGGTCTTGAGGTTTATGACTGTCCCTAAGAATAAGAAAAGAAAAAGAAAAAGAAGAATATCTGAAGCCGCGTCTTTTGCCTTCAATGTTCCCTTTCGCTGGGCTGTTCGCGAACCTGTCCTGGAAGTGGGCCATCCTCCATCATTGACCCATCTACAAGTATCAATAGTATTTAATGTTGTGTTCCTCACCCCTCTCCAATCAGGATTGAACCTCTCAGTCCCGATTTGGAGTAAAATCTTCTCATACCCCCCTGCCGCTAAACTAGGCGGAGAGCCGACGAGGCAGTTCGAGAGTTCGAGATCGATTCGGGAATTCGAGATCAGTTCGAATTGCACTCGCACCACCTCGAGCCGTGCTCTCTGATACACCCATTGATGTATGCAAGTACGCTCCTTGAAGTGTAGTTTATAAAGCCACACCAAACGAGCACAGTGAGAAACAATTAGTTTGGGTTCTTGCGTTGCAGTTTGCCTTGTACTTGTAATCTTTCCCGAAGCAGACCCTTTGCTCAGGTGCTCGTCTTCACTTCTGGGTGCCTATTTCCTTCCTCAACGCACGCCCCCTCAAAGTGCCTGGTTCCCTTTTCCCAGGGTCGATGATGTTATCACGACTGCTTTCATTAGGCAGTGCAGGGCCGAACGTGACATAGATCTGTCGAGGCAACACCTTTCGTTGCTGTGAAGATCCGCATCCGCTTCCAGGTATTTATTTCGTTGCACGCCTCCCTCGTTTTCTCATCCCGCCTCTGTCTCGAATCCGAACTTGATGGCTAGTGTCCCCACTTGACAAGCATGTGTTCAAGAGTTATCACTGGAGTAATATATTCCTGGTGAGAGGAAACGATCACCACGAATCTTGGGCGTGTGTGTTCGAGCTACAACATTGAGCGTATGGCTCTTCCCCCACATTATCAACACGCCCCTCACCAGCCCACACCCCCGGCTGTTCCCTCCCCCTCCTCTCCCTCTCACTCTCCTTCCCTGTTTGTACCTTACTTCAAGCTTCGTTCGACCCGAGTACTGCCATCCTCCTCTTACCCCATCCCACGCCTCACCTTTCGAGTGGCTCGCTGCGTTTCCTTCCCCAACATCCTATCTTCAGCATCAACTTTTTCTCCCTTCTTCCCCTCTCGCCCTTCGTGCTCACATTTACCGCGAGCCTGTGATCTCGCTCACCAGGCAGCCCCCTCATTCTCACGACGACTATATATAACAACACACTGTGCCCTTCGCAACCCCTTCGTCGCGCTCTCTTTTTTTTTTTTTTCCTTTCCTTGCCGTGGACATTTACACCCGTGGGTAACCCCGCCGGCGCCTCTTCCTATGCTTAGAAACCAGCCGAACTCGGCATATGAACATGTCCTTGCTAATCCCCAACAGTTAGACCATGAGGAACTAGAGGCCACCTCCTCCAAAGATTCTGGCCGTGTCTGGGCCGTTGCCCACCACCCAGGCCTCTTGCTTGGCGGCCCTCCTCAACAGTACCTTGCTCCCTGCCCGCTCCCGTTCGCCCCCTCACTCGCGATCGACCCGACACACCTCGCCCATACCCCGTTCTTAACCTCGCCGACTGGGAGATATGGTCCCTCTCTCTTCCCCATGGACTCGACACCCTTTGAGCCCACCCTGCCAGGCGATCCATTCTTCGACATCTATACAGATGACAAGATAGCCAGCCATGTCGCCATGATGCCGGCGCCGCCGACAGCTGCTTCTGCCCCTCTCCAGCCTTGCCAGCTGGGCAATGCAACTTCATCTACATCACGCCAGGCACCAATGGCGTGAGATGTGGTTGCCGACGCTTTTGGAGTCGAACGTCGACCCCCAAAACTGTCGCTGAGGCCATCTCCGAAGACCAATACCAATACCAATGCATGTGTAGTCATCACGCATGCTTCCACGACAATGCTTCCGCTGCCCATCCGGCCCCGGATCCCACCCCCGCTTCCTCAGATAAGAATGATGCTGCCGGGAAAGGAGGTAGGGGCCCATTGAGCCCGCTCCAGGATGTTTCGTTTCGATATACCCCGGCTTGCCCTCCGCTTTGGAGCTCCCAGGGCTAGATACGCCGGCCCGGCCGTTTCCGGGTGAGCAGCAAGGTCACTCTGGCCTCGGCCTCTCTAAACGGGCGAGCCCCGCCCCCGAGGGCTCTCTGCCAGATACGCTGTGCTGGGGTGACGATCGTCAGTCCCCCAACTATAGGATTAGCCCCCTTCCCCTATACCCTCTCAATGCTTGATGTCGTCGCGCCCAAGCTCCGTCGCGGACTCTAGCCAGTCCCGTTACCTTCGCCCTTTTGCGGGGAGAGGTTTGCAGACCCTTAGCGGCGCCCGCAATCCCACGCCCCGCCACCCCTGCACGAGAAGCCCGTTGCGCACAAGGACGGACACACCAAAGCAGGGAATACGTTCATGGTGATAAGGCACCCGATGCTTTCACCGGCCCAGGGAAGGACCATTTCGTCCCCGGCCAAAATTTCTCCCAGGACCTGGGCGACACCCAACCCTTTGGGTCTTATACCAGCCCTCGCGCGAGGCCCTTCGAAACATAACTGATACGGTTGATGCCCACGAGCAACGTCTGGACCGCCTCGAAAATACTTCCTTTTCCGTTGCCGGCCATGAAGACTGTTCCGAGAGACAGGAACATATGGATCTTCGCGTGACTGAGCTGGAATCCCGTGTCGAAGAGGTGGAAAAGGCCATCAATGACAGTGCGAGCCAATCCGGCACCCGTGGGAACCGCCTGGATACCTCATGCAGCGTTGCTTCCGAAGCAACCAGCACCACAACCCGTGCCATGTACAGTAGCGAGCTCTTTAGCCAGGTGCAGTCGCTACAGGCCCAGGTCACCAAGATGCAAGCCGCTCTCCCTTCTTTCGAGCATCCTTGGGAGGTAGAGGTTGTCTTTTTGCCGTTCCCGCTACGGAAAATCTGGCAGGGGACTGACGAATTCAAAACCGAGCCCAATCACTCCGCTACGGATGAGTGGACGCAGCTTCCCAGCACCTATAGCGCCTCAACCAGCCGCGCGCGTTCACCGCTGGGAGGCGAGTGGGCGGAGAACCATCAATCCGAATGGCTTCTCCCCAAGGCGTGCGGCCCCAACGGCCTTGTCGATCGCCGCCTACGCAGTCGCGGCTTCATTCGGACGATATCCGTCAAAGGGCCAGATGCGCGAAGTGTGCAGGTCGCCATGCAGGCAGTCTTTGGTGGCCTTTTCCGTGAACTGAGGGCGGGCCAGGCATCCACGCCGAGTCAAAGGCGATCCCTCATCTCTCGAGTAGGTGACTTCCGCGGGCTTGCCCATGATTGGGTACCGCTCCGAAAGGTTCACAAAGACTCACGCCTCCGCTTCCTGTCGCCGTCGGAGATGGTGAGCGCGTCCCTCTGGGACATACAATTTCTCAATTCCGTCATCATGAAGTCCTCCGAGCCGCGTCTTTTCATCACGCAGCCCCAAGCTTATGTACAGGACATGCACGCTTTTGAGGGAGGCTGGACGTGGCAGAGGCTCAGGGAACTGCCTCGCTTCTCTACCGAGTCCCCCAGCCTCGGCGGAGAGGTTCAGAAGCCGATGCCATGGAAGAGCACTGGACCTGGAATGAGCAACTCGATAGCACGCCGGAATATTATGCTTCCGCTTCGCACAGCCGCTCCACAAAACAACAGCGTGTCTCAAGCTCACCGTCACAGCAATACTACACGGGGATCGAGTCTCTAGTGCGATCCTCCACTCCCACTCGCGCACCCACCCCAGGCCCGGTGAGGACAGCCCGTAAGCGACCTCAACTTCCACATATTCGGACAACCTCTATGCCGCCGTCGCTTCCTCCTTACTTCTCGCCTTATATAAACCGGCGGGTAGTTTCATCAGGACAAGAGGCGCCCACGACGGTTCGAGCCCGGGAACCCTCTACCTCGGGCGCCGTGGCTAAGCGTCGCCCGACGCGGTCCCCTAGTCGCGCGAGGTTTACACCACGGTGGAGCACTAAATCACCCAGTCCCATGGTTAATGGACATCGCCTCCGAAGCACTACGCCATTCAATTACGCCACCCCTTATAGTAACGGACCAGGAGTCGATGCCTACCCTGCCTTGCCCCACAATGCGAGGCATAGCGGTGGCCACAGGGACGCTTTTGGTCTTGATGTTGATGATCATGAGCATGATGAGGAGGAGGATGATGACGACGACGATAATAATTACGATGACGACGATGGCGACAACGAAGGCGGATATAGCGAGGAGGTTGAAATCTACGACGAAGGTTCCTCGGGTGGCTATGGCGAGGTCGAAGCCGGCGTGGGTGGTGCCCATGCCGCCCAATACCCATATTCGGATCTGGAACTGGACTACGTTCGCCGCCAGCTCCCGGAAGATGAGCCCTGGCCTGGTATCGAAGACCGGATGTCGGACGGGAAAACGTCGATCCGCGTGCTCTCCCAGTGGATGGGGACGGAGATAGCGAGATGAGCAGCCAACCCTCCGAATACCCAAGCACCCAGGTATGGAACGCTTGTCAACGTGACGGCCATGCCGACTTCCGTATCCACGAGGATGCCAATGCGGGCGAAACTGAAGAAGAAGATGATGATGATGATGAAAATCGGCCCTAGAACCGCCGCCTACCAGCATTCTCTTGTCGAGTTATCCATGACGCCAAATATTGGCTCCTTATGGCACAGGGAACCCTTGGGACAGTCATATAACTGGCCTCGGTCCTTCTGTTCCTCTTTTTCCTCTACTTCAAACCCCCATCGCTTTTTTGTCTTTAGCCCGGCTTCACTCCCTTTCTTTCGATTTTTCCTTTGGAATGCGTCGACGCGTCTGCTTTTTTCCAAGATAATGTTTTACTATACTCTGGACCTATTGAGGCGTCTTATGGGTTCGCAGGACAGCCGTGGGTGTTTTTGGGGACACGAGAATAATCAAGCGAGTTGGCGCCAAAGGTTCCAGTTACTACATGTAGCCACGCTATGTCGACCCATTTCCCAAGATGGATTGGGCCCTCTAGAACGACATTTCGGGGCTGTGTACCGTTTTATTTCAACTTTTCTTTTACTCTATGGATCTTGGACAGGATTGGATCGGATGTACTACACGAGGCACACGCAGGATCTGGGAGGTTGGTATCAATTTGACCTGTTGGTGGTGGAGTTGGGAGGAGTTTTAACACTGGTGTTGTGTTGCTGCATTGTCGTCCCATCCCCTACGAAATATACTATCCACTCTTGCCATCTATTACTGCTGCATCCCAGTAAAGGGTCCTTTTTTGTTCATGTATGTGGAATCTACCTTGATAGAGGTGACAGCGAATGTCTCGGTCATCAGGAGCAAAGGACTTGCCACGACCACGTCAAGATGATAGAAACTGACAGGAGTATCTATTTGAGTATATGGTATGCTTTCTATACATAATTCTTGTCTCGTCTATTCATTTTCTGTGGAACAGAAAACGAGTAAGGGTTTGTATGTGTGTGTGGGCGCGTGTTGGAGGGACAAAAGTCGGAAAGGTATATCTCGCGGAATGGCGAAACGGAAAAGGTACAAGTAATAAAAAGAAAAAGGAGGGCTTAAGAAGAGTCTATATACTCTACATGTAGCAACATACAGGAAAAAATTGGGTATCAAATGTATCCGAGCCCACCAGCCTCTCGTGGACGAAGGGATGGGGGATAAAGGAAGGCAGGCGTACAGCGGGCATGGCAAGTCTAAATGCGCTGCCCGGCTTGCTTCATCCTCAGAGCCCGCATCCAACTTCTGCAACGCCTCCACATCCTTCTCAGCAACGCCCGCAACTGGCTTCTATGCAAATGCAGTGAATGGTTCCCCATCTAGTCTATCGGGTTGATCTTGCACGCTGATGGTACAAGACGATGATGATAAAGGGAAAGATATGCGCCGAAAACAAAATAGAAGGAACAGAAAGGAAGAAAAAAGGGAAAAGAAGGTGCAGGGGCTAATACCACGTGGTACCAGGTACGATGGAATTTAAAATTCTACACCTGTTGGTTGTGCACATCTTCTCGCGATTGAGGGCCTTGAATTTCGGGCCCATGGGGCCTGTGACATAGTGATACTGTCCGAAGAGGCGCCACTGCCGCATATCGGCGAGGCTGTAGAGCTTGTCGCCCCAGGCACCCGTGTAGTGGAACCAGCCCGTAGGAGCGTTGGGGTTCTCCTCGGCAGGCATAAGACTCTGAGCCTGGGCCTCGGGGTCTTCGGGATCGTCCAGCCGGTAATCGTAGTGGTAGGCGTAGATATTTTTGGCGGGGTCCCAGATGGGGCCGCGATCGGTCACGTCTTTGAGGAGCTTGAAAGGAAGGATATAGGCCTGGACGCCGGGAAGCGGGTACATGGCGTGGCTGCCAACCGCAGAGTAGATGACGGGCCGGTGGCCAATCTTTTCGACGGCGGACCAAGCGTAGGCCTGGCCACCCTCGTGCTCGGAGAAGAAGATGCCCCTAGGAATGCCATTCTCGAACCGAACCATGGCGTGCTCCCAGTCGCCAACGTGGTTGCCGAACCGGATGCCAAGGACGGTCTGGCCGAGATTGTAGCTGTAGAAGAAGAACCAAAAGGCATCCAGAATCCCGGAACCCTTGTCCACGAGGATAAGGACGGCGGGTGCCTTGGAGTAGCCGCCCTCATCCGGCTTGTGCTGCCGGGGCTTGGGAGGATTCAGGTGCCTCCTGCGAGGGCCGTGCTTGATACTAGGGTCCCTGCCAGTGGAGATCCTGCGAGGGTCCGAAATGCGATGGAGGGGTGGTCATGGTCGGTATCGAACCAGGACGTGGGGGCGTAAGTCTCGGGTTGTCGCTGGGCCAGCCCTCATCTTCGGGTCGGGGATCTCGTATGAGTCGTCGGCGCCGTCGTCGAAATCGCTGTCGTCCGAATGGACCGGGATGCCAACGTCACTATGAAGCCATTCAGGCCGGTGCTCGACGTCGGTGTCGCTGACGAGGAAGACGGAAGCCGAATAATTATTCAGCATCTCGTGGAGATTGTGAAGGGACAGCGGCTGGGTCAAGTTGAGTCGATCAGGGTCGTCATCGACCGAGGTGTCGATATGAGGGGAGACATGCTGGATATGCTCGGCAATATCGGCGGGCCAAAAGTTTTCCTGGGAGCACATGTGGACAAGTGGTGCGTGGTCAAGCACAAACTTGGGGATCCCCTGCAGAGGTCTAGTCACATCAGGCTTGGGTTTCCCGGAACCTCCGCCCAACCTCACTTGGCCGGTGAGCTGAGAGGTGGGCACCGACTCCCACGCAGCCTCGCGCGCTGCGTCATCCAGGACGGGCAAAGAGCGAAGTTCCAATCTCCTACCGGCAGCGTCTTCGTCATCGAGCTCACCATCGTGGGGTGGCGGCACGTATATCGATCTGGTAGGCGGGTCGCTACGAAGATGATGGAGGCCGCAGAGGCCCATCCAGCGACATGCTTGGCGGTCGAGCCAGTAGGGAGAAGAGGATACCCAGGCTCTGTCTTCGCGGCGCTTTTCCTTGGTCGGAGGAACCGGGTTTAGGACCTTTGGGGCGTAGACGGCGCAGGAGGATAGGAAGAGGAAGACCGTTACGAAAAATATGACGGAGCGGAGCGGAATCATGCTTGCGAAAGTGTGAGAGGAGTGCGTGGAGGAGGGGAGGAAGGGAGAGAGGGTGCGTGGTAGAAATGTCGGGTTAATTGTTCAAGAGTGTATAGCGGTATTCTCCATGAGGTCGGTTTGAGGATATTCTCGAAAAACAAGAATATGGGTAGTCGTTTGTTGGTGTAAAGATGTGGAAGAAGGAGGAAGTGGTTGGGGGCCGGGAGGGACGGAAGCGCCGGGCGCTGGTGTTATAGGATGGAGCCGAGAGAGGTTGTCGCAAGGGGATTGGGCTGAAAGGCGAGGCTCAAGGGTGTACAAGGCGCAAGAGTTTGAAAAAGTCAAACTAGAAGAAAAGAAGGGCAAGGCAACGAAGAATGGGGGAGTGTAAAGTGGATACAGGACTAGTTTAGTAGCGGTAAGAGTTTTGGTTTGAGGCCGAGGTCGGTCGAGGCAAGGCAAAAAAGGTTGGAAATCGTTAGGTCTGAATTGTGAGTGGATGATGATGACATCGGGCGAGAGAGGCGTAGGGAAACGCTCGGGCGAATGTCATCGACCAAGAAAAAGCGTCTAAGTTGGAATGCGCGGGCAGAGCGATAATAACTGGGCTGGAAGAAGAATGGGGGAGGAATCAAGCGGTATCCAAGGTAATATTAATCAAGGATTATTATTCCAAAAGAAAGAGAAGGATCAATTGCGGCCTCAAAGGCTGGACTGGTGGCTTATTTACATCTACGAATGTACTTTACACAAGTGTTTGGGACTCTTAAGACATCAACCTGATGCAGATGACACACGCACTGTACGCACTGTGGGAACTGCGAGGACTGTGACGAGTGTGAGCACGACTGCGAGGCCGTGGCGGCTCAAAGAATGGGGTGGACAGGGATCAAGAGTACTTGGGCAGGTGTACAAGACAAGACAAGAAGTAGCGTGTGGTGGGTAGTGGGGGACCACGGGGCGTTGGGGCGTTGGGGCGTTTGGCCTGATGAAGGGAGCACTTGAGAGGAAACACGGGCGGCACAGCAGGGGACCAAGTTGACTGGACTGAGCACCGCCCTCGCCCCCTCGCCCCTTCGCCCCTCCCCACCAGGGTCTCCAAGTCACAACGGGCTTGACCCGCGGATGGAAAAAGCTGGATGCCCTTGCAGATGGTCCCCGTGAGCAGAGAAACCACTCTCCGAGGTCTGCCCGCGAGGCCGAATCTTTGGATTTTGGCGGCCTGAGTGAAGAAGAATTAGCAGATTCGGGAAGGGTCGTTCCGGAAGAGGAGCCGCCAGTGGAGAAACTGACAGGGATATAAAGCGGGGATCTCTCAAGTTGGACGAACAATTGTCAAGAGCGGAGAATATCTTTTGTCGGTGAGCGAGGAACGAGCGAGGTCGGCAAGTCGGGCAGGTCACGCAGGTCGATGCTCGTCGCGGCGGGAGATCAATCATCGGCGTGGTTAGTTATCGTCCGGCTCTTCAGCCAGGATGGTTCTTGTCGCGCCGTTCCCCAGAGGACCGGGCACGGGGAACACTCGTTGATCGCAAGGGAGACAGAAAGACTCTTTGACTGAGACATCCCGTCAATGTCACCGGCCTCTCGCTTTCGGGTACAAAGCAAGAATTCGTCGATGCACCACCCAGTTCCGGAGTAACCGGACGGACTCTTGGGAGCGCGGACTGGTTTCGAGGGCCACACAACAGCATCGTCCCTTGGCAGTTGCACTCTTAACTTCTCAGGGAGTATGCAAGAGATCCATCCTCTAGGTAGGATGCAATCTTTGAATGGATCGATCCATGGAGGGGAAAATACTGTAAGCATGTCTTGTTGGGACCAGGCGCGAACTATCAGCCCACTAGCCGTTCGTTGATCGATCCATCTTATTGGCAATCATTGACAAGCGAAGAGCCAACAAAAAGAACAAATTGACACTCAAGACACTTCAGAGCTCACTCTGGCAAGTCTGGCAACGCTGGCAACGCTGGGTACCTCTTGGCTTCCCGTCTGCCGTCGTCCACGTCTGTCAAATGCAGCAAGTATTTGGCACCCTCTGCAAGGTCCTGTTGATCCTCGGTAGTCAGGGATGGCCCGAACCTGGAATTCGGGTGCCTAAAAGCCAGCCCTCCTAGACATCGTACTTCGTACCCCAAATCCCCCAAGACAAAGGCGGGCTGAGACGTGCGACCGAACCCTGCCTGACCTTGCCCCGCTCAAGCTCCAAGACCGTGCGCCTGTCCTCCCCTTGTGCTTGCACTCTTCCCCTCCGATGGAATAAATGGGTGAAAACGGGCAAGTCTTGATATTCGTCAATTTACACGAGATCAATTCGTAATACCAAGGTATGGCCAGGCTAGTCATAGCCCAAAAATTGATAGTTCTTTCCCTGCCATGCTCGGGCAGTAGCTAATCGTCCAAGTACTTCGTGCTTGGTGACTCGGCAGTGACACACCCTTTCACCTCACCTTCTTCGCTCTTTCCTTTTGATTCCCCACGTCATCCAAACCGCTGGTTTCGGCAAGATCATCCCCCACTTCCAACCTTGGCTTTCCTTATCCCCCAACACCACTGCCGGCGACTCGTGCTTCCCTGTCATTTCGTCGTCAGTCAACCTGATTGGGAAGAAATCCGGGCTTCCTAGAGTCCCCAATCTGGCTATCGATGGGCTTGGAAACTATTCCCCTTCTTTTACCCCTTGTTTCTTGAGGAGCCTCTCCTCGTTCTCTGGATTGTCAGAGTCTTGGTTGGGGAGTGCTGGAGATCGATGAGGTGGAAAGGTCACCAGGGCCTGAGGGTTCAAGAAAAAGTGAGGGCCAGCCGCCGTTGATGGGGACTTTGCCCACCTGACCAACCACTGTTTTTTGAGGCACCACATGGGCCGTTTTGAAGGGTCCGCCAAAATCCAAGCATGACCAGCGCCGGGACGTGCCGCCCAGTACATCGATTTCTGAATTAATACTGGTTAATCTCACATTTGATCTTCGTGTCGTCTTTCTGGGCCTCCATCAATGACCCAGCTATCCCATTACCCATATCTCAACCCCTACACCACGCCCTTGAGAGCCTTCTATATTCTGCAAGTGATCCTTCCGAGTGTTCCAATCAAATCCACACGGGAAGCTGCTGCGTAACCTATTGGCGTTGCATTTGCGGTCACTCAGCGCGCGTTACTTGACCATTCATTCCATCGTACATGCACCGGCGTCAATCACCTTCCTCGCTAGTGTTTAGCGAGACGACCAGGCCTTCGCTTGAGTGGGCATCCGGATCCGCCCCGGCACAGTGCCGTCGGCTCCTCTGCCTTAGCCTCATTTTGTGAGGGCACGGGGTGCTAATTAATGGAACCCGCAAGCTGAAGAGGGTGCCTGCCTGTGTTTCATCAGATACTGGATCTAGTCATGTTCTATTGCATGAAGCGAGACGCGGCTGATCTCCCAACGTGGGCATGCTAACGGCGTGTATTGGACACACATAACGCTTGAGATAGGTATAGTGCCGGCTTGACTCCCTCGATCAAGTTTGCGCGAAGCTGCGCAGAATGAATGCGCACCCGTGGGGCTTGATTTAAGGTGCTGCCAAATCGCACATGGTATAAACTATGGCCCAAGGTAAAGGTAGTCTCCATCTACCGAGATTTGTACTATTCTATCTGCCAGACTCTCCATGCAGGCGGTTGGCCAGGAGAAGAGAATCGAATCTCGAATCTTCATTGCCCAGAATAGTTCTGGCGAACTATGATCTTTCTCCGCATGCTTCAACAGCTCATTTGGATCTGGCTCCGGGCCGTCATTCTGCAACACTTGCCTCTATCCCCCTTTGTAGTAACATTTCCACCTCGTAGACACTTCGACTAGCCTGTCTTGGTTACTAGGCATGTAGGGACGGCGGAATGGTTTGATCCTAGGCCCGTCTGGAGGGTGAAGTTAGGATCCCTCGTAGGGCATCATGCGATGCTATGTATCCAAATAGAAGAATATGATAGGTGTGCGGAGTGGTACAAGTTGAAAGCCAACAGTTCTATGTGTTATGTTCGTCGGGATAGAGTAAATTATAGCCTGTCGATTTCTTGATGCTGTGTGTTCCAAGACGTGAAATCTATTAATGGCTTTTTCGTCCATGTAACGAGGTCATAGGGTGCGGTGTCGCATCCCATGTCCCTGACTGGGGAATCAGGAAAGTCTCCTCCGCGGGAGTTTTGCTGGGGATGGGCTCGAAAAGAACCCGGGAGGTCTCAAGATCCTAAACAAGAATCCTCATCAGGATCAGGCGTGATCGATTCCGTGTCCGGACTCGTCGTCGCTGTTATGAGGCGGCCGCCCTGCCAGCCTTATTCCATTCTGATGTCGCCATCACCATCGCCATCGCCATCGCCATCGCCGTCAACTTCAAGGTCTTCTTCTGAATTCATCTCCTCGTCCTCGTACTCTTCCTCTTCTCCCTCCCCAGACCCATCTGCATCGGGGAGGATATCGGCCCAGCTATCCGGCGTAGGCACGGAGCCTCCCGCCTCCCTCGCTAACGCTTGCGGCCCGCCCAGGGCTACCTCACGCCTGTCTCCCGGTCGGCCAAAGGGCAACGGCTTTCGGTCTCGGTCTTTTCTGAGGGTGGGGCTGTCGCCGGACCCAGGCTCAGGCTCAAGCTCAGGCTCTGGCTCGAGTATGAGCGAGGGCGCAGACAGCTCGCGCGGGGGCATCCTCGTTCTCGGTCTGCGCGGCATCCAGTCGGGGTCCCTGTCGTCCGCGAAATCCTTATCGGGCGCCGGGCGCGCCGTCACGGTCACCATGTCCTTCTCGCCCTTTTGATCTTGACGGCCATGAGATTTTCGAGGAAGCGGACCTGCTTCTTCTTCTCGTCGTAGTGGTGCTTGCCGAGAACTGGTAAGCGGATCCCGTAGGCTTCGCGCGTCTTCTTTAGCCTGTCGAGCTCGTCGGGTATCTTGAGTATTTTCTCGGTGGTGAGGATCCGCGCCGAGCTTGCCGCCAGCAGGTCGACATCTCCGGGAAGCCGCTGAAGGAGGGGGCGGAGCGGACTCGTCGTGCTCTGCGAATATGAGCTCAGTTCCCAAGACTTCTGCCCAGTTCCCCTCAAAGACTTTGCCTCGGTAAGAGATGATGGGGTGGGGGTGTGGAGATCGAGGATCTCGATGTCGCGCTCTACAAGCTTGTCGTCGACGACCTCGGCGGCGCCTTCTTGTAGTCGCTGGGGAAAGCCGTCGAGATCCGGATCTCCTTCGTCCAAGTCGTCTTCGGGTTCAGGTAGCAGCTCGTCGTCTTCGTCTTCGTCGTCCTCATCGAGCACGCCCCTGGAGGTACCACGCGATGCGCGATGGACCGCTTGTCTGCAGACTCTGGATCTTTTATCCAATCGGCATAGTATCCCCCTCTTCCAAAGTGCATGATGCCACTCGGGTTCCTATATACGAATTCGGGAAGAGACAGGTCGACGGTAAGGTAAAAAGTCTTGCATGCGAGGAGGTTAGCAATCGAGACGCCGAGGTCGAGCGGTCTGTAGCATAAGCACAGAAGAAAAAGAAAAAGGGAGATGATACCTCTGTCTCCGTTGTGGAGTACTCGTATTCCCATTCGGAGTCGTCCTCAGGTTCGAGCGAAGGTATTTCCCGATTGGCACGCGGAGGATGCGATGTCGCCGTCATAGGCGGCATGCGAAAGGGCTGACCGCCCTCGGCGCCGGCCATCTTGCTTATGGCGGGAGGTGCTGGACGATACTAGATTGGCGATGCTCAAGCTGTCTTTTCATCGGGGTGGCGGGCTTGCGCCGCGGGTCGCAGAGTCGACTCGTGCAAGGTGAGAGAGTTCGCGATCGCCCCCAAAAATTGGTGCACTGCAACGATTGGGGAAGGTCTTCATGCACGGGCTTGTGAAAGACTTTGAGCTCCCGCTCCTAATTCTACAGGCTCTGATCAATTAGCCAGCATGATAGGTTGGAACCTAGGGGCTCATTGGCGGGGTAGCTATAGCGCTTGGTCTTGTTCCAGTTTGGACCACAAGGGTCTGGTGCGAGAAAAAGAAAAAAACAGAAAAGAAAAAAAGAAAAAAAAAGAAAGCGTCTGGGTGTAAACGCGGGGCATTTTTGCAGGACCGACCTGCCCCGCAGTCGACATCTTTTTCTCGCGCTCTGTCGAAAACTATTAACGCGTAAGAGTCATCGAAGCCATCACCGTGAAGAATTCATATTCCATTCTTTCTCCTCGCTCTTTATATATCGTATTTCTTTTGCGAGACCGTACGAGTGCCAATCCAACATCTATCTCTCTTCGAGCTTCGCCCTCCTTTTTTTTCCGTTTTCCCTTTCGTTGCCCACACTTGCGCCCCTACATCTTACGCCTATCATCCTGCGAGCACACCCCGGAACTTAGCACAACCTTAGCTAGGGGCCAAGATGCCCACCGTCCACCTTCTTGACTACGTCGCGGGGAATATTCGGAGTCTTGTCAATGCTATTGAGGTGCTTGGCTACACCGTAGAATGGATCAAGTCCCCCGAAGATGTCGTTAATGCCGAGGTATGCCCCCATCTCTCTTTCCCTGGCCTTTCACGCTTCTTAGAACTCCCACCAACACCGTCGCAGAAACTCATCCTTCCCGGTGTCGGCCACTTTGGCCACTGCCTCACCCAGCTCAGCAGCGCCGGCTATCTCGAGCCCGTGAGGAAACACATCGACGCCGGCAAGCCCTTCATGGGCATCTGCGTTGGTCTCCAGGCCCTCTTCGAGGGATCCGCCGAGAACCCCGCCGTGTCCGGTCTCGGCGTCATCAAGTCGCAGCTCAGCCGCTTTGACGACTCGGCCAAGGCCGTCCCGCACATTGGCTGGAACTCGGCCAACACGGGAAGCCAGAGCATGTACGACCTAAGGCCAGACTCCAAGTACTACTACGTTCACTCGTACATGTCCCCTACGTCAAGGGGAGCTTGAGGCGCAAGGCTGGACCGTGGCTTTGGGAACCTACGGCACCGAAGCCTTCGTGGGTGCCGTGGCCAAGGGAAATGTCTTTGCCACGCAATTCCACCCCGAAAAGAGCGGCGTGGCCGGCCTCCGAACCATCAAAGCCTTCCTCACCGGCGAGGGCCCTCAGAACCTCACCTTGGACAAGGCGGGCCTCGACCCCGAGTTCCAGGATGGCCTGACGCGCCGCATCATCGCGTGTCTCGACGTGCGCACCAACGACAAGGGTGACCTCGTCGTGACCAAGGGCGACCAGTACGACGTGAGGGAAAAGGAGACGACCGCGAGGTGCGAAACCTCGGAAAGCCGGTCGAGATGGCCAAGAAGTACTACGAGCAGGGCGCCGACGAAGTCACCTTCCTCAACATCACCAGCTTCCGAGACATCCCCCTCGCCGACCTGCCCATGCTCGAGATCCTCCGCCGCACCTCCGAGACCGTGTTCGTACCCCTCACCATCGGAGGCGGCATCCGCGACGCCGTCGACACCGACGGCACCAAGGTCTCCGCCCTCGAAATCGCCACCATGTACTTCAAGAGCGGCGCCGACAAGGTGTCCATCGGCTCCGACGCCGTCCTCGCCGCCGAGGAGTACTACGCCGTGGGCAAGAAGCTCTTTGGAAACACGGCCATTGAACAAATCTCCCGCGCCTACGGCAACCAGGCCATCGTCGTCAGCGTCGACCCCAAGCGAGTCTACGTTCCCAAGCGGGACGCGACCCGTCACAGCCTCGTTGAGACGGCCCACCCGGGTCCCAACGGCGACCGCTACTGCTGGTACGCCTGCACGATCAAGGGCGGCCGCGAGACGCGCGACGTCGACGTCGTCGAGCTCGTCCAGGCCGTCGAAGCCATGGGCGCCGGCGAGATCCTCCTCAATTGCATCGACAAGGACGGCTCCAACTCGGGCTACGACCTCGAACTCATCAGCCAGGTCAAGGCCGCCATCAAGATCCCCGTCATCGCCTCCAGCGGTGCTGGAAATCCCGGCCACTTCCACGAGGTGTTTGAGAAGACTACCACGGATGCGGCTCTCGGTGCCGGCATGTTCCACAGGGGAGAGTATACCGTCAAGCAGGTCAAGGACTTCCTCGCCGAGAAGGGCCTTGTCGTGAGGAAATTCGAGGATAAGCTATGAGTGTGGCAGTAAGAATAAAGGGCGGGAGGGGAGATGGGGTAGAGATTCCCACGGGGCTCGTCAGATTTGGATGGCTGGGCAAGTAAAAAACAAAACGATGTGAGTTTAGAAAGCGGTCATGGGGAGGGAAAACGGGGTTACGGTCGTTGATCCAAGGGCATCTCTTATTCTCTCCCTCATTGGTTATGCGTGTTTTTCTTCTTTTCTTTTTCTTCTTTTTAGTCACATAGATTTTAGTCGAGAGAATAAAGGCATCCCTTGGAAACCCGTCTCCGTTGTGTACATGTACGTATAGGTCAATTTCACATGGTAAGAATCTTACTCATCTACGAAGGTTTTGCGAAGAGGAGGAAATCGTGTTGATACGAATAACTATGATGATGCTCTGCCTTTCAACCTGAAAACTAGTATGCTCAAGTTAAGAAAAGAGCGCAGCAGGGGCAGGCAAGAAACAAAGAGTGTTGCAACCAACAAGTTGGGGGTTAAAAAAAGAAAGACATCGAGTACCAGAGCCCGTTTCCAAGACTAGACAAGTGACTTCGACCAAACGAAGGGTAAGAGGAGGATAAAGGTTAAGGTAAGGGTGTGTGTGTATCGAGTTATGAATCCAGCCCACGCCTGACCTCACCGAGGCCCCGAAAAATGATTTGACCAACGACAGAAGCGTGCTAAGTTCACATACGCCAACCGTGCAGTAGCAGAACTCCGGGACGGGATTTTCGAAGACAACATTGAAACAGATTACGAAATCATCTGCGGGAGGGAAAGAAAAAAAAAAAGGAGAGAACGTTTGAGCTGGTTTGCTATTTCAAACGTCCATGCTCAAAAACAGCCATTTCTCGCTGGTGACATCGAGGTCTGTAGAGAGGAAATCGAGCGTGGCGAGATCGAAGCCGACCCAGCGGAAGCTCTTGAGGACGGCCTGGGCTTGGCTCCGGGAAACGTCACGGTCGACACACATGACGATGCGGGCGCAACCTAGAGCGGATTCAGCAAGTTCGATGAGGGCCATGAGCCTAAATAGCGAGGGTTAGCCTTGTTCGGGGGCAAAAGGTGTTAACGGGAAGGGAGGCATGGCTAGAATCAAGACGTACCCTTGCTTCAAATCCAGGTCGATGATGTTATGGTCGAGGAAGGCAAAGAGAGTCTTCTCGCCATTTTGGTCGGCAACGAAAGCGCGATAGCTCGTGCCGCCAAGGTAGTCCCAAACCTCGGCCCAGGCCGAGATGGTGACGGAGTTAGCGCCATTGTGATACAGCGGCCTTGCACAGTTATCGTGCAGCAGGTTGTATCTGTCGTCTGGCGGCGTAGCCAGAGAATCCTCACCCATCATGTCGGAGCCATTACCGGCCGGGTCCTGCTCACCACAGAACACGGCGCTCATGGTCTCACAGAAGAATCTCACACATTCTTCCCTGATGATATGAGTTGCCCCCTCGTCGCCCGCGCATCCGCGTTCCAGGGATGCTACGGCTCTTGCTCTTGTCCTTTGGTAGGACAGCGAGTTCGTTAGACGAGGTTATGGCGACGAGGGGGGCTTGATGGGGGCGAAGGTAGTCCTGAGATAGGAACCTCAGGAATACCACTCTGCCCCTATACATGTCCCAACCAGTACAAGGTCAGCATACTATTCACAGTCTCGGTCGTCTCAAAAGCGTAGGGAAAGTCAACGTACCGGTGGCCCCGGTAGAGCAGTAGTGGAGTCCCCGAAGGGACCCGAGGGTGTCAACAATGTAGCAAGTGGCGAGAACGTTGGGGAGGGCGCTCTCGCCGTAATTACTACTGTCGTAATTATTACTTTGTTTCATGGGCGACATTGCTATGGTATTGTCCGGGTTTGTTCCTAAAAGATATTCGGTGTGGGTTGTACGGGAGGTAGTCTCTGAGGACTCGGCGGCGAAACAGGCAAGCCAGCGGGATTTATTGTTTTAGAATTTCGGTGTAGTCAAAAACCGCGAGCAGGGCAGTCAATCGTATGGAGTATTCAGGACCGAAGGGATCTCTTGGGCTGTGAATTGGTTATGGTTTGATTTTTGGTCTCTTTTTTTTGTGGTGGTCTTGAGCGGGTGCAGGCAATTCTGTTCGGTGAATAATTTGTGGTTGAAGATTGGGAGAGGGGGAGAAAGGTGGGAAGGGGAGGGCAGAATAAATGGGCGGAATTTATCAGTTGAATTTCTAAGGGTGGTCAGTGTTAGTGTGAGTCTTGATGAGTACTGTGCCGGGAATATAGAGTAATCCAACATAATAAAACACTGGCTCCATTGCGTTCCCTCCCCCAAGTCCTACTGGTAAGTGGCGCCGGACCAAGTTTGGCTTGGCGAATCCACATTGGAAACCACATGTGGGAATTCTGAAAAAGACTGGGCCTCGAAAGCGGGGAGAAGAAGGAAACAGCACGTTGGGCCACAGCAACTCTTTGACTGGATCAATGGACGACCACATTGGCCACAATGCACAAGAGAATTGATCCATCAATTGATTCGACCATCCGCTGATGTGAGAGAAATTGATGATCGGAGAATACACATCTCCGAATCTACACCCAGCGCATCGAGTCACTGTATCGACCCTCCGGCCCTTTTCGCGCCTATAGTAATACATTCGAGCCCATGCGGCGAGGTTGAAACCTTGAATGTCTCTGGCCTTGCGCCAATCCGTGTGAACTTAGCGGGCGGCTTTTTGTTAGTTCGAGCAAGCTCGAGGTTCTCGCACTAAGCCCAGCGCGGACCAACTTGCAAGGGCGAGACTCTGTGTCTGTGTTCTCGGTCTTCCTTCGTTAGCCTCACGCGCAAGAGCAAGAGTCTTTCCCTTGCTTGTCGGCCCCGACCACGATCAAGGGATCGTGGTGTGCACTGGTTTTCCATTCCTTTGTTTTCCTGCCGTTGGCTCTTATCTCCTCGGATGGACGTGCTCCTTCGGGCAGCCTACAGCGGATGCCCTCGGACGGCTCGCCGGGATTATGCATGGTGATGGGCCGGCCATAGTGTATTCTTGCCATGATGTTTCCCGGCAAGCCACCCTGCGACGTCTTCGAAAAGCTCAAAATCTCGACCCCGCCCAGAGTCTAGATCGCGGCAGCTGAATTATAGCGATTATTGACGGAGTCGTGATGAGGGTCAGGAAACGACTCTAAACAGTACATGTGCGCCACTCATCCATCCCGCCTTGCCCGCACACGGATGCAATGCATGGGGCAATGGTGGCCCATCCGTCGACCCATCGTAATAATTACCTTTTTCCTCCTCCTTTTCTTCGCCCTCAAGAACCTCAAAAGTCCGGCCTCGACTCTCAAGAAAAAGCTTTGTTACTTGGTTCAAAGATTAGCCAGTGGTGCCCCGGAACGGTGCTCGATTTCTAACAGAGGATGCTTGGCTGGACCGAAATGGCCCAATCCAATGCATGGAAAGGGACGGTGGCGGATGTCGTCAATCAGTCATGTGCATCGCCATCTCGGCATCGAGCGCCCGCCTGCCAAGCTGGTTTCCTCCATCGAGCCCGGATATCGCGCCTGAAGCCATGTCCGCACAAATGCATAAATGATTGATCCCGTTGTCACACGGCGGGGTTTCCAGGGAGCGCGGGTGTCACAGCATATAGTGGCGCGATGACGGGAGTCTTTGAATCAGATGAAAGGCATCATGGAATCCAGCTTTGGGTCCACCCATTGGACTCACCCTCCCAACACTTGGGTCTCCCCGAGTGATTGGAGGGGGAGTGGGCGACCACTCATCATGATATGCATGTGTACTGTGTTTGCTCTGTATGTTGCTGGTGGAACCGGCCTCGTCGGATGCAGTCCTCCAGGCCTCAAGACTCCACTAGAGATGGAGAGCAACCTGATCCACACAGAGGATTTGGTGTGGATCAATAGATCCATCCATCAAACTATGTCGGGCAAGTCGGGGTATGTCGACAGAGTCAACGGCGGAAGGAATGCATCGATACGCCTGCTTCGCACCAATCTCCGAGAAAACCAGCCCAATAGATCCATGGTATTCAAGGAAAATGTCAAGTTCTGCCCACCCTGTCACTGAAGGGGCCGATGCAGGCCTCATGCACCCAGGCCGCACGACATCAAAGCCTCCATTTCTAGAAGCCCGGCTTTATTTGCCACTCAAAGTCTAGCCGCCTAGCTGTAGTCGTTAAACTTGCAAAGATTGATGCGAGTTAACTCTCGAGGAGGCAATTTCGATGTTTTCTGCGGGTTCCTGTCCCGTTTCTGAGCCCGGTCTCTCTCATATCATCACGAGCCAGTGTTCGTCGGTTGTCTTGATAAATCCTTCAGAGTATTTTGAAAGGCAAAAAACAAGAGTCCGAAGCGGTCAAAACTGCCTTCGATTCATTTATGGATGAATGCATATTGCAGTTTCTAGTCCCTAGCTTCGAAATCGTGTGCTGTGTCGAGCTGAGCCCACCGCTCCCCACCCATCCACTCTCTACGAACAAGGGTCAGCAAACTGATTCAACGGCTATGGGCGTTTTATCGATAAGACCAACATCCCCAACTTTAGCTGCGGGGTCGTTTGCCCCTCAACTCCCTTCTTCCCCCAACTCCATCCATAGCAAGTTCGAACCTTTTTTTCTCCGTGTCGAGTCGTAGGCCATGCACGGATGCTAGTACCTTAGACGGTAGTGGACTCGGCTGGTCCACCAGATGTTGGAAAGAGTTTCTTTCGAGGAGCAAGGACGGCCATCGCCATCAACACTGTGGCTGCTCCTTTTGCCCCTGAGCAAAGAACATTGTTGAAGCTCGTGTTTTTTGTTGGTCAGGGCTACCTCTGTCCCTTTCCTCTTGAGGCTTGGCCAGCCTTTGTCATCGCCAGGTCTAGTTGAACTTGCACTGTAGGGGGCGAGGATCTGTAGACCCGTACCCAGTGCGTCGACGGAGGCTACCTTTCTCATGTCCTCAAAGATGCTCAAGGAAACGAAGCAACTTATCCGCCACCCCCGAACGCGGCCTCCTTGGAGGCTGGTTGAGGCGGCATGGCAAGAAGGCTAGCCGCCGGTAGAGGGGCAAAAAGAGCCCTGAGTACGGTAGCGGGACCTACGGCTTGGATTCGGCGCCTGACCCCCTTTGGCCTTCCCTTGCCTCTTCACCTGAGCCAATTTTTTTCTTTCTTCTTTCTAATGGGGGAGGAGCGGAAAAGGGATCGAATACGGTAATAAAGGGTCACGCTTGCATATTCCAATAAGTTGCAGTCGAATTTCACCGCTTTCGCCCCTCCATCTTGCCTTCACCAAGACCTCGCCGTTTCCCCAGTCGTTTCGTGCTCTTCCATGGGCTTCAGTTTACTCTGTTTTCTTTTAATCAACCGTCGCTCTTACATTCACTTCCCGGGTAACATTCGTCGCGAGTGAGCCGTTCTTCTCGGCAAACCCCTGTCGCGACCCGGAGGCCGGTCCTAGCCCGCACGTTTTAGCAATCGGGATCACGCCCTCCTTGCTTGCTCAGCGGGGAACTCAAACGGGAATTAAATACAACAAACAAAACGCAAGAGAAGAAAGATAAGAAAGAAAAAATCACTTCGGCGCTTCATCGCGCTCACCCAATCGCCGCCATGGGCAAGGACAAATCCTCCTCCCGGCTCTCCTTGCCGGCTTTCCTCCTACCGACTCTCAAGTTCCCCCTCCGCCCCGGCCGCTCCATCGACTTTTCTGTCCCGTCCTCCTCCTCCCCGGAGTCCCAGGCGAATCCTACCCCCGTCACCGCCCTCCGCGTCTCCCGCACCCAGCCCGATACCCTCCGCTGCTCGACCTGCTCAACGGACCTCGCCTTCGCCTCCCAGATTGTGAGCAAAGGCTTCACCGGCCGCCACGGCCGCGCCTATCTCGTAGCGCCCCCGACGGACCCCTCCGCCCCGACGTCCTACTCCACCGCCGACCTCATCAATATCCGCGTCGCCCGCTGCGAGAGTCGCCAGCTCGTCACGGGCTGGCACACCGTCGCCGACATCTCCTGCCTCGTCTGCCACACCAAGCTAGGCTGGAAGTACGTCGACGCCAAGGAACACAGCCAACGCTACAAGGTCGGCAAGTTCATCCTCGAGACTGAGAGGGTCCTCACCTACAAGAGCTGGGAGGACGTCCCCGCCTCTCCCCGCCCCCGCTGGCAGCAAGACCCTGCGGGCGGCGCGGCCGGCCAGGGGCCCGACGTCGAGTTCGACTCCGACGATGACGACGAATGCGATGAAATCTTCGCGGGGACGTGGAATCCCGATGTTGTCGCGAAGCGTCGAAGTCGTCAGGTCAGCTACGAGAGAGAGTAGTGGAATGTGGTGGGCATGACACGCCCTTTTCCACCCCCAGCCCTGCCACTCTCGGATTACGCCTTAAGCTTTTCATCTCTTCTTGGCCTTCTCCTGTTGACCAAGGCTCTCCTTCCTTTGGTGAAATGGTGCTCTTTTCCTTCTTTTCCTTCTTCTTTTCCCTTCTTGTGCTTGTATGGGTATAATTCTTGTTTATTTATTTTCTTAACAGAATACGCTGATACCCGGCGTGTTCGATAAACTCCCACCGTAGGCAGTATGTCGCACGCTTAACATAGAATTGGTTTGGTATCACATTGGGAAACGTAGGATATATCTAGTGGGGAGGTCCGAGACGGAGGTGTCTTTTTTTCTTTTTTTTTTCCATCACTCCTTTCAATACATCATCAACCCCGGGACAGGCGGCGTTTGGTATTTTGCTTCAGCCCTACTTCTGAACCGCAGATTGACTCATTGTATGCATGACTGCAACAAGATACATATATTAGTATTTCACTATCTAGAATCCCCGCGTTCTCTGCTACATAGTGCAATCATGAATGGATATTTCAGCTTTCCTGATATCACGACAAGTGGCCATTCCTGGTATACATAGGCTTCTAGGTCTGCGGCTCTTCGGCCACATAATGGAGGTAGGCGCCAAGCAGCTTGATGCCCTCAATATAATTCTTCTTATCCAGCTTCTCGTTGATGGAGTGGGCGCCATCGGTCGAGTTACCCATGGGGAGAAGGAGGACATTCTTGCCAGTTGCCTCCTCAAAAGTGAGGGTAACAGGAATACTGAACACGTAGAGTCAAGTTAGCCACACATGATCTTGATTGGCGGGGGTTCACGGATAGCCCCTGATGAGGCGTTGAATTATAAACTAACCTTCCTCCCTCGCGAGTAAAGTCGGGCTCGACGCCCCAAACGCGTTCGACAGCCTTGGCCGCAGCACTAAAGTTCCAGTGCTTGGGCGACGCAACCCACCATTGGCCACAATGTTGGGGGAAGACGTTGAGGGTGTTCTTGCTCTGTAGCTTGGCGAACACATCACGAACGTACTTGCAGACAATTTCGTTGGTCTTGTCAATCTCCATGTTGGGCACCGAGCGGATGGAGAATTTACCGGTGACGCGCGCAGGGATGACGGTCTTGGCGCCAGCACCAGAAAACGCGCCCTCAATGCCGTGAAGGGAGAGGGAGGGGAACCTCCAGCGGCGCATCAGAGTCTCCTTCTTCTTGTCAAAGATGGTTGTTTCGCTGCCGAGGGCCTCGAAGATATCGTTCATCGTAAAAGCGATGTTGTCGTACAGCGCCTCCTCATCGGGGTTGACGGGGGCGACTTGCTCCATGATGCCAGGGATCAAGATGTTACCGTCTGTGTCGACGAGGGAGCCCATGACCCTGACGAGGTCCGTCATCGGCTCCTGGACAGTTCCGCCAAAGACTCCGCTGTGAAGGTCAGCTCCGGGGCCGGAGATTTCAATCGAGTAGTAGTTGCATCCTCGCAGGCCGTACGTCAAGCAAGGCTTCTCAGTTCCTAGCCAGTAGTTATCCGAGATACACACGGCCTCCGCATCGGCGAAATACCCTTTGCCTCGGCCTTGATGAGATCATCGAGGCCCTCTGAGCCGTACTCTTCCATACCCTCAAAGCACATCAACAGGTTGACGGGAAAGTCTACTCCAGCCTTCTGGTGCGCTTCGATAGCGTTTAGCCATCCAAGAACGGGGCCCTTGTCGTCGGTGCTGCCGCGGCCAAACATCCTGCCCGTATCGTCCACGGTGAGCTCGAAGGGCTCCGTCGCCCACCCATCACTCTTCTCGGCGGGTTGTACGTCATAGTGGCCGTACACTAGAATCGTCCTCTTGCTCTTATCGTTGCCATAGCGGGCTAGGACGACGGGAGGCAGTTCGAGGTCCTTCTTGCCGGGCTGGATCCCGAGTGGCCGGAGCTCGACTTCGGCTCCGAGGGCCTTGAGCTCATCCGCAAGCCATTCGCCCATGCGGACAACATCGGGACGGCGGGCATCCTCGGAAGAGATGGAGGGGATAGCTACGGCACGGCGCAGCCTGTCGATAAAGTGATCGGTCGAAGCGTCGACCTGTTTAAAGAAACCATCAAGTTGGGGGCCATCTTCCTTGCTTGGTGCGAACGAAGCTCTGTTGTAAGGTACGATCGGGTGCTTGTGAAGTTGAAGGGGTTCCAGCGACGATGTGCGGTGGAGTACGGAGGAAGAGGCTTGAAGGAAGAAATGGAAGAAGCTCCCTTGGACAAGGTAGAGGGGTGACTACAGAATCGACGCGAAGGGGACTGCGGGACGAGTCGATAGGCCCCTCTAACAAGTGAGGTGCGGGGCATCCCTATCGAGTACATTCAAAAGTACCGGATTGCTTCAAACCAAGTCCTGCCGCATCGGGCAGGCAATTGGGTGATGTAAACGGCGTGAGGGAGGGTGGGGGATGACTACAGCCAACTGCCAATGCTGCGTAATGGTAGGGCCCTCACTGGGGTTGATGGGGACAGTTGTACTCTCAATGTAGGCGCACGGGTGTAGGAAGAGCTGGTAGGTACCTTGTAAAAAAAAAAAATAGAGGTTCGCTTTGAGCCTGGGTAGCTGCGGTTCGAATGGATCAATCAAGGTGTAAATGGGGGCTTGACCCAGCGTTTGTAAGCTCGAACGCCCAAGGCTTCCACTCTCATCAATCGATCCAGCGCGGCTTGCGGCGGACAAAGGAGAGGAGCCAGGTTGTGGAGTGGATCCTATGCTGTGCTGGAACTTTTTTCTTCTTTCTTCTTCTTGATGCTTCCGACGGTGCAGTATTACTAGTCGACCTCTGAAGTTAATGGATGGATCCTTTTGCACCTCATTCAAGATCCACTTTGAGGAACCAGTGGGTGGATTTTTAGACTAATAAGCAACAACCTAGCGGCCTCCTCGAAGTTGTATCAGATCATGTGATGATTCTCGCTGGCTGCCGACCTGGCCACTTGGGCTGGTACTGTATTATTATGGGATTATTTGTTCGAGCTAGAGCCGATTGCTATGAGTATGGGTATTCAATTCTAGTTCTAGTCAGACGAAACCAGTTGCTGGCTCAATGTCCCATTCCTCTTCTGGGGGAAGAGTCACGGGGACAAAGAGGGAGAAGATAGGATGAGTCAGCTGTACTATCTGAGGAGTGGCAGGTGGCTAAGTGAAAAGAGCGCAGACCTTCTCCCTGTCGCGCCTGATTCCTTCTCCACTTTCCTCCATTCCATCACCCTTTCAAACTCGACGGATCCCCCATCGTTTCGTCTTCCTCATTCCTTCCTAGATGCGGATTCTATCAGGTTGAAAGACGATCGCCCTCTCATCCCCTCCACAGTTTCTATTCTTCGGCGACATCGACATCAATAACTAACCTATCGCGGAGCGGACGCGTTTATCCCGATATTCTCGATCCACGTGACGATTGACTCCTGATTCCTTGCAATTCTACTCACTTCTAGGTGTAGTCGAAGACACGATTTCGGTCTCTTGCGCCTGGTACTACCGTGCAAACGGACTTCGGCAGGGTGGAGGATTTTTTTCTGCAGTAAGAAGTCTTTACAGAGTCGGGTTGTGATTTGACGTGACGAGGTTCTCACTCGAGGCAAGAGGAGAATACGAGAAAGAGAGAGAGCGAGAGAGAGAGAGAGAGCACGCATCATACCCAAGAAAGAAACAAAAGTTATCGAAGGGCATCTATCTTATCCAGACGTGTGGCGGTCGCCCATCCTGGCTTTGTATTAATCCCGTTCAAAGAAAGAAAAGCGAACTTGCCCTTTTATTAACTCTTGGCTGTCCCTCCACATTCAATCAGAATTGAAGGTTTTTTTTTCTATTTCTTGTTACTGTTGGAGAGATTCAAAGAGTCGCTATCCTCGAGATACATATTATCCCTCCCTTGTTTCCTCTCCATCTCCTTCCTCCTTCACAATTCAAAATACCTGTTTTAGTTGATTCTTGTGTTCAATCGCCTGAGGTATAACAGGCCAAGGACAAATACCACGACAGTGATCCTGCCACTCCAGCAACGACGTTGGAACGAGGCGGAAGGGGCCAAGCAGTCCGGATTCTTGTGACAAGCACTATCGATCCCACTCAGTAAAGCGACACAGATACTAGGCCCCTACACACTCTCTCACAATGCCCTCGTCGGTCTTCTTCAAGTTCAAGTCTCAAAAGAGCCAACGCGCGTTGAATTTGATGGAACGGGCATATCGGTCTTTGAGCTAAAGCGAGATATCATCATCAAGAGTGGCCTTGGGGACGGTACCGATTTCGACCTCGCCATCTATAGTGAGGATGGCAAGGAAGGTAAGTAGCAAGCAACCATCAAACTTTCTCCTCTGGGATCTAGGTTACTAAAATCTGCTAGAATATGACGATGACACGACTATCATCCCGCGAGCTACCGTCGTGACGGCGCGGCGACTCCCGCGATCAAGCCTGGTGCTGGAAAAGCCGCCCGATATGTTACCGGCAAGATGCCAGGCCACGCCAAGTCATCCTTCAAAAAGGATCAAGCCGCAAAAGATAAAGCCGACAAGGCGGCCTCAACAACCATTCAAGAGGCCTCTACCGAGCAAGAGAAAATGCAGGCCATGTTCCAAGTGCTCTCCAACACTTGGTCCGCGGAGCGAGAAGACCTAGCTCAGTACGTGCCCCCTCCCCATCCTTTTGACCACATCCGCGGTGCGGTGTACTAACGTAACTCCTGCTTGTAGTGAAAAGCCCGTTTTTCAATAAACCAGGCAACCATCGTCCTGCTAACGTGCCGGACCATGATCCGCCAAACGGCTACATCTGTTATCGTTGTGGCGAGAAAGGCCACTGGATTCAAATGTGCCCGACGAACGATGACCCAGAGTATGATAACAGGCGCCGCGTTAAGCGGACAACGGGTATTCCTCGCTCTTTTCTCACGACTGTGGATAAGAGTGTAGCCCTAGCACAGTCGGGCGGAGATGATGAGGCAAAGCGACCAGCGGGTATCATGGTGAATGCGGATGGGGACTTTGTCATTGCTCGGCCGGACAAGGCGTCATGGGAAAAATACCAGGCCAAGGCGAAGTCTTCGGCCGCGGCAAAGGGCGAAACGGCTGCGGATAAGGAGCTTCGTGAGAGGGGCTGGAATGTCCGGTGGACAAAAAATGTTCATAGAGCCAATGAAGACGCCCTGCTGTGGGAAGACGTACTGCAATGATTGCATAACCAATGCTCTCATCGAAAGCGATTTCGTCTGCCCTGCTTGCAAGGCTGAAGGCGTCCTCATAGATGACCTCAAGCCGGATGATGAAATGACTGAAAAGATCAAGGAGTATCTTCAGGAGAAGGAGAAGGAAGTACCCAAGAGCCCAAGCCCTGCTCCCAAGAGCCCGGCCGCTCTCAACCAGGAGTCCGAATCTAAGTCTCCCGAGCCTCAAGGCGAAGGCGCTAGCAGTGGCACGTCTGACGCAACGGCCCAAGCCCATAGTGAAACTAATGGGCGAAGCACTGCGCTTGGCACCACAGCTAAGCCCACCAGCCCGCAATCTACTACCTCGAACAGCCAACCGACCTCGCAATCCGAGGCCGCCGGTCGGAGCCAGGAAACAGCTATTACTGACGCTGCGTCGACAACGACGGTGGAGTCTGCTCAGTTGGCTGCTCCCCAAAAGCGGCCTGCTGATGAGCTGCTCGAAAACCCCAAAATTCCCAAGGCACCTAAAGCTATGCAGCAACAAATGCATCAACAAATTCAACAGGACCAAACCAACATGCCGCAGTTTATGGGTGGTGCCGGCCCCAACGGGATGAACGGAATGATGGGGATGCCCAATATGCCCAATATGCCCATGATGCCTTTTAATCCTATGAACATGATGGGAATGGGCGGCATGCCCAACATGGGTATGCCTATGGGAATGCCCATGATGAATTCTGGCATGATGGGTATGCCAATGAATGGGGGCTTCCCCATGGACAACAATATGTATAACGGAATGATGCCCGGCGGGATGCACGGTAATATGATGGGTGGCATGAACGGGCCCATGAACGGCGGCGGGATGAATGGAGGGATGATGGCCCAAGGAATGCCCGGCGGTATGAACGGCGGTATGAATGGCGGTATGAACGGGGGCATGAACGGAGGCATGAACGGCGGTATGAACGGCGGATACCAACCGAATCGAAATTTCAACAACCAAGGGTTCAACCAGGGATACAACCATGGCTACAACCAAGCTCACGGCAACCATTTCAATAACCAGATGGGCGGTGGTGCGGAAGATGACGCCTACTTCAGGAAGCCCGTGAACCCTCACCGCCATAATAACCGTCAAAAGCGCGTTCGACCCAGCGACTACCGCGAGCTATAACGAGGCTTATTGTCTGGCCTCCCCGATCCTCGGGGTGCATAGACCAACAACGACTACCTAACTCTCCCGAATGTACACCCTCAACATCGGGCAGATATCCTTGTACACTAACGAACGACGGGCATTTACGACATTCATCATCACGTTAAAAGTGCCAAAAACTTGACGCATTTCAAATTTCCCTCGGATTGGCTTTGCATGGTTGGAATGACGAGAGCGCAAAATCGCTCTCCTTCCTCCACTTTGTCTTGTTCATGTGTGGCTGCCTGGTTTTTTTAAATCATTCCTTTTGTTTTTATTTTGGCCTTGCATGTGAATCCCAATGGCGAAGGGCTCACTGGCGTTTGAGAAGGGGACAGACTTGCTTGGGCGGCAATTCCAAGGCAAGCAAAGGGCGGATCGCGTTTGATTAGTATATAACCCAAGCGGAAGGGTTATATTGAAGTTCTCATCTTGCAAGTCTTTAAAGACTCCCAACAACTTTTGTGGGCACGAAATGAATACACTTAGTTCCTAACATGTCATCTCTATCAACACAAGCAAGTAGAAAAAAATCATTATCTTTACCCACTACTGCATTTATCCAGTCAAAAAGACGTGACGTGACGTACTACCACCACATGAGAGGTTCGAGCTGGACCCGTACTCCGAGAAGAGTTGAGTCCTTTGGAGAAGACCTCACATTTCCAAGCAGAGCCTGAAAGGGCTCGCTATTTGTCCAATTAATTGCTTGTTTTATTTCGCCAGACCTAAACATCGTCTATCATCTACTCGTAATCCGCATGCAGAGAGCCGTCCCAGTGGCTGTTTCTTTGCCGCTTTCTATTCATCAGCCTCCGGCGGTACGTAAGGCTGCACGAGCATGCTGCTAAACTTCTCCAACTTCTCCTTTCCGCGCACCTCCTCGACCAAGAGGGGCATCTTGACAACGTTGAATTCGTCGTAGAGTTCCTCAATCTGCTCCAGGTACTTCTTTTGCATTTTCCTCCTGGCAGTGCACTGCTCGCAGTTGCTGCCCTTCTTGGGGAAGAGGAGCTGGTTGACGACAACAGTGTGGGTATCGATGCCGTAGTTACCGAGCTCCTGGATCATGCGCTCCGTCTCGTATAGAGATAGGAATTCGGGAATGCAGACGCAGACAAAGGTGGTGAGGTTGACATCCTTGAACTGGTTGTTGACCTCGCTAATGGTGGCGCGCAGGCCCTCGAGCTTCTCGATGGTGTCATTGAGGTTTTGGCCATTGGGCAGCTGGCCGCCAGGGCCCAGGATGCCGTTTAGGAGAGGCCCGAACTGGGAGGAGAGTTGGGTAACCTTGGCGAGGGCCTTTTCGAGGACGGTGGGGAACTGGAGGAAGCGAAGGGTGTGCCCGGTGGGAGCAGTATCGAAGACGATGACGTCGTAAGAGAGGCTTTTCACCTGCTTGATTACTTCGGCGAAGGACATGGCCTCATCGATACCAGGAATCTACAAGAGGTGGCGCAAGGAATCGTAAGCTTGGGGAACTCCCGCGCGAGTGGGTGCAAAGAATAGATGTTTTTCACTTACTGCCGCAGCCATGTCCTGGACGACATTTCCCAACCCACCCATGGCATCATCACCCTCGTCAAGCTGACCGGCCAAGAGGTCCTGCATGCTGCCGTTGGGATCGATCTCCATGGCGCTCAAGTTATCGAAGCCGTTGATGGGGCGAGCCTCCTTGCCGAACTTTTGGCCAAAGGCATCGGATAGGTTGTGCGCGGGGTCGGTCGAGATGAGCAGCACGGAGCGGCGCACCTTGGCGAGCTGGATGGCGAGGGAGGAGGAGGTGGTGGTCTTGCCGACACCACCCTTGCCGCCGACAAAAATCCAGCGGAGGGTCTTTTGGTCGAGGATGGACTGGAGCGAAGGCTCCATCACGTCGTCGGTGTCAATGAGGGCGGCTGACATTGTGCCTGTTTCTGTTCCTTGAGGAGATAGTTGCCGGGCTTGGAAGAGTTCCTTTCGGGGGAGGGCGACGCTTCTTTCCTTTTGGATTTTCTCCTACCGGGGCGTCGATTTCAATCCCTTCAAACTAGGTAAGGCGGTGGGGTTAGTCGAGGGTCGAGGGTCACGGTCGCGAGGCACGAGGCTATGAAGGGAGCGGGGGCGGGGGAAGCGAATTATTTACTTTTGGTATATACAAAACTCGGCCGATTTTTTTTGGCTTTCCGGGCTCGGGATCAAAATTGGATCAATTTTGTCGCAGATTCAAGCAAAGATACTGATGTGTCTGATCAATATTCGCACGCGGATCACCCAAAGAGAGACGCGAAGCTGGGAGCTTGTGGCAAGTTCGCTCTGCCTTTAGAATGTACCAGAATACCCCGCCATGCTCTTGGCCTCACTGTGGGCGGTGGTTGCTCGTCCCGCCTACCCTAACAAAGACGTCAGCGGCCTAGGCCTGGGTCAATTGTATGGAAAATGCCAGGGTCGGAAAGGGAGAGCAAAGGGAGGCGGGAGTCGGGAGTTGGAGAAGATCTGCCAGAGTTCATCCGTGACAGGACAGGGCGGCAGCGGCCGCGCGCTCAGTTCGGGCACCGCCCCAAAAGCCAAAGAGGGAAAAAAAGAGGGTCCGGAAGACAAGACAGGGCGAGTTCTCCCCATCGCCCACTAGCTTTGGTTGTGATTGCAGTCTAGATAGTAAAGGGGATTTTTCTATCTCAAGAGGGACAGGGCTCCTTTCTCACAGATACAATGCCAGCAGCCTATAGGTCGTTGGTCCTGCCTGTGCTTCACAGAGCGCCACGCATCTCGTCCACAGAGAGCAAGGTCGTTTATCCGTCACCAACCGCTGCTGTCGGACATCATTGCAGGAAGTGGTGAGGTCGATATATGTGGGACCCACTCGAATCTTTCTGCTGGATGTAGATAAAATGCCGTGAAAGGGAGGAAGACGGGGATTTCTTAGAGCTAGTTTGGCCGATTCGCCGCGTAGGCTCGCAAGAGAACCGGCTCATCAGTCGCGTGGCTTCGACTAAAATAGTCCTTGCCTGGTGCCTGAGAATAGGACTTGTTGGGGAGAGCATGAACGTGGCTGGTGCTTAGTTCAGTTCAATGTTCCTTTTGCTCTTTCCTCCCCTCCACCCCCTCTCCTATCAAGTACAGATTAGAGCAAAGAGTATATATATCTCAATTCTATTCACCTTACGAAAACGCAACGCGTTATCTGCACCGTCCCTCCCTCCTTCGCTGCGATTCCCCCCTTGCCCCACCATCGTCATCACCTAACCTAACCCCACCAGCACACCCGAGTCTGCGCAAGCCGCCCTTCTCCGCCGGCGCTCTGTGAAAGGTGAGCCAACCCGGGACAAACACTACGAGAGAAAAGAAGAAAACTCACGCGAGAAGAACAACAAAGCCGAGCGGGCGTCTTTCTTTCTCAAACTTTTTTATTGTTCGAAAGACGAAAGATAATATTAAGAAACGCCGCACAACTAAAACTTGAACGGCCACTCTACCTACTAGCCCACCATGTCCGCCAAAGCCGCCGACCGCATCACCTGCCACGTCCTCGACACCCAAAGGGCCAGCCCGCTCGTGGCATCCAGGTTCGCCTCGAGGAGGCTCCAACATGCTCAAGACGTTTGAATCCATCACCGACGATGACGGCCGCGTCAAGGCCTGGCTTCCTTATTCGGGCGACCACTCGTCGGGCGAGGTCCCCATCTACACTCTCGACGATGTCCTGAGCGAGCTCCAACACCTCCCTTCATCGACCTGGACCCTCAAATTCGATACCGCCGGATACTTTGGCGTAGATAACACCTTCTTCCCCGAGGTTTCCGTCTCCTTCACTTTGAAGGGCGATGGCCACTACCACGTTCCTTTGCTCCTGTCGCCGTACTCATACACTACCTACCGGGAAGCTAAGCATCCGCCACGTCCGCACGATTGCAATACGGAAGACTCTAGGGCGGAATACTCGCTAGGGCTGGAGTCGCGGACTCGCGGCTGGGGAAAATCTTGAGGACATTGCCCAGGGAGTGAACACAGAAACTAAAGATGCGACAAATTTCCATAAAATCTACGGATGAATTTAGATCCATTGAATGCGCATTTGCGCGATGTGTACTTGAAATAAGGGTGGCTGTGCTGTTTCCGGCCATATGTGTCTATGCAATGTAAAAAGTCCAGTTTTCGCCCTAAGCCACGAAAACTCCCAGCCTGTATGAAGAAAGGAGAAAGTACATTATTCTTGAGTACCACTCCGCTTCTTCCTAAAAAAAAAGGAAAGCAGGGGAAAAAGAGGTAAAGGAAATAAGAGAAACCATGCTGCCGGCCGTCATAAAGTCGTTACTATCGCGGATTTCCGCGTTCCGGTGTGTCCAAGGGACTGATCCGTCTAAAAAGACACAAATGAAACAAAAATGAGTGTGTAAGATAATGGTTTTGGGATTCGGAGAGGCCAAGAGCGTCGCTTAGTCGTGGTGGTGTCCATGCTGATCGGGGTGATGGTGGTGGAAGAGCCTCTTGAGAAAGGACCTCTTCTTCTTTTGGGACTCGGTGTCGTCATGCTCTATGGATTCAAGACTGAGATTGCCGTCTTTAGAAATCCTTCCATCGGGTAGCATGACGACATGCATTTCCTCGAGACCACCCGTCGTGTCGAGATCAGAATCGTGAGAGAGAGCATGGTCGTCGTAGGCCGTGGGCACAATCTTCCCGTACGCAAGCGCGTTCCGGTGCTTCTGCTTCTTGGCTAGGAAGGACCTCTTGGTCCGGTGGAGGGTTCTAGAGGCGTCGATGTCACCAGCCTCAAGAGTCGCGTCTGGTGAGAGGTTCGCTTCGGGGTGTGGCAGAGTGGTATTTCGGTCTGGATACCGGCAAACAAAGAGCCTATTGTTAATCTCACGATCTGTAATAGACATCATGTAGAGGAAGGCGTGTTGCTTAAGACCAAGCAAACGGAGTGGTGTGGGGTGAAATAGTGTAAGTTTGAATAGACTTTATTTACTTACCACCACAGAAAGGTTCCGGGAACCCGGTGTCCCGCCGAAATTTTGCGGAACTGGTCGTGCTAGCGGGGCTTAGGGGAGCGCCGGACATTGTGAGATGCAGTCACGGAGACTCTGTCCAAACGTTGAAAAGGTGATGAGCCGGTGCGGGGTGTTCTTTGAATGACGGATAAACGGGTACTGAGTGATATAGCCTTTTTCTTTTCTTCTTCTTTTTTTTTCGTAGGTGTCGTTTATCCTATGCGTGTTTTCAGAGCCGTTACTGAGTATAGATGCGTAGAGTTCGGAATAGTGTGGCCGAGATGATGGGGCTGTTCCAGCTCTTTATGTGGGTATGTGTGTGGTGTGGAGGGGGAATCAAGCGTAATCGTTGTTAAGGTTCCCAGGGTCGAGTATCCGTTATGATGTACATGTAGTGTCAGAGTTCGATTTCGAGTGCACGATCGATATATGTATATATATTTCGCGGAGGCGATGCCAAGCGACGTAAACGTCCAATGCTCGCTCGTTTTGCTCCAACTAGTTGACGTTCCTGCTCGTCGCGACCAGATTGCCCGGCCGAATCGAGGGCACAGAGGCAACGGGGATGATGTAAGGGGCGTGTGTGGTGGGGATACAAAACGTCGACGTAAGTAGTGCCCAAGCAAGTTCCTGATTCGGGAATTCCAGTGACTTCGAGTTAGGGCGGGATAGGCGAATTACGCAGGTTTCAACGCAAGTGCTCAATACTTGGGGAGCGGGTGGCGGACGAAAAGAAACGACAAAAGATGAATCCCTGGCCAAAGAATAAGAAAAGAAAAACTACAATATGCGATCTCTTTGAGAAGAGAAAAGGCAGGAAGGATCGAGAAAGAAAAGAAATTGAGCCAAGTTGGGGAAAAGGGCAAAGGGAAGGGGAGGAATAACAGGGGATGACCGCTGTAATAAAGGATGCCGAAAGAGTGACCGGGAAATGACCATGTTGGGGACACTCCAGGCGCACCTTTTCCCAACACATTGAGTCGGAGCCCGGATCAATAGCGAAGCTTACACCGACCACGCCTTGACCAAAGAATGAGGCATCCAGCGCGCGCCTCTGCTCTCTCCGTCCTTGCTTGATCATCGACACGACCTTCCCCTACCCTACGATTAACCGCCGTCCCAGAATTGTTCACAGGTCAACCCAAACCAGCGGTCATCCGCCTCTATTTTGCCGGTCACGACGAAACTCATCCTCTGCTTCCGCCGCCGCCCCATACCGAATCATTTTGCATGCGATGAGACCCGCAGTTTCTTGCGTCGCTTTCTGTCTCACTCGCCTGCCCCTCTTCTCTTCACAGGGCCAGATGTAGCTGTACAAAGGTAATGAGGGATCGCCAGGCTTGGTCTTTCCATTCCCCCTCACCAAGAAATCCATAGAATAGGAATGGCTCCTCAAGTTCCCGCCCTCGGGGAGAGGAACCCCTCAGGAGGATCCAATCTGAGGTCGCGGAGAGGGAAATCCCAGCGTCCTCTGGTCAATGTGTATATACTTTTGCGAGACTTGCGCTGACTGAGGCGTTCTTCATCATGTGGTGGCGGCAAACCAGTTCAAAGTCTATTCAGCATTCCACGCCGGATTCGGCGGGGTTGGCGTGAGAATCGCCCACCCGATAGAACTCTTCGGAAACAATCTCCAGACTGTAGACCACGTTCGCCATCTAAATAAAGAACATGGGCCCTGAATGAGCCGACGCCTTCGAACTCTTGCCCCTGTTGAAGGGCAAAGGGAGCTTTTACTTTTGAGGTGGCTTTGTGCAGCTCTTCCCTCTGCGTTGCGCGAACTTGCCCTCCCCTCAGCCACCGCGTCGTGAGGAAGGGCAGGCAGGCAACACTCGCAAATGGACCAGGGTTCAATTGATCCAGTGGCGACGCGATGACCTTAGTGAGGCGCAAAGGAACATTGAACATTGAACATTGACGCAAGCACGAGCTCTAGGGAGCCGTCCCAACGCCAAAGGAGCTCCACGTAATGCTTTCGTGCCGATTACCCTTGTTCCCCCAACCACAGCCCGCGGCTCTGCCCCAAACTTCTTGGCCCCCGACTACCGACGCCGTTGTCGTGCAAAAGTTTATCTTGGCGGCGGTCTTGAAGCCCTCTTGGCCCTCACAGTCCCCAAGACCACCAATGAGGTGCCTTTGTACTTGTACAGGCGCTTTTAGTTGAAGCGCAGAATAGAAATTGTTTCGATCGCCTTGACGCTCGACCATTACCCACCTAGAGTCTTGGCAGAGCAAGGCAAAACCTTGTGATCCGCCGAGTAATAATGATAACGAGAGTGAGGCCTTTTCTTGTTGGGAAGGTCGTCCTTTGGAGGAGCACAATTCATTTCGGCTCCGGAATGCGAAACTCATCAGGCCCATCAATGACCGATGGGATTGCCAGTCCCTCTCCGGAGGTACTGAGGTAACCATCAATTCATGTTGGTTACATGAAGTCGATGTGCTGCTCGCAGGGCACTTTCGGCGATTAGGTTTCCTTGGATAATAGCAGACCCGGCACGGCGGCAGGGCCCCAACAGCTTAATATTCGAATTCTGCTTGGCATCAATTGATAATATCCCCTCGCCCATAATATCTTTTCCCCTTCATTGAAGAATGCGTTTGACCGACTGACTCCGATACCCCGAAGCCGCAGGGCTTGTCCGGCTCCGTAGGATTATGGAGGGCGGTCATCTACTTAAGCAGAGAGACACTTCCCCGCTGCCGACGCTGTCGTGGCACTAAGCATTTATTATATGAAGAGGGGTGGACATGTCCTTCTTGAGCACCAGCCTACCCTGGCCAGATGCCATCAGTCGATGCAGCAGCTACTGAGAGGCCGAAGCGGGGTTTGTGTCCTGGCGTGCAGAATGGCTGACGCGGTGTTTTTGTGCTGCCCAGTAGCGACTTGCATCGTGTGATCCATCCATCTACGGACGCATGCGCGTCCGCCACCCCCACATCCAGCCTAGCAAGTGGAATGGTGGGCGGCGAATCGAAAGGTGCCCTCCCGGAGCCTGTGGTGCGATGAGAAAGATGCATGAGGGGTACGGGCTTCCACAGATAGTCGGGCGGAGACGCCGAAGGAGCATTGGAGGCATTCTAATTTTCCCGCTCCACAGGAAAGGATGGATCTAAGAAGGTCCCTCGTTGCCAAGGAAGGAAGGACCAAGAGCAGTGAAAAAGGATGATGAAAAAGGATCCACCTTTCAGCTCCAACCAAATTGTATTAGCTATCATCCACTGTAGTGTATGTAGTAGCCTGCTAGACAACTGCCTTTTGACTCGTGCTCTCAAAGAAGACCCTTCCCCATCGGTTCCTCGGGCCACCTTTTCGTTCTTTTTTCTTTTTCTTGCTTTTGAACCTGAGATCGATCGGTTTTGCCATATCATTGATATCACAATGGCTGACCCCGCCGACCCCCAAACCACTACCCTTGCGGAAGTGGAGACCTCCAGCCACCAGCTGTGGCGATGGAGCCCTCTTGACGCTTGATATAATATTTGTTGTCTTTGCAAACACGGAGAAAGAGCGCAAACGATAGAGAAGAATCTTATATAGACTAGAAAATAAGGCCTACGTGTAAAGGGATCTATGGATCTATTCAATATTCCCGACATGCGCTAGATGAACCTTTAATTCTTTCGAATGTTCTCAAACTCATGAGCGTCGTTACGCCTCTCTTTTTCCCACATATGAAAGTGCATGTTGGGTGGCATGAGTGTCAGCCAATTTTTTGTCTCTTTGTCATGCGTCACGATGCGAGGAGTTTGCTTCGCTCGACATGGTGCTAGCGACTTCACCCTAGAGTGCCAGATACCTGCACAGCTGAACTCCCTGATCCCGTTGGTCGAACCTCGGAGGAGGTGGGGGAGGGCAAAGGGTAGGAGAAGCGGGATGGTGGCTGGCACCTCGCACCCGCATGAATGAAGAGAGTCTTGGGGGCTAGGGTAATAATAATCATCCATCCATCAAAGGGGATGGATGGATGGACCAAGTAGTTTAGTAAACATGATGGATGGATTTATCCATCCCATGGAATGTGGACCAAATCAATTTTCTACCTGGCTAGCAGGAGCTGAGCTTATGAACTTGGGCCGAACTACGTCAGTGTTCAGGACTACAGCCATCCAGTCCCGATGGCAACCGATCGAATGCCGACCACGCATCTACAACCCACGAAGATGAAAGATCACTAGGTGATAGTACCGTGCGTCAGAACTAATTGAGGGAAACAATTCGGTTTATATATCGATATCATTATGGTAGTTAAGAGCAAATAAATAAAAGAGGGAAGATGACTCCCGGCGGGTAGCGCCAGAGACCATCGGCTCAAACCCAGCCCGTCGCAGTATTTGGTATCATATCGTGCAAAAGCAGGAACAAGCAGGCTAACCAAATCACAACTCTCAAATAATCATGCCGTCATCCCGCGTCGGCCTCCAACCGCCCAGAGTAAAAAAGGAAAGAAAACAAAAACAAATCTCCAACACGTTGTCTCATGTCCGGTCAGTGGTCTTCATTTCAAATTATTGTTCTGTTTGATAGAACAACCATCTGAATGGGCCTTGGTATCAAGGGTCGCAAGGGGTAAGGGACCTAGGTCCCCTTTCCAACCGCCCGAAAGTTTGCTTAGCGGCGGCGAGGCCAGAATCGGCGCCTAGCGGGAGGGGCAGCGGGAGGGGCGGCAACCTTTTCGACGTCGCGTCGCTTCTTGAAGCGGCCGGCACAGCAAGTGACAAAGACCAAGATGGAAGCGAGCAAGCTGCAGAGTGCGGAAACGAGAACGCACCAGATGCCGACACTGAAGTAGGCGTGGCTCTCGCTGTCGTCGTTCTCGTTGATATCGGCCCGAAGGATGCCAAAAAGCACAAAGTCGCAAATCATTACGATCGCGGTGACGACGAAGGCGGTGAAGGCCACTAGGGAGGCGATGAAAGAGCCAATAGCACTGGCACCGAGGGTAAGGCCAAAGGCGATGAAGTTGAGGCCGGCAGCGACGGGGTGGAGGACAAGAACACGGGTGAGGGCCTTGGTGGTGGCCTCCGAGTAGCTAGCCATGTCGGTTCCGTCGATGCTCTGCATCACTTCGGCGGGGTTATAGCCGACCTTGGCCGGGGAGCATACATCTTCGCCACTATTGACACGAAATGTTAGCGTATGTCGCGATAGGACATGTACATCGCATTCGACGCGGGGAAGCAGATTGCAACTTACTCAGGGCCACCGTCCTGCACACACCAACCAAAAGTACCGAAAGACACCTCTTTGCCCACCCTCGAATCCTCGCCAAGATCGACTGTGATGATTCCCAGCTTATTGACGACAGGCGCCGTGATGCTGGTCACGATAAGAAGAATGGTTGCTATCAGAAGCAAGAAGGAGCCGATCATATGGCAAAAGTTGCCCTTCATTTTTGCGGTGGGTGCGGCGGTCGCTATGAATGGAGAAAAGTGTTGTAGTCCGTCAAGACAATTGGAGCAATGATTCTCCGCGCTGTAGACCAGAGTTGGGAGGGCAGCAGGGGGAAAGGAAAAGCTGAGAAAGGGCACGGGGGCCTAATATAGTCGGGGTGTAAAAGATGCGGAAGGGGAATGGTAGACGAACCAGAGGAAAGAACAGAGGAGGGCTCAGGCAGAGCTTGGCTTGGGTAGCTACGACTCGATATTATACTTATATAGCTGTTCCATGCAGCACATCGTGGGTGGAGGGGGTGCCAGAATTTGTATCATTACTCCATCCACACGTTCATTCGTCTTGCAAACCTGAAAATGAAGATACAATGCTCGTCGTAGCACATGGAACACACCACCCCACCCTGTTTGCGCAGAGACCAGGGCCAGCTTGGACGGTCCCAGGAACGACGCCAGTCTTTACCTAGATCGTCACCTGCATTTCTCGCTTCGGGAAAGAAAAAAAAAAGTGGTTCGTCGGTCCTTTTTCCTCTCCCTCCCCTTGTGACCCTATAGCGTCACTAACCCCGATGTACTTTCGCGCAAAGTGGGAGTGGGCCGCTACCAAAACAAAACAACCAGAAAAAGAAAAGAAGGTCCAAAAGAGAACAGAAGCAATACTGCAAACAGCCAAGTCTTCGAGGCCCCATGTTCCTTCCGCGCTGCCCTGCCTCTGGTGCTCTCCTGGGAAGGGGGTATGACGATGCTGAGACTGCAAGTGTCAGGGTGGGAACAAAACCTCTCTTGATTCGCACACAGCATGGTACTTCGTACATCCTCGCCGCCTTTTCAGTGCATTTTCGTGTACATTCATTGATCAGCATGGATGAGATGGGAGCTCCAACGCCGATGTGCTCTTCACATGCAGTTACCATGGCTTTGACAAGTACCCCTCGACGCCCGGTCTATCTCCTTTCCCCTTCCAAGCCAGGTGCTCGTGCAAATTAGGAGAGAGTGAGAGCCCGAGAAACAAGGGGGTTCGTTGATCAGGGAGGGATTAACCAAATTGACGAAGCAACTAAACACGAAGGGGAGACAGAGGTGCGCCAGGGATTGAGCCACACAGCAGCACCTTTTGCACTTCACGAGCTGGGGCCCAGGCGCAACTGGCTGCGAGGAGGAAACAAATTTTTTATGCGACGTCATCGCCGACGCACCAGCCCCCTTCCAACCATGACTAGAGCCCAGGCCAGACCATGCCATCCCGGACGGCCAACTCTCCCAAGCTGCAGGCCATGTGGCCTACCTACGCCAGCCGCCAATCTTGTGCCTGTGTGGAGCAAAAGGTGAGGCCAGGCCACTCGGCCAAGGGCGAAGGGCGAAGGCTTGCACGAGAAGGAGGCCGCAACAAGCCAGCTTTGTCTATCCACTGCACTAGTAGTATCCCCACCGTGCTAGGAAATCTGCAAGAGGGCTCTTCATCACGCTCAAGACCGGCCCAGAGATACAGGCTCAGCATTCCATGGGCCTGCTCGCCTGTTTTTAGTGTAGCCTTCATTTCAGCCTCCCTGGCACTAGCCACTGCCCATCTCTACCATTCTCGGATCCACGATTTGGATCGGCGAATGAGCGGGGAGGAAGCTGGTGAATGATGGATTGACATGTTTTGCCCCGCCACTGGCTTGACTGGTTCCCCTTCATCCTTGTTGTTTCGGTTGGGCCGCCAGGGCCTGAACAACCACTTCGCATGTGGGTGACGACACACCTGAGCTGAACTGGTCGCGGAACGGGACTTGGCACCAGACCAAACTCGGGTCATGGCGTCCTCCGTCATCTCCACTCTTCACGAACGCCCACTGCTCACGTTGTTTATTAATTTCTCTGGATGGGTCTTTTTACTCTTTTGCTCTTCACATTGGCCGATCTGTTTTTGTGCACGACCCAGAAATTGGCATTGCATTATCTAGACTAGTGTATACCGAGGTCGAGGTATATTGGGTACAATTTGATTCTGATCGGCCGGAAGGTGCGAAAACGAAGGGCAAATTCGGTAGTCCAGAATTCGAGATCTTGGTACTCGCAGGCTTGTTCCCTTGGCTCTAGTGTACGGTCAGAGGCCAATGCTCTCTTCAAGTTCCTTTAGCCTTTTTGCTTTCCCTGCGTATCATTGAGACACCCTATTCCGTATTTCATTTCAACTCTCGTGTCTTTGCTTCTTCTGTTCTTTTTCTTCCGGGAGGGAGGGGGTTCGGACCATATCACCAAGGATACGCGCAAGGTTCCCCATCTTTCAGGCAAGGACTGAGGTCATGAGGCAACATGATACATTGATCAAAGCGTCCCCTCGGAAAGGGACATTGACTCCCTCACAAACTACCCCGGACCCAGCATCATGTCCCTCTCCGTATCCGGTTTCCGGCCGGTGCACAGAGAAAAAGGCGGAACTTGCAGACTCTCATTACATCACTAGGTTCGAGCTTGCGGCTTCCCGTTGCTACCCTAATCCAGGTTTCACAGACATCATTCGGCAGTGGCAGGCTTCAACGGAGATCGGCAGAAGCCCTTCTCTGTTTCTATTGGCCAAGTTTTTAGTTTTGCCTGCCTCGTCACCAGTTGGCAAAGGGTCTTGCCAAACTAATGGTATCTCCATGGCCCTGACAGTGAGAGCTTAAGTCCACATACAAAGCGCTCAATCGCAAAAAGGTCCCCCGGAGTTGTAAAGGAAAGCAACCCCCAGACGCCAACAAACAAGCAAAAGGAAGCAAAAGGGTTGGCCAAGAAATGCAGAGACCATCTCAGTAGACATGCATCAATAACTCTGCTGAAAAAGCCCCATCTCAAGGAGGATACGAACTGTGTGGCGTTTCAGGCCATCAAAATAAACGGCATAGCTCCAGGCAGTACTCAAGAGGTGAAGCCAAACCACACAACATTGAGGAGAATATAGTAGCGTAAAATAGTGGACGCCCGAGAGGCTAAAACCGTGGCGTTGTGCCCAATCGCCCTCGAAACTCCAAGGTCCGACCACCACGCCCTTGACACTCAAGCACTGATCATCTCCCATTGTCTGCCACTCGGCATGGCGCCAAACTCGAGGCAACCTGGCCTATGCAGTATACCCGCGGTGGTCGGCATGGTAACCTTGTTAACCTCTGCATCCCCAGAACCGCAATGTTCCGGCCGGTCTACGTGGCGGGGAAAGAGCAAAGTGTCGGGTGGCTTGAGTCGGAGTTCCCATTTGAAGCAATAGGAGAAATGGTACATGTAAAGACGGCGGAGAGCGAGGATACAAGCGTTTGGCTATGTAGCAAGTATAGATGGTGCATTGGCTCACCTGAGCGTACATTTACACCGGCGTGCATGCGTTTCGTATCGCCTCACATAACTGTATCAATCATTAAAAGACGGACTTTCCAACTGATTCAATCACTAAAGTCGAATTAAACGGATCCGTGCCAGTATACCCCAAGGGCAACGAGCCTCGCCCTCGGGAATCTTAGACCCCAAAAGCGTAAATTTGCGTTGCGCTTCCTTCACTATTGCACATTATTAGACACGAGAACTTTCACAAGATCTCTCACGCTATTACCCATCCCAAGTTTGACCATCCATCTAGCGGTCAAGCCCTTGTCGATGCTATCGATATTTTGGCACCGCCCCGCATACACGTCTGGAGCAATCAAAAGTCTTCCAGGATGCCGCCAAGCCCCTTCTTGGCCTCCCGCCGCTTCTGGCGCCTCTGCGCATAGTGCCTTGGGCCAATATCCGCGGCCTTTGCCGGCGCGTCACCGTCTTCCTGCAGCTGCCCGCCCGTTTCCCAGTCGGAGAAGCCATCTTTCAGGGCTGGCTGGTCGCGGATTGACCGCCTGAGATTTCGGGCCACGAAGGACACCGTATCCGGGGGTCCGGGCCACGGACCGTGAAGAGGGGAGTCTTCTACGAGCTCCACGTGCTTCTTGGCCATATGGCGTGGGAAGATGTGAATGACAAACTCTTTCGCTAGATCCGAGGCATTTCGAGTCGTTGGCTTGGCCGTCGTCGTCGTCGTCGTCGTCGTCGTCGTTGTCGCCGCTGTTTCCCGTTGCGGCTGCTTGGGTCTTTGTAGGGTCGCAGGACGGGTCGGTGCTGTCGCTTGGCTCCGTCATCTGAGGTAATGGATGGGCTGAGAGGTCGTTCGGGTCAACCGAGAGCTGATATCTCAATGGGCTGCGGGAAATCAGGCTTCGGGCCGCCTCCTCAGATTCGGTCAATGACAGGAACGAGGATGGGTTATTCTAGGCACAAAGAAACCAAAAATTAGCAAACGCCGAATCCCCCTGTTTTCCTCGACGGGGAGCATGTTTCTTAGAAGGCTGATCGTGCTCGTCGTTTCTCCTGCATGGAACAACTAACCCTAATCTTTCGGAAGAAATCGATCCTACAATGCCTCTTGAGCGCGTGAAGGACAGCGCGGCGCTCAGCAAAGGTGAGAGGCGGGGGCGAAGCCTTGATGAAAATGGTCCTTGGCGCGAACGTGCCAAAGGCAGCATTCGCGAGGGTGGATCTGGCAGCCATGGGCACTCTTCCAGAGGCTCATCATTCCTCAAGCTGGCGCAGGGAGCTAGCGCTCATCGTCTGTAGGTGTGATGGTCAAGACAAAAGCTCTGCTGGGCGGATCTTGGTCGAAACATGTCGTGGAGTTGGGAAATATTTCTTGCTCAAGGCCCTGCGACGAGGATCTGCCAAAGTTTAACCCCGCCAGCCCAACTCTGGGCCTGTCAGAGCCAAAGCTTGGCTGGGACTGCAAAATACGATTATTGGCCAATTGGGGTTACAGCCGGAGCTCTTCCCGCAAACCCCAGCTCCTCCTTCAAGCAGCACTTGAGCTTGGCCTTTGGACCAAGCATTAAAGATGAAAGACACAATCAAACATCTACAAGTACACGCGAAGAACGCAGGCCACGAGTTTTTGATGATTGGTCTATGAGGCCAATAATTTTCTGGAGGCTAAAATCAAGGTGGAATTTCAAGAGATTCGCGTCAAGTTCAATAAACCATTCTCCCATTCTCCATTCCCTTCAAAAGGCTACAGGGGCACACCGTCGGGAGCTATCAGAGCGGTTTGCCCGGGTCCGCGGAGCCGAAATATCTTTCATCAGACATCTTTTGCTCTCTTAGTCCAAGAGCCTTGCAATAGTCAGACCGTCAAATAGGGGAAGCAAGAAAGCAGTGAGGCGAGGGCTGTTCACGACTTGGTCGTTGAATTGCTTGACAAGCTGGTTCTCGTTGTCGATAGCATACTCTGAGCGGAGGGCGGCTCTGCTTTGCAACCCAAGGGTTGTCGTCACTATCGTCGGCAATGATCCCACGTCGGAGGACGTTGTCGGCAACAATGAGACCGCCGGGTCGGAGGATGCGGCTTGAAGCCCCGGGCTGGGACCCATCCAGGATGGCTTGGAGGTAGCCGGGATATCCGGACTTCTCGGCATCAATGAAGATCAGATCGTAGGGCTCCGGTGAAGCGAGCTTAGGAAGCCTTGGAAAAGAAAAACGAACAAGGAAAACAGAACTCGCATGTTAGCCATAGGCGTCTTGTTTGATTGGTCTTGGGGGCTTCAAGGATCGTTGAGGGATTTCACGTACGAATCGTGAGCATCGCCCACAATAATTTCAATGTTCTTGACGCCAAGTTTCTGAAACCCCTCCTCGGACAACTTGGCGTACTCGGGACTGTATTCGAGGCCTACGACCTTGCCATCCGGTCCTACGGCGTGGGACCAAACCAGGGCGGAATACCCCGCGTACACTCCGATCTCGATGACTGTGGCAAAAGCGGCATGTAAGCTTCACAGTCCGGAGCCAATTGGCCCCCACATGCGGCTAAAGAATGACCCGTCTTTCGCAGGGGAGCGTCGCATACCTCGCTTCGCCTCGATCAACTGGGAGAGCAGCACATGGAATTGCGACTGGAAATTCGAGCTCATGTAGCCGGATCTCTCGTGGTTCTGGTCGACCCAGGCATGGTATTCGGTGATGTGCTTCGGAAGCGGGGTCGAGTGCTCCTGCGAATATGCCGTCACTCTCTCACTCACCTTTTCGTTCGGGTAGAGGGCGGGCGCGTTGGTCTTCATGGTGGTTGCAATGAATCGGCGTTGCTCGGGGAGGCGTAGAAAAAAATCAACTGCAGCGGTGACGGAATTTCCCAGGAAAGGAAAGGTGTTGTCGGGGTACAGCACCGGCTCTCTATTTTATATAGCGAGTTGGACAGAGGCGGGGTTGGTGATGTTGATGCTTTTCGAATCCATCCACTTGGTGATGTCGACATCCCCACGAGCTTTTGTATCAGGTTTGAGTCACGCACGCCAGCGCACGTTATTAGTCAACCCCTAAAATGACATGAGCACCAACACCCTCAACCGAGTTCAAAAGGGCGCGAGATCCGATATGCGGCACTTTGTTCGCCCAGCGAGTTTCCCGGATTCCCCCATCCCCCTTGTGGTGCTCTCCATTCGTGCTCGACCCCTTCCCCGTCTTTCGACGCAAGCCCTCGCTAGCGGCCCCGCCTTTGGACCCCCGAGGCCGGAAGCACGAGGCACATCCCCACAATTGCCAGCACGAACGCCAATTTGTGCCGGTCATCCGGCCGGTTCGCTGGCGGTTGAGAATCATACGAGACGCGTCTTGTCGCAATATCGTAGACGGGGCCAGCCGGTGCCGATTCAATGGCGCGGCGCCTGTCCGTGGGCTCCCGGTCGCCCTTGGAGCCGTCCTCTGGTTTACTAGTAGTTTTCCTTGATCGAGTACGGTCGTGTGATTCCTGAGGTAGCACTTCACTCCCTATCTTGAGATTCGCCTTCTGGTGGTGGTCTGGATTATTGCGAAAGCTCGCGCAGCTCGTCTCCGGAATAATATCGTCATGTGTTGATGAACGGGGCCTGTGCCGACGTCCTTCGGAGAAACTTGAGCCCTTTTCCCCAAGGCTATGGTCACACATGTGAGTATGCTGTCCGTAGGAAGAGATGCCATCCCGTCGGGTTATCACGCTTGCCTCGTTTGGCGCGGCGCTTCGAGGTGGTACATCGTGGTTTTGAGGAAAGCTTGCGCCAAATGTTGGGGGATGGCTTGGAGAGTGATGTCCTGTAACAGCCCAAGGGAGGCTACCGCTGCAGCGCCAAGGCATCCTAGCCATATCAAGCTCTGGAAGTTCCACATGCTGAACCGACATAGCAGCCGGCTCGAGTATCCCGATGCGAAGGGTTTCTATACAATGCTCGGCGCCGCGATGGGCGGACATGGGTTATAAACTAGCGTATCACTGAAAAATGAGGCCCTGGGTGCTGGGAAACCGTAAGAGCACCAACAAAGTTTAAGATGGCTGGCTCTTTGGGCCAACATGAGGCCATCCATGAATGTTGTTAGTCCCGTGCTGGGCTATCGAAGGAGGGTAGGAAGGCTAATACGGCTCCTCTCATGTAGCTCCCAGACCGCGCCCACAATCCGTCCGTAGGCAGGCACTTTAAAAGGGGGTTTTCGTTCTGAGACCAGCACATGCTGCTTGATATCAAAGGCAACTCACGGAAAAGAACGCCCTCCTCTTCATACACCAATCCGCCGGGACCGGAATTCTGGTAGTTTATAGACTGGGAAGTATATCGGGAAGAACATAATATAGCCTCACATATCACATCTTACCGCCACTCTGATATCCTAACACTGACGGGCCGCGCTAGGTTGAACGCAAACTGGGCCGGGCTGTGATTAATATTCAGGGGCGCACCGAACGAATATACGGGATAGAGAGGCTGTGTGTGTTGTGGGAATGCCAATATTGTTCGTTGAAAACATCTACTCTTTTGTTTTTCCCCATCTCTACTTCTGCTAGCTCACCCTCAGCTATATCAAAGCACAAATCATCTAGTCTCCGATACCAATGGGTCCGCCTCGCTGGTAAGAATAAACAAGAGGTTTTTTGTTTAAAAAAATAAAAGAGCAAATGGTAACTCGAAGAACTAGAGGAGAAAATAAAAACACAAGGGGAGCGTAGGCTCCACAACCCAATGCCTTTCGGACGAACTCGGGAGAACGACGTTTCTTATTCCTCGGGGATACTCGAGAAGAAGCCTACTCGCATTCGGTGACTCTATAATTCAAGGCATGCGTTAGCTATCAAATGGCCCCTGATGTTGCATAGCGGGGATTGCGCTGGAACAAGCCACATACAAAGGGGAGTTTAGGGATGATGACCCCCATGACAGCAAGGAAGTTGATGATAAAGTACGCCAAGTCGTAGTGCGTGTAGTGTGTGCTAAGCAAGAACAGCGCGATAGGGACGCCAAGCAGGAACTTTTTGGCTGGTGTGTACTGGGCGCCGTTGTCGATCTGCTCCCACATGTTGAGGTTGTCAAAGGCGCCACCGTTGAACTCGAAGGGTACGCCTCGCACATAATGGAACATGATATATGACCCAAACATGTATGTGATATTGGTCAGTGTCCACGACGTCTCTTGCGAGACTCCGGGTATGATGTCATAAAATATTTTAAGGCACGCAATTAGGACGAAGTGAATTGTCCAGGCACCTACACCACGCCGGTAATATTAGTAACAAGGTAGCTATCAGGAGAATCCGAACGCATAAAAGCGAACTTCGGATACGAGGGCGCGGGGAGGGGAGAGGGATGGGTGTTTTAAGAGGGGTGGCTAGCTGTCGGTTGTCGGGCGATGGAAAAGGGGCGCATTACCCTTGGCATTCACCCAGTCTGCATTGAGATTGGGAACAACAGCCTGATCGCTGATCTGTTCTAGAGTTTCCTGAGGCTCATGGTAGACCTGGAGAATGCTGCTAGATCTCCTCCTTCGGGTCGTCTTTTGCTCCGGCATGGTGTTATACGTACTTCCTACGCGTGGCTGCTTCGTACCCACGTCGTAGGAGACGGTTCGAGGAAGGACAATTGGGGAAGACAGTTTGGCGGTATTGGCGCTGGCGAGTTGGGAGAGCCGGACCCGATGGAACAGCTAGAAGTCGATCGAAGGGAGGTTTCGACGTCGAGTTGAGGGCAAATTGAGGCTCGGTTCGGCCAACTTGTCGTTCGCTGAACCAGACTAATCATGCGCTAACCCGAAAAGGAGGGGCGTTGAGGAAAGGTGTTCGCAAAATGGGGTCGAGAGATTCAATCGGCGTGTTTTTCCCCCTTCTTCCTCCGTTGCGATGCTGGACTCGATCGGCTATCGACGTGGTTTCGGGGATGGACGGGACGCCTCAAAGGCCGTTCGAAAGTTCGGGTGGGTGGTCTCGTGAACCGACGTTTTTGGGTCGCGAGAATGACGCACAGGCAATTGAATGGAACGCGAGGGCCTATCAAGAGGTTGCTAATGCGAATTACTTGACAGGAAGAGGTAGGGCCTGCCAGCGGGAGGTTTCGAGTTCGAACGAGTAGGGAGGGGATTGTTTTTTTCGTGTGTGACGAATGCTAGAGGAAGCCAGCTACCGCAGCATTTGGTAAAAATCGGGGTCGAACGAGCGAATGTGAAGAGGTAGCAAGCGGAAGCTTGGAGGTTTCTGGAGAAGAAGGTTGCAAAGTAAGGTAAAACAAGGCAGGAGTGGGCACGAGGGTACCTGTCTGAATATTTTATTACGGTTTGAACAGAGTCGCACATGGTCGCATTATGAAAGGACGAAGTGGACACGAAGTGTCAAATGACAGGGGTCACAGCCGCTATTGCTCCCTTGTGGCTGATAGCTATCGCCTAAAAACCCAGGGTAGCCACTACCATCTGGCGCTGGGAGTCCGCTAAAACAGCCGTTGGAGCCCCTTTTGAGGCGAAGTTAATGGCCTGCCCCATAAAAGGGAGTCAATCACCGAGGATTCTGTTGGCCTGAAGCTTTTCTGATTTGATCGATTCCGGCGATCCGTTGTGCTGACGCAATCTCCCGGAGATCACGGTACTCTTTTCGCAGCACTCGGAGAATACTGCCTCTATCTATCTGCCTCCAGCCTATTGTTTCGGCTACCCTGTCCGTCATTCGAATCATGCCCGTCATGCTGTCTCGGGAACCAGATCACTGTTTTTGAACCTGCAGCCGCGACTTGGGGCTGATGGAATTCGTGAGAAAACCCCTTAAAGGTCCCGGAAACAGTAATATACGGATGGGTAATAATAGGCTTTTATTGAGGTTCGTAGCTGCAGTAATGGGAAAGGGGTGGGGGCAAGGGCAGAGAGTGACAGGCGAGGGATTCCTTGGTTTGGATGACTGTCGCGTGTATGAACGGAGAGCGGTTTGAGGGAGAGGGCATCAAGCATGTGCTTCGTTCCTCGTATGTCCTTACCGTGATGGCCCCTCTGATGAATTGGAGCCTATTGACTTGGCCTCCTGTTTTTTGACCGGCACCGCGTTTTTCTCGTCAGTTCTTGATTCTGGGCCCCTTCTATGTTCGCCGTAATGGTGCCATTCCATGTCACATCCTGGGCGATTCTTCAGTCGTGCGCTGATATTAGATCCTTTGCACCTCTCCTCTTAATTTCAAGAGAATGAGTTCATTTCATAGGTAGCCTCGAAAGGCACCTAATGCGTTCAATCAGGACCCATGATACCGAGTAAAGTCATGGAATATAATTTTATACATCAATACATTTGTTCCCTTTTGCTCTGGTGATAGGAGCTCTGGGCATCACCTTGCTCACCTCAGGCGCAATTGGAGGCAGATTGATGCGACTGGCCAAATTGAAGAATAATGGTGCCCCTTCGGGGGCTTCAATAATACTGTATGCCGTAGGTGGACCTCAGTGCAGTGGCACTGGCACAGTGTTCTTGGAGGCACGTGACTGGATGTGCTATTCAGTCCATGCACTGATCGATGAGCCTTCGGCCCACCCGTCACTTGAGGAAGAGAGGCGCAACTGAAGCTCGCCATGCTTACATAACAAGCGCCAAGGCTTGGCTCTTTGAAGCTTTGGGTCAGAGACGAATTCGCATCGCACATCAAGGATTTTCAAGATGAAGCGACCTGCTTCCATATTACCCTTTGTGAGAATATAAGCGGCGGTTCTTCTCATTTTGGATCTTGATCTTTATCAATTATCGCTCCTTTATCATTTTGCTTTGCATAAAGACCTAAGCTAGAGAGGGAAAAGTTTGCGTGAAGATCTTTCATCTGGCAGCGCCGAGCGCCACGCGCCGCGCGATAGCAGCAAAGACACTCTATAGCAAGTGTACTGGCCGCCTGGATCTTCCACCAACGCCGACTTGGCAAAGACCCAAGGTATCTCTTGCCCAGTTCCTCGCCGGACTTCTCTACCCACCGACTGTGCCGTTGCAAAGGGTAACTTAGGTCTTTCGACCTGGGGCTGCCTTTGGTGTCTGCCATGAGCGGGTCCGCAGAGTTGTTGCCCGCTCCCACTACCATTGTTGGTAATGGAAATCCCAACAATGATGGGGCGTTGAATAACGGCCTCCAAGTGGCCAAAAGAGACCGCTATCGGTGGAACCTTCAGAAGACAGTAATGTCGATCTACAGACCCAAGATGTGCGGTCGAAGCGAGCCCGGACGGGCAGCCCTTCGAGTGGCTTAAACCATGGACAAGGGCAGCCGCAACCCGACACCAAGGGTGCGATTCATGCTATGGGATCTGGAGAAGCAGACAACATGGATGAGGCGAGCCTCAATAGTGGCAGCGAAGAAGGCGAGGTCTTTGAAGCCGAGGCGTTATCGGGGGATATCTGTGAAGATCCGGACGACAGCGAGAGTGATCAGACGGGCGGTGAGGAAGCCGGAGAAGACGATGAAGACGGCGACGAAGAAAACGGAGGAGAAGACAAAAAAGCAGGCGAAGAAGAGGATGGAGAAGATGAAGAAGAAGATGATAGTGAAGAAGGTGAAGAGGCCAGTGATGGTGGAGTTGAAGAAAACTGCAGCAATCTGGATTCTGAAAGAATTGCAGGTGAACCTGCTGAATCACTTCAAGGAAGCAGGTGTGATTCGGAAGATGAGGAAGGCGCGGCCAGATCCATCTCCCACTCACCTTCCTCTGAATCATCTAATTCACCTCCACAGACTTCTGGCTGGAACAGGGGAATCACTTCTGGGCAAGTGCGTATATCCCTTGGTTTAGGAGCTAAACCAGCTCCTGTTGCACCAGTGGTCAAAGGCATCACATCAACAGGCATACAAAACGGAGCGATTCCTCCCCAGCCACTACACACCCAACAACCCTACGACTGCATTCTCCCAAAGTCCAAAGTCTCCCTACAGCTACCGATCCTTGACGATAGGAAAAGACACGACTCTTGGAAAGTTAGATTCGAAGCATGGGCAGCTGCTCTCGCGGATCTCAATGCTGAGAAAGCCCCTTCACTGATCAAATCACCCTTGAAGCGTACAATTTTTATATAGACCGGGTATCTGGCATCCACAGCAAGAAGAAAAGGCCCGCAAAGGAGGCGGCGAAAGCGGTGCTTCAAAGCACAAAGTCAACCCCTCCCTCAACGGGGTAGCAGAAGTTTCTACGATCGCTTCCCCAAACCTATCTACTATCACCCAGAACGGAACCATGCCTCCCAAAATCACACAGGGTAAACCGGTTAGCGGGGAACAGCACCAGGCGCAAGGGCTTCTTACAGCGGCTGACTGGGCCCGCGCTCTCGACGGCGGCGATTCTCAGCCCTCATCTGCCAATATCAGCTCCAAGACGGCTGCCGCCCCTCCCCCTTCCCTGCACGCTTGCAGAGTTGCGTTCCTCAGTGCCCAGTGGTAGCGAGGAGTCCAAGCAGAAAATCCGGTATTTCCCGGGCCTCAGGCCGGCCACAGATGCATGTGTTCTGTGCCTACAACTCGGCCACAAGGCCGACGGGTGTCAAGCCAACTTGTGCACTCAGTGCGAAGACCCTGAGAAACATTTGTCGTACGTCTGTCCAAGAAAGCAACGATGCACGAGGTGCCGCATGACTGGACACGGCCCCGATAACTGTTTAGAGGAGAAGCCCAATCCCCACCGGGACCAAGATATTCGATGTGTCCATTGCGAATCACCCAGCCATCGAGACGAGCGATGCGATACTCTATGGCGAACCTTTGACTATGGAAACCTCGACAAAAAGTCGGCTCTATTCTCGCCTTTGCTCGCTGTGCGGTGAAGAGGGCCATTACGTTTCGGACTGCTCTCGAAATGGCGCTCTCTACGAGACCAAGACCTGGAGGCTGGAGACGTTACAGAAGTGTGTCGACAAGACTTCTCGCCAAGGACCTATCTCGGAGTTCAAATCCATCACACTTACTGCTACTCCTCGTGCCCCGTATGAGATGCGGCGGCCTGAGCTTGTGGGGAAGACATTCAACAACATCTCTTTCGACTCGGACGACTCAGACGAGGCCAATTTCTTAGCAGATCGCGTCCAGCCGAAGAAGCCCTTGGGTCGTATCGACCTTTCGACCAACATTCAGTTCGCCGATACTTCCAACCCCGCCCCCATCTCGCCAGCTCCACGCCCCCGCAGGGTCCGGCTGCAGGAGGCCGGCCATCGGACAGCCGCCGTTCGATGCACCCACTGCCCCCACGGCCACAGGTACCGGCTGCTCCTCCCCGACGCGGCGGCTTTCACAATGTGCCCCTCCACCAGGGCTTCATAGGAATGAGACCCAGGGCAGCAACGGTAGAAATTCGTCCAACGGCGGCAGCTCACGAGGTAGTCGAGATAAAGGTTCTCGTCGAGGAGGCCGACGAGGTGGTGGATTCCGTGGGAGCCGTGGTGGTAGTGGCGGGTGGTAGTGGCGGGTGGGCATGAGTGTACCAAGGTACTTCCTGGCATGATTGCTGCACTGGTTACAGGTGGAGAAGCCATAGGGTATCTCTACTCTCATCACCTGGCAATTGCTAGGGTCCAGGCGATGTCATGGTTTGCTGCTTCGCAGATTTTGTATTGGCCCCATCTTGCCAGATCCTTTATATTTAAGCCTGTCAACAATCCTCGAGGAGAGGATGTGAAGCAGGTGAGTTTCAGTCCGAGTGACGCGATGGCCTTTACGGTTCCTGTCGCAAGTTTCTTAAAGAGCGGACTGTCAAGTGCGTGAAGAAGAGAGGAGAGATTGGATGCGAGGCGTCAAGGACGACACTACAGGGGTACTCGTGTCCCATGCCGCGCGTAACAATCAAAAGAGATACGATGCCACAGATCTGATTGAAAACTTTCCCGTGCGCGATTTTCAAGTGAAAGGCGGCGAGCACGTTGCTTCTGTCAACTCGCCAAAGCACAACTTCGACGTCTGCCCAGGGGCAAAGGAGAGGGGACAGGAGGCGAACACCAAAGGGTAGTGTTGGCCGAGGCCGGCGAGAGAGTTTTCAGATCACAGCTTGTCTCGTCTCTTCCCCCAGATGCCCGAGAGCGACGCCGGTCGCCAACCATCTGACCTACACCCGGCTTCGCTCGGAACTTGTCACCAGGTATTCGCCCGCTTCCGGTGAGGGGCTGGGAAAATGAATGACCGAGGGGAATCACTGGTGCCTGATATCTCAAGAGATAAAAGGGGTGCAGACGGCGTGCATAGATATCTGCCAACATCTGGTGCCGAAGGGTGGGGGTGTGGATGAAGTAGGTACGGACGGAGCTTGAAGCTTCACTCATCATTCGTTGAAGTGATGGAAAGAAGAGAGGCACGCGGGAGTTTACAGGAGCCATGGCTATTCGTGATTCTGGCTTGACTGCAGGATCGGGCTAACAAAGTGAAGGAGGGAGGGGAGCCAAAGTCGACGGGCCGCATCCTTCTTCAGCGGGACGGAGACGTGTGGCAATGGGGGAGGGCAATGAATAGCTGTCAGGGCCAGCCATGACTGAGCGACTAGCCACAGTGGAGTATCAGTTCTAGGTCACACTTGCAGAGGAGCTCGTGGGCAGTCCGTAGGCAATGTTGAAATTTCAGGGGTTTAACGGGCCCAGTTCATTTTTGATTCATTGAGCTTCGGGGGATTCCATGGTGAGGGGCGATGGGAAAAGGGGCGGGATATGTGCCTAGATATCTCTACCCAAAGAGGTCTCCTTTGGACGAGGTCTCTCCTTACACGACTACACGACGGGGAAAGGATGGGCCGGAAGGCCTATCGGGCAGCTCCAGAGCTTCCCCACTTTGATCGACGGGGAGTGGGGACGTGCCGCAGGACCAGGTCGAGGTCGGACGAAAAAGGATGAGGCGTTCGGGAAACGCAGAGGCGGGCGTAGTTGTCAGTGTCTTTTTGTTCACACGGTGCATGAAAATGCATCTACAAGTATCCATTGGATCAATTGCTCGGCAAGGTACCAAGGTGTCATTAGATTCACGCCAGAGGACTCGGCAGCAACTTCATGTTCCTCTCGTCCCAACGTAGTGTAGGTCCTTTGCCTGGGACGACATGGACGAATCTCAACCGTGGAAGCCCAAGAGGCCCCAGGATGCAAGCAGCCCTGCGCGGGCATGGGGCGTGGTGCGAAAACAGCCAATGAACGTCGAGCAGCGCTTAGAAACTCACCAACGACAGGCTGCCGCGTCAATTTCGCGTCTACCACGCGAGCAGAGGGAAGTGAAGCCGTGTCCCCGCGTCGTGCCACGTTCGGCCACGCCAATGGCAACTTGTGCCAAGCCCGCTCCAACCACCCCCTTCTGAGTCCCCCTCGAGTCTACCCGTCCAACTCCCAGAGAGAATGTTGCCCAAGACACAGCACTGCTCTGCCGATCCGCCCTCGAGTCTGCCGAGCTCCACGGCGCCACATCTTCATCCCCGCTGCTGGGCCAGAGAGCTTTTTTCGGGCTCGTGCGCATTTCTTCGCCAGCGGAGCTAGGGTGCGTTGACTCTGAGAGTTGAGACTTGCGAAGACTCAAGTGCTAGCTTCTAGAATCCAGTCACACCAGCAGCAAGGGCAAGTTCACCTTTGCAACGCCAGTTTGTTCTTTTTGCTTTTGGACAAAAGAAGTCCAACCCCCAAACTAAAAATAAAAATAACAAAAAGCAACGAAGATTGTGCTCTTTCGATCCCCACACGACTTGACTCTTTTCTTTGTTAAACAAGAAGTCTTGGGGGATTTTTGGACGAGAGGATGGGGGATTTGGACGCTCTCCGCCCTTTCCTTACCCCACTTTCGGACTAGGGGCCCTACCTGCATGACTGTGGCCAGTTTTTGGGCCATCGACTGGCCGCCGATAGAGGACCTTGAGACGGGTGCATTTGGGCTGCAGGGTGCAGCCATCGGTGCTGCAAGAAGGACCTGGATTGAGCCACTGAGAAGCTCCATCGCGTTGACATGTCGTGGCGTGACGGGGCGCGGCGGGCGATTGGAGGGGCATGGCACGCTAAACTGCACGCCAACCCACGTCCACTCGAGCTCTCATCAACTATCACAGTCTCGATTCCCTCGCACTCAACGCAAGGGAAGTGGTCCATGGGCACCAGCATCGGCAGGGAGAGGAACACAGTAGATGCCCTTGGTGTGGAGAGCCGTGAGTCACGAGCCAGTCGATTCCCGGCAACTTTCGTGTCGAGCGACGAGTGATGCATACATAGACCAAGGACCAAGGGTATTTTGGGGGTGATTTACACCTGCAGCACCCGGCCCCTTCGCCCCTCTTTGGATGGCTCGCGATTCGAAGCGGTGCGTGTAGAAAGGGCGCACACGCGATTAGGACGACCGGGGAAGGTGAGTAAGGGCCATGGTAGACAATGACCAAAAAGAGATAGTCGCGAACGAGGCAAGAGCAACAAAGAAACAAAAGAGAAAAAGAAAAGGCGGGGGCGAGGATAAACCTCGCACGACGTGATCAGCCCGAGCCAACTCGAGATATATCTGTCTCATCCACACCGGTTCCTGGAGACAACCTCGTTCGAGGTCTCTTGTTCCCCTCCTTTCCCCTTTTGTTTCTCCACATTGGACATTTCTTCACCCGAGGTCGACTGTCATTTCGTCGTCAGGCCTCAATCTGCATTCTGCAGACAGCTGGCCAACTGCACCTTGCGTCACGAATCAACCCAAGCGTGGAGGGAGCAGCAGGGGGTTTTCATGTGTTAGACGCCCGAGCAGCTCCATGCACTGAGGGTGCGAATAGCCTCTCCCGCTGGCCGTTATCTCCCATTCACCCCACCGACCTTGACACCCAATTGCCTCTTCACCTAGACAGGAACCTTGCCCCTTTCGGTCTACTCTTTCACCTCTTATACTCCATACCTCTTCTTCCCGCCCCGAAAGACCACCGCCCGCTCCCTTTCCGGATCTTTTCCCTTCTTTCTTTCCTCGAACAACAACAACAACAACATCAACAATAACAATAGGAAACGGTGTACAAGGACAACAGGACAAGCATCATCATCATTACCCTCATCGATCTACCCACTAATACCCCATCATCATCGTTATCATCACTGTCATCATACATTTGTACCAAAACAACCCAAGACCGTCACCAATAACACTGCCACAGCATCATCGTGTCTCGGGAGAAGATAGAGATACGCCTCACTTACACACGCTCATACCTGCACATACACACGCACACACACACACTTACACACACGCACACATACACATACGACACATACACACATACACACATCCACAACAGACATTCACAGTCGTCACCACGGCAGCCATCACGAGGAACTCCGTCGTTGAGCTTTGTCGCCGGACGATAGACCCCACAACATCCACGCTGGCGAATTGAACCACGACATGCAACAACAACAACCATGGCACCCGGACCACAGTTATTCTACGCTCTCTGGCAGACAGAGGACGTCCGCGAGAGGCTCTTTAACCTACTCTCCAAATCTGAACTTGCCAACGTGCGACTGGCTTCCTCAGCCTGCTGCAACCTGGTTACTAAGAGGCTCTTCCTACGAACCCACATAACTTTCACGGCCAGCACCTTCACCAAGCCTCCCCGTATCCAGGCTCTTTCGCGCATCGGCCACCACATTGAGCATCTGACCTTTAACTTGCCCCATTCCGAGGCAACCTTTTGCCTCCGCTGATCCACCCGGAGACGGGCAAGGAGATCAATTTCCTTTACACTCCACACACCTCCATGGCGTCTGTCTTGACCAGACCAAAGTACGCCAATGTTGAGCTGGGGGACATCCTGACTCTGCAATACCCGCCTCTCTTTCACGCCGCCACCAACGTACCCTCCTTCATCAATGCCCTGACGCATGTGCCGAACATGCGGCATCTGACCATCAAGTGCCCCGGCCAGGCTCCGCGCGAGAGATATAGGCGAGACATCGTAGACTACGCCCTCATAAGTCTGCGCATTGCGGTGGAGAGGACGCCCATGACGAAGTTGTCAAAGCTGTCACTCGTCAACCTGCATCCAGCGGCGTTCACCTATATTCGCCATATCCCTGGCTTCGGCGCGGTTCCTTCTGCTAGCCGCAGATGGGGCCAGATTCGCAAACTCTACATCAGCGTGGAGTCGTGGGACTTTTACAGCCCCCACCCAGGCCTCGACCAGCTCAAGATTGTCGATGACTATATCCGGGGTCTTTCTAAAAACCTGGAAAAGTTCACTTTTGCCTGGAGCGGGCGATTCAAGGGCCCCTGCCCTCTCTACCTATCCGCTGATCCTTTGTTCCGCGCGCCGCAGCACACCCAAAAGCTCTTTAATGAGGTCACATCTCCAATGTCCCCCTTCCCAGCCCGCCTTCTAGGAAGGTGATTCACTTCCCAAGTTGCGGTACATGCAGGTCCGCAACGCCACCATGACCACGACACAGCTCTCTGAGATCGTGAGCGTGCATCGCCCGACAGTCAAGGAGTTTGACTTTGAAAGCGTGGTTCTTCTCAATGGTGGAAGCTGGGAAGAGGCCCTTGCGCCACTTATGGAGGCACCCACCCCCGAGACTACGGAGGTATGGTCGCGTAGCCCCAGTCCTCTCTCTGAGTCGGGTAGCTTTGAGACGACAGCCTCGGCAGTCTCGTCGGCTTGCGATGATGAGCTGCAATACCCCTCGGCCGCTGCCGCTGCGGCGTCGCGAGACTTGCTAGGAGCGGAGCTAGGATTCGGCTCTGAGCCGGAGTACGACGACCTCGCGTCGGATATTGCCGCGGCGCGGGAGGCCAGCAAGACAGTTAGCACAAAACTCACGAAGAGGAGAGTGCACCGCAGGCGCAGGAGGAAGCCCAAGTCCGACGATGAGGCAGAACGTACCTCGGAGAAGAGTAAAGGCAGCAGCCGGCATACGCGCCACGAGAGTAGTAGTAGTAGTAGTGGCGGTAGCAAGGGCAAGGAGAGCAACAGCCACAGTCACAGCAAGAGCAAGGGCCACAGACGTCAGAAGTCAGAAGAGGAGGCAGTCGTGGTGCCTCGTGCGCCCAACAGGACACCCTCACCTCCCGTTCCCCTCCCCGTCATCTCCGCGCCCATCCTCAACATGGATTCCCAGCCCGTCCTGCTCCAGCCTACCGTGTATGACCCCAACGCGCCGGTGTCCAAGGGCCCGGATGACTGTATCACCCCTGTGCAACGCAACATCGAGAAGGAGGAGGCGCACAGGCTTCTCGCGGAGGATGAAAGCATCAGAATGAGTGCCCTTCGAAGGGCCAAGGAAGCGGTACTCGCGAAGCTCTCGTGGGAGTACAACAAGAGGGTGGCGGGCTGCGCACCCGCCATCATTCCCGCCGCGCCAGCAGTGACCGCGGCGACACACGTTGTGTCCAGGGATCTCTTTGCGCCGGCAGTGACAGCGGCGACACACGCTGTGTCCAGGGATATCTTTGCGCCAGCCAACTGCGCAGCAAGTGCGGCGGTCAACATGGCGCGCTTCAAGGACAACTACTTCGCCAAGAGTACCATTTCGGTACTGTCTGATCACAGGGCGCTCGATAGTCAGACTGCTCTTGTCCCGCTCATGTTTAGCCGATCCTGAAGGGGCTCTTCTCTTGATGACGACTGACGGTGATGATTTTACGTTCTTATTGCCGATTATGCTTTGATGATGTGGGTGATCATATTGCCCGGCGTTTCACTTTTTTCTTTCCCTTCTTTTCTATTTCTATTTTATTTTTATTATCATTGGATTTCTCCTTATCCACTTATACTATTCATCCTGTCTACTTTCTATTCTTCGATCTTTTCTTCTTACCACTCGCTCATTACTATTTTTCTTAGCCCCCTTCTTTTTATTTCAAACATTTCAATCTTTTTTCCTTCACTACCTTCTGGACCTTTTCACTATTCCAACGTTACTCCCCTTTGTAACACCTCGGATGACTTGTATGGCAGAGATGGGGTGACGGGAGTTTTGGGGCCAGTTTGATTGAACGCATTTTCGGACATGGGCTTAGGTGGTATGGGATACGGTGCATTGTGAAAGGATGGGTTGGTGGGAGGGATGGACATTGGGATACGACCGCAAAGCAACACCCCGTTTTTCACCGGGAGTTGAGCAAAAGTAAAAAAAAAAATCGAAAAAGGGAAGGGAAATGGAAAGGAAGGACACTGGAACCTGGGTATTGGAACGACCGACATGACCAATAGCTACGAATTTCCTCTCTCATGTTATATATATTGAGATCCTCTTTTAAGATGCCGTTCTTTCTCTCGCCCGAACTAGTCTCGAGTTGCCTCCGACCATTGACGACCCGCCAACGTTTCAAACTTTGCCACTAGAATTAGGCCATGTCCCTGGATTGTGATTAAGAAGACCTGACGCCTACCTTTGCGACAGCTTTTTGAGGCACTGGGGTCTAGGGTGTTTGAAGTGAATATTCAACGAGAGTTGAGGCTCGTTGTGAAGAAGGGTTGTGGGGCACAGCTTCCCTGGCCCGCCATATGCCCGCGATGAAGACCCGAGACTGCTGCTCCCTCGTGGGTGAAGTTGAAAAAAGCATACTGGACAAAGATAGACGCGCACTTCTAATGTTGAGAACGACCCATGTTGTTGACCTCTTGAAGGAAGGCAACAAGAAAAGCGGACAGCAGAAGAAAGAAGCAAAAGATCGACGGCAATTGCCGTCAACCGCCTCAAGTCCGAAAATGTGTCGTGTCGTACAGACCAGTCAGACCCAGTGAACTTGGGGCGCAGGACGCCCTGAGAGAGACCAATGGCCAGCCCCACTTATTTCTCAAGCCAAGGTATTATTACTGTTTGCTGGACCACGAAGCGAGGGTCCGGGGCGGAAGCTTCTCTCCGCCTGGGTGGGGAGGCGATTTCCTGTTTCGCGACGGGTATGTTATGGCACCATCTATCAGTTTGGCGTGCTCTGCTCATTTCTTGGGTTGGGGAGCGTTGGCAGCCAAGCCAAGGCGTGCCACCATGGGAATGGGGGATCCCACCAACAAATGCGAACGGTGCCACAGGTGTTTAGGAAATACCATGAAAAGTATTTTCAGCCAAAATCTGCGCCGCCGACGAGAGAGCCCGCGGTTTCGTTGACTTGAGAGTTCCTTCGCTCGTACATCGCAACTCTTGCAATGACGCAGTTGAGATTTTCCATGCAGGCTTTGCATGCTGGAGTGCGACAGTGGCGGGGTGGCTGGATATTTGACTCGTCTGCAGCAGGTTGCTTTTACTGACGGGCTGGGCTGAGGAGAGGCCCCTCTGACAAATGTGAGGCTATCTCGGCGCGGCCGGCGGATTCTTTTGCTGTACATCTCGAAATTTCATTCGGGCCATGCCAAGACAGACAGGAGAGCCTGGCTGCAACGCCCCGTAATGCCTCGCATTGCGATTTCAGCAGTTTTATTAATAACGCCTCGCAAAAGAAAGAAAAAAAAGTATCTGCAGCAAACATGACTGCGGTATTCTTCTACAGCCAAAGTACTTGCAAGACGTCTCGAAGAAAAAGGAAGAACCCAAATGGGGAAAGAAAGAAACGAGGGGAATGGCAGGAACGTGGGGTTTCCGGGTTCAACACGATCGAGATCGACACGCTGCAGATAGAATGGGGAAACATCAAAGTACTCTAAACGGCAGCGCTGATCTCTACTGAATAGCCTGTGCATTGGCATCCAGCACTCTCCGTGGCGAAAGCGCACTGGGCCGCTCTTGGGTATAATATTGAGGGCTTGATGCTTTCTTAATGTTCTCAACTGGCTAGTGCTTGACTGCTACTGACAAAACATGTATTATCAACCCGATATCCAAGTAGGTACGCGGCCGATGACAGAGGGAGATGAGCACGAGCACAGAAGCGCTTGCAGAAGTGGAGAAGGGTTACGACAACACCATGGAAAGCGTCTGGTAACTTGTCAGTTGGCAACGGGGCCTTCGAGGTCTCGGAGGGTTCGGGAGTAGGGTGCGCGGGTTCTTCACGACGTATTTTACATTTTACAATGTTCCTAGAGTCAACTCAACACCCTTCTCGCTGGGTTACTGGCTGGCTGGCCGGAAACCCTCAAGAAGTGACCTTGTCTCGTGTTTGGCTTCGCGACTGGTCTCTAGCTGCGCGTGTTTGGAAATGGCAGTTCCCAAAACAGCCTAGACACACACGGGCTCTGCACTCGACATCGTGCGTTTATGACGCACGAGTGCCCTCTCTCACTTGTCCCAAGCTCTTCGCTTCCAAGTCGGGCTGTCTGAACCTCGGTGGTTGTGAAACTGGCCACGAAAAGCCATCTCAAAATTTTGTCTTGCGAGTGCAAGGGCATGGGTATCCATCCAGCTGGGGGGACCAGTCAATTGATCCAATGGGCGGTTGTAAAAAGATGTGCGCTACACTAATAGTGAGGCAATATTGGTGTTATTACTTCCAACAGGCAATGCTAATTTGGAGGGATCGTAATAGCCAATATCAGCATTCATGGACCTGGCAGCGCATTCTGGCTGGGTTTGCCATGCTGACTGCTGACTGCTGGGCTGGCTGAACTTCACAACAACCTTCCATCCGTGGATGGAACAATTTCTTCTTCTTCCTTGTTTCTCTAATTGTTCTTGTCTTCTTCCCCCTTTTTCTCCCTGCACAAGCCGATTGCGCTAAGAATTTAAGTTCAAGGGCCTCTCCGGATCCGCGCGTTTTGCCATCCCTTTCAGTCATGTCGTTTCTGAAGGCTAAAGGGGAACGCCCCTCTCCCGAAATTCCGAGCGTTGGAAGCCAGTGGTCTCTCCCCTCAGTCGTTCATCGCATTGTGTGGGACCAAGTATTAATAAGACGGCATCAATGTACTGAGGCAGTGAGGTATTATCGTTGTCCTCTTAAAATGAGGCACACTGAAATTTGCAGATTGACAGCGGGCTTATCGATCCTCGCAACGTCCCTGGTCATCTATGAAGGACTATTGATCCATGTGGCCGGTGGGTAAGTATCCACCAAATCATTGGTATGCCACGCTCTTGCTCCATTGTACCAGACCCTCCTCGATCGAGTCGGCATTCCCATCAGTGCACGTCCCCACTCCCCACTACCCCGAAGCCAAGCAATTGAGCCAAGCAAGTTCTTGTCAAGAAAGAGCGAGCCCGTGCTGTTTCCCCACATGTATCAGACAAGTACCTTGGCCAAGATATCAAGGTGGACGGCATATGCAGTAGAGGAGGGGACGCTCACCCAGTCGGCCCAGTCACCCAACACCATTGCCTACGATGGCCTCGACACCACCGACCATGCACGAAGAAACACAGACGAGTAGAATCGCCACCATTCATCGACACAGAGTGTGGGGAGTTCAGGAGAGCGAGTGGTGGGTGGGGGACGACCCTGAGGTTCTTCAAAGACCAATCCCTTTGGCTCTAATAATCCGTGCAAGTCCACTAATAGGTCGCGTAGAAAATTAAAATTCTCCCGCCCACTCTTTCTTCCACGACCAACGTGCCTGCTCAATTCCACACGGCCTGGCCTTTCCTTTTCGGGAGGACCGACCCGATACCAAGGGCGGACGCCGGACTTTCCTCCAGTCCTTCTTCTCAACCTGTCCTGCCTGTTTTTTTTTCTTTTCTTTTTCTTTTTCCCCCAAGTAATGAGGGGTAGTGCATGGTGTAGGTATATTCAGCAAAGGCGCGTGGGTGATGGTGAATTGAATGATCCACGCAATGAATCCATAGATCCATCAGTGATGAGCCTCTATACTCTCAAAGTCTCAAACTTGAGCCGCGACGAGGTCTGATGCTGGCAGCGTGCGCCGTCGCCTATCGTCCAGAGGAACATTGTTAAAACGGTTTTAGCGGGTCCAAATTGACTGCCACTCATCGGTGATTTGCGGACCAAGTACTTGTGGCCTCCAAGGATGCAGTTTCCTGCTTGTGCAAGCAGCACAGATCCATTTGATGGATGTATGTTTCTTGTTTTGCGACCGGCGGGTTCTACTCCACGATTGAGCTTTGGGAGAATAGTCACCAGCACGGTGGTGATGGATAGGTGCGTCGCTGCGGACGCGGACGGCCCTTCGACTCTCAACCCTTTGAACCGTGCTGCCCCGTGCTGCCCCGTGCTCATTGCTGCTGTGATGCTCCATTACGAGGCCTGACAAGGTTGGACGAAGCGTAATTGTGCCCCAGCTGCCAGCCGCACACGCGACAGACGAGAAGGGTCTAGCTAAAACTTGAGAGCCTCTCCCAATCCGTACCAAGTACAGGTACACGTTTTTTACAGGCCGTTCCGATAATTATTATCATCCTCTACCATGCTCAGGGCGCAAGACGGTAAACCGACCGGACGAGATTCCCCTAAATGTGGCCTCAAGGTTTCGATGTTGCCCGCCACGGCTCGTTCGACAGTGCCTATAATTACAACACTCGATGTACGGATTGGAATGGAATTGATCTATGTATTATGTGCACTTGATTGAATGGTTTGGATGTACTGACTTGGTGAGGCTTCTTTTTCTTCCTCTTTTTCCTGCTCGGTATTGTCTAGTGGTTCGGTGGCTGTTCGCCCACTCCCGCCTCCCTCGTCCCAAGCCAAAAGTGGCACAGGCGTTCAAGGTCCCCGGTCACTATAGACAAAGTATCCATACTTGTATGGCTGAAAGTGGATGGGATGGGATAGATAGCTAGAGAGATCCATTTCTATGCACCACCCACCAGCGCCCACGTCCATTGAACTCCATCCAGTAATCTTGCGATTGCTTCCTCCCTCTCTCCCTTCAACACTTCCTCCCGCACCTCGCCTCCCGTTGTGTTCCCCGTCCCTCCCTCCCACCCTCATCTCTTTCACACCCGCCACAATACATCCAACTCCGTGCTTCTCCCACTGCCAGTGCTTGCATGTAACTGGTGAATTCTCAGGGTCGGAGGGGATCTAGTTCGTGTGCGACAGCCGCCCTTGACAGACCCTCTTTTTTTCTTCTTTTTCTTTTACCTTTCTTTTTCTTTCTCTTGATCTCGTTTCCCCCCTTTCCCATCCGCCTCCTCCAGCTAACTGACATTCCTTTACCCTTCTTTTCTTTCCCTCTTTTTCTTTCGCGATCATTTGAGGGAGTTTCCTACTTGCGGAGCGAAAGCAAAACAACAACCGATTTTGCGTTTTTCCTACCCGAGCTGGTTCCTGCGCCGTCCCCGTCTCTCATCGCGTCGGCCGGTTGGTCAGCCGATCAATTCTGTCGCCTCCCATTCTCCTCCACGGCGAACGACTCGACCCTGTACCCCAACATTAGCCACTGTCACTTTTTTCTTTTTCTTTCTTCTTTTCTCCTCGCGCCCCTTTGAGCGAGGCAGAACCTGTGCATTGCCTGCGCCGAGAGAGAAAAAAGAAAGGTGGTCTCGACGACGCCATCTGCGAGTGTTGGAAAGGAACAACCCCCAGAATCCCGGGAGAAAATCGAGGAATTTGCGGAAGACGCCTCGCGTCTTGGATAACAAACTCAGGAACGATCGGCATTCGATAGAACGCAATTCGGGGACGAAGGATAATGCGAATCAGCTAACAGGAAACGGCCTCGTATTTCGTTGCCGTAATTCCGGAGTTGGTCGACGAGAAGATCAAAAATGCGCGTCGCCATCCGCGAACAGCTCGTGCTGCTCGTTACCTTCACCGTCCTCGTTTCTCTAGCAGTCGTTGCTCTTCCGACCTGGTTTTTCGTCCATCGTTTTGTCATCAACGTGAGAAAGGACGCCCTCTCCCTGACCGCGTCTCTCAAAGCCTCTCGGATCACGGCGGAACTTGACCTCGTCCGGTCCAACTGCCGCACAATCGCCTCCCGGCTCCTCATACAGCGCGGCTTGAAATCATACAATGATGGGAACGACACGAGTTGGCAAGAGGCCAGCGAGGACCTTTCCATTGCGCTGAGCGCGAGGTCCCAGACAAACCTGCTCCAGGCGAGGATATACACTCGCGACGGCAGCAGTTACCCCGTGGTCAACGTGACGGGGAGGAACAACCCCGTCATCGAACTTCCCTACGGCGATCAGAACGGAAACCCCGTGATTCTAGGCAACACCGCGACCCAGTTCGGCTTTCCGCCCGACCTCTATCCCAATGTTACATATAAAGATCTTGGCTCGGTCAATGCCCAAAACAACCTGACAGAGTTTGCCGCCTTCGCGTTTGACACGGTCAACCTCACTCATCCCGCCGGTCTGCTCCTCGGCCCACTCGTCGTCAACGAGTCCTACGCACTCATGTCCCTGACACTTCCTATCCGAGATAACGACCAGCTCAATTTCCCTATCGGCCTACTCACCATCGTCGCGTCCGCCGTTACCCTGGTCAACATTGTCAACTCCCGCGAAGGCCTCGGAAATACCGGCATCGTGCTCGTAGTCGGGCCTGATGATCCCTCGAATAGGTTCAACAAGTCCGTTCCCCAGGCCGACCCCGCTCTTATGGGCGACCCAGAGCTGTTCCAGGACGTATACATGCACTACCTCCTCCCGGCAAACCCCCTACCCAATCAAGAAGATCGACACTCGGCCCGGACCTATCTCAACGGCACCAATGACAATCCTTTTAAGCTTGGCGCGTACCCGGCGGCCCTTCTCTCTTGGACTAAACGCATCATCGCCGTGAACAATGCGAGCTCGCTGCTCTCGACAACTAACGAAGACGGCAAAACAGTCGCCGTAGGCTTCGCTCGAACGAATACGACCCTCGCTAACTGGACCGTCCTTGTTGAGCAAACCAAGAAGGAAGCTTACGAACCCATTGTTAACTTGCGAAAGATTCTCTTGGGATGCGTCTTCGGAACCGCTGGGGTTATCTTTGTCCTCACGTATCCATGTGCCCATGTCAGCGTCATGCCTATCCGTAGGCTCAAAGCCGCGACCGAGAAGACTGTGTCGCCCCCAGGCTACGAAGATGACTATTTTTCGCCCGGCTATGGCGACAGTAGTGCCGAGACTCCTGGGTCGGGCCAGCAGTCCCACCGCTCCCAGGATTCCATCAAGGGGTGGTTCTGGAAGCTGCTCATCGCTATGGGCTACCGACCTACCCCACAGCGTCGAAGGAAGCCGGAGGAGTCTCTCGACTCATCCCGACGCGTCTTTAAAATTCCTGGCAAGGTTATGGACAAGAAGCATCTAATCACCGACGAACTTACGGAATTGACGACAACCTTTAATGACATGAGCGACGAGCTGGTGAAGCAGTACACGCTTCTTGACGCCAAAGTGGCGGCTCGGACCAGGGAGCTCGAAGTCAGCAAGAAGGCGGCCGAGGCAGCGAATGAAAGCAAGACGCTCTTCATCGCAAACATCTCCCACGAACTCAAGACCCCACTAAACGGCATTTTGGGAATGTGTGCTGTCTGCATGGAAGAGGATGACCTCACCAAGATCCAGCAGTCTTTGAGGACACTTTACAAATCTGGTAAGCTCCAACGGATACCCACAGCCTAGTCCACGAACGAAGAGGGAAAGCGTCTTGGCTGCTATCTTTGCCGAATGTCCCTAACCTGAATTTGCAATAGGTGATCTCCTACTCCATCTTTTGGAGGATCTTCTTAGCTTCTCGAAGAATCAGATTGGACAACAACTCAGTCTAGAACAACGAGAATTCCGACTCGCCGAGATCCGTTCCCAGATCCTCACCATCTTCGATAAGCAAGTGCGGGAAAGCCACATCAACTTTTCAGTCACCTTTCTCGGCGCGGATCATTTTGATTTGGAAAAGGGGGTCGCAGACTATCGGTTCCCCGCCCTCGGGCCACAAGGAACTGGGAAACTAAAGAACATGTGTCTTTGGGGCGACCAACACCGCATTCTTCAGATCTTGATCAACCTCGTCAGCAACAGCTTAAAGTTTACGCCCCAAGGTGGGAAAGTCGAGCTTCGAATTAAATGCCTGGGGGAAATGGACGAGGGCCCGACGGGTGCACCGGGCGCCAGCCGATCTTCGTCTACCTCAAAGAGCTCTGGTCCGGCAAGCCGCGGACGGGCCCGATTAGCCTCGACCTCGACTCGATCCGGCAGTTCCCGGGGACAGAGCAGTTCGATCCCACCGGATCAAATCAAGGGTACGGCTCTCTCTATCAACCCAATGGATCCCAAGCAGGCCCAACCGGTGTACATCCGAGGGCGCTCTCCTACCCCTCCCCCATTGAACGCGAAGACGTACCTCTTCGAATTCGAAGTGGAGGACACAGGCCCAGGAATCCGGGAGGAAATGCAGCAGCGCGTGTTTGAACCCTTTATGCAAGGTGACTTGGGTCTGAGCAAGAAATTTGGGGGTACCGGATTGGGTCTCAGCATCTGCCAGCAGCTTGCCACCATCATGGGAGGTAATATCACGCTCGAGAGTACGATCGGTGTTGGATCAACGTTTACGGTGCGCATCCCGTTGAAGTATGTCAGAGACAGGCCGTCTAGCACAGCATCCAGCAGCGCCAAGTCTCGCTCAACCAGTGTCGACGGTACCGATACCGAATCTCCTCGCAATTCGATGGCCAAGACCAACAACGACAACAAGTCGGCTCCAGTGCTAGATACCCAGCCAAGGTTGGTTGGTTTGAGACAACCCTTCTTCGCGTCTACGCCTAGTCCGCCGCCGCCACCACCGCCGCCTCCCCGCAGACGGCTGAAGCAAAAATGGCCCGGGTCCAGAGCGCCCTAGCTGACAAGGAAAAGAGCGGCGGGGGCAAACTTAGGGTGTTGGTTGCTGACGACAACTCAACTAATATCGAAGTCGTCAGTAAGATGTTGAAGTTGGAGGACGTCTACGATGTAACCATTGCCAAGGATGGCCAAGAGGCTTTCGATCGGGTGAAGGATGCCATGGCCGATGAGCGGCCTTTTGATGTCATTTTTATGGACGTGCAGATGCCAAATCTGGATGGGTTGCAGAGCACGCGAAAGATCCGCGAAATGGGATACAAGTCTCCCATCGTTGCGCTGACGGCCTTTTCGGAGGAGAGCAACGTCAAGGAATGCATGGAGTCAGGCATGGACGAGTTCCTCAGCAAGCCGATCCGACGACCAGCACTCAAGCAAGTGCTTCGGAAATTTGCCACGATTCCGGAAGAGCCGGAAACGACGGTGACGACTCCGGACGAGCTCCCGAATGGCCCAGATGGCTCTGTTACGGTGGGCGGATCGTCGCCGGCAAATGGAGTTGTCAACGAGAAGGAGAGCTTTTAGGTTCGTCCAGGAGGCGGCTCCGAGTGTCCGGCAACTGCAGGCTCTCCTAGATGATGCCGACCCCCATGGAGCATCTAGCAAGTGGCCTAGCGACAAAGCTGGCAACAATACCAAAAACAGGCGTTGAACAGGGCAGTGGTGCCCCGCTAATATCGAGGTGCAAATCACGACGACAAGATAGCGATGGCGAAGGCTGGCGTTTTTTTCTTCTTTTTCTCCCTCCTTTTTTTTGTTCCTCTATTTTCCCTTGTCTCCCGCACACTCTTCATTGCATCAGGTTCGGCGCCGGCGTTTTCCATTTTTCGCCCTTGCCAAATACATGATGGGTCGGCAAGGGATAGTTCATTTTGGCGGTGGCTCTCTCCCTCTTCTCTATAGTTTTCTTTGCGTCGACAGTTAGTAGGAGCATGCGTCTCCAGAAACCCATCCTTTTATCATGCTTTTTAATATCCTTCCACTTGCCTTATTATTTCTCTATCTGTCTTTACTAGCTTCCTCTGTTAACATTAGCTCAATGGGCTGAGTAGGCACATCTGGTTCTCTGTTTTGTATAGTAGTAGTAGAGACAAAAGTATGGGAAGAAGAGGTAAAAATCGAGACATCTTCCGGACCTACATGCTTGATTCTATAGTTGCATGCAAAACAGTGAAGCTGAATCCACCTCCTATTCTTTATGATGCCCTTCTAAACCGAATCCAAATTTCACCAGTGCTGTTGGGGCTGAAGTTAGCACCTACATAGCCCTGGGCTTGCTGGATCCCTCCCGACTCGTTGGACCAACTGAAATTCTCAGAATAAATGCTAGATGGAAGCATGGAGTATAATCGAACTCAATCTCCCAGCGTACCATAGGCTGGGCCGAGATTCTAGATGTTATTGGGGCTGCATAGAGATTTCAGCTCGCATCCACGGCCTCGCTCATCGATGGCTCTCCGAGTCCACGACGAGCGGTCTTGCGATGGGGTGGCCCAAATATTCTCTAGAACCTATATATATTCGGAAAGCAACCCGATTGCTTACGTACAACTCCGGTAGCTTGGCCGAGGGGTTAAGGCGCCAGATTTAAGTAAATGCCTAGTTCTAGCGTAAACGCGCGGAGCCTGGAATACCATTGAAATCTCTGGTCTCGAAAGAGTCGTGCGTTCGAATCGCACAGCTACCATCATATCTTTTTTTTTCTTTTGCTCTCAGACTCTCTGTGCACACAACTCTATGCTCTTTTTCTTCTTTTCCTTTTTTGCTTTTCTTTTCTTTTTAAGGGACTCTTCAGTTAAATGTAAATGCCCTTTCTTTATCGAGGTATATGGAAAGGATTGGTGAAAAGGTGGTGAAATCTTATAGTAAACATTCTTTGGCCTTGCATCTCTAGTGTCTCGTGCCCATGCAATGTTTGGGCGCTGCTACCCCTTATACTTGCATCTTGAGGACTGACCGCCTCAGCCTGATATATGCTTGCATCAATATGACGGTCTGATCAAGGTGATGTCAAGCTGTGGTGGCTATACTGGTATAACTCCGAGAATGGTACAGCTAGCTGAGTGAATTCATGCTGCTACAACTTCAGTCCTATCACTTGGGGAAGAGGCCATAATTCAAAGAGAAAATTCATCATGTTTCATTAGAAAACCAGAATATCAAAAGAGTAGAAAACATATGGCAAAGAAAGTAGTAAGAAGCAATGGCCCCATCCATGTGCCTAACCCAACCCGCATATCAATTCATAATCCATACATCGCGCGCATCCGGTCCCGCAGCACAGGTAAAGTGGGACATTTCCAACCATGTCGCCATTACCGCCCAACGCCTCTCCCAACATCCCGAGCCAGTGTAATGATAGGCAATCCAGGTCCCCCAGGGGCCAATCTCCCAACAGAAAAAAAGGAAAAGGAGAAGAGACGGCAAGAAAGTAAAGACACAGACAAGAAAAGGTTGCGTTGGAATGATCAACGGGACATGCGCGGAAATATCAAAGATTCGTCGATATAGGATAGCCTCATGGGGCTGAGCAAGCCCTCGCTTGTATCCTTGGTGAGATGTGCGCGACGAAAGTGCCAAAGGGAAAGGAAAAAGTTTGAGACAACAACAGATAGGAAAAAGAACAGGCAGAAAGCGGGAGCAGAGTAAAAGCGAGTAAGGGTGAAGGGTAAAAGATGATATGGAGTTGGTGGATGAGAATTCTCGCCAAGAATAGAGGCGCTCAGAGTTCCATTCTTCCTGCGATGTCCTCGCTCATGCCGCGAGCGGAGGGACTATATCGGTTCATATCTGTGTCGCCATCGTCGTTGAGATCATACTCGTCATCGTCTAGATAATCATCTTCCGAGAAGGGCACCAGATCTCCATCTTCGCCCCGGTTCCAGAAAAACCGTCATCGTCGCCATCGCCCTCGTCGTACGTCTCGGCGACAGCGGCATCCTGTGGTGTGAACCAAAACCTGGCGCGTTTCGTTGCGCCGGGATCCATGGCGCCGGTGCGGCGCGCCATCCCCGCGGGGTCAGCATCGGGCTTTGCGAGCTGATGACTGGCACCACGCGGAGGTAGAGGTACGCGACTCGCTTCAGGGTCCGATTGAAGAAGAAGTAGTGGACGGACCAGATGGCGCTTTCATCTTCCTCGAAAGGGTCGATGTCGGGCTCGTAGTTGAAGATTGTGCACTCGTCTAGGCGCATCTCGTTGTCGAGAAGCGACCAGCAGTGCTGGCTCCAGACGGCGGCGGGGCCGGTGGTTACAACGTTGCTCATGCGGGTGTCGCCGCAGCCGCGGACGTTTTGGAGGATGGAATCGAGATTGGCCATGATACGCCTTAGACTGCGCTCGCGCTTGAAGTCGCCTGGCCGCAGAACGTTGGAGAAGTCATAGTGGGGATGAGAGGCGTTTAGAGTCGCAATTAGATAGGCGAATGTGCGCCGGTTCGCCAGTTCGGAAAGGGGTCCAAAGGCGCTGGGTTGCGAGAAGAGGCTCGGGGATGTCGCCATCATCGCGGCCTTTTGAGGTGGAGAGAGGCTAGCCCCGAGGCGCAGGAGCTCGGCGTGTTGAGAGTCTAAATCATCGTTGATATTCTTGTACAGCTTCTTATCGGAGCCAGTCGATTTGGTGGTGTAGAGATCGCATCCGCCCGTGACGTTGCAGTCTGGCGTATTGAAGTTGAGTGCACTCGTTACTGTGTCGAAAGCGGGAACTGGGAGGTACTAAGAGACGGGGAGGGAAAAAGAAAAAGAGTGAGATTCTGGCGCGATACGAAAACAAGAGTCAAGTTGCGGTAAGAGGGGCAAAGAGCATTGATGCAAACCCCGTCGGATTCGGTGGGTTGCGATCTGCTTTAGGATTGAGAGAGCGGGTGAGAGCGCATACCTTCATCGTGTCGGATGTTCTGTTTTCGGCGCCCGAACGGAGGCATATGGGGGATCAATCGCTCGGAGTTGGAAAGAGAGCGGGAGGAGGGCAGAAGGAAAGAGTATCTCCTGTTTAACGTAGCGCTGGCAATATTAGGCCTCGATCAAGCCTGGGTCGTGAAAGAAAGAGTCGGTGCAGTGGGTGCGCAGCCTTTGGGCGCTGAGAAATTGCTAGGGTAGCCGGGACTAAAAACCGTCGCGACTGGTCGGGTGTCAAAATGGAAGAGCCGGGCAATTGTAGCTAGGCGATAGCGAGTCCTGTTCCGCGACGGGTGGTTGTCGAGAGTTGACGTCGCGTTCAATGGGATGACGTTGGGGTTTAAGGGGTTGAGGTATGGGGAGTGGTGCAGATAACGGAAATGGGTCAATGGTAGAGTTACGGGTCGTTGGGAGATATGGATAGATATGTGTGCCTTGGCGGAGAGCGGCTTGGAGGCGAGGAAACGCGCTTGGGGGATTGCGAAAGGGGGACCCTGGTCAATTTCAACCAAGTGAGGCCCAGCTCTCTGGGTGCGGAAAGCGCAAACTCGACGGGAACAGCAGGCGATGATGGCGGAACCACGGCTGTCGCGCCTTTGAATGTGATGGATGCGGTGAGAATCGATGTTGAAGAGGACCCTTTTGGTGAGGCCTCGGATGAGGAAGAGGGGAAAGAACTAACTACCCAAGGACAGCAAACAGGAAAGTGACCAGAGGGCCAGGCTAAGACCAAGATCTCTCCCAGCCGAAGATCATCTCCTGTTGCTTCGCACCGAACTAGATGGCTGATTGGCACACATGCTGGCTGCGCCAGGCGCAAGCCTACGCACCATCGAAATGGTCAAAGGGCCAGTGCTGCCGGCCTCCTCCCCGACAGTGCCCTCAGGAGACCACATGTACGCACTGTAGTGTCTGGTCGTGTAATACCGGCCTCGCTCCACCCGAATTCAGGAATTGGGTGAAGATACAGGGGGTCTGCCGTCATGAATCATTATGGTGGGCCCGCCCCATTCGCGAGAGCTGGCGCTGACGCCCCGCCTGACAACAGCTGATCTGTCCGGCGAAGCGACATGAAACTGTACATGTGACAGACTTCCTGCAAGACCCTCACCCGTTGAGAAGTAGATATACATGGCACCGGAACACAGGAATCCAGGTGCCACCCAGTGTTGGACTCCTTGCCCTTGGAGCTCAGAGCAAGGAAACGCAAGCGGAAGGGCAAAGCGAGCGCGATCCAAATTATCTCTCGAGTACCCGGACCCAGGGCGCGGAATTGATCTAGGCCAGTGATCCTGGCCACACGCGGTGGACACCCTCCTGGCGGGGAGCCGGCCAGCGGGGAGATAGTTGATGGAGGAAAGGGGGAGTGGAAGCACCTGATTGCGACAATTAGCGTTGACGAGCTTTAGACTTTGGGGAGGTGGGACATGGCGGGGCCAGCATCTCCCGCGTAGGATGGTGGAGGTGTACAGTGCGTGTACGCACCAAGACGAACCGAGCACCATTGATTGATCCAACGGATCAATCAGTTCCCAACAGACCAAGACGGGGAAAAGAGTTCGGGGCACGGGTGTTTAGTGGGTTGATGCTGGCTGGCTCGCTGGTGCACACAAGTCTACCCTCCCAAAGGTCTACCCTCCCAAAGGCGCATGTACCAAGCAATTGATTGCTGTCGGGTCAGAACGTGGTGCCATGAATGGGCGAATCGGCCCCCTTCGGCAACCGCCTTCACGGCTGGTACCCGGCGTTCGTCGGCGACCTCCTTCCCCCAGGCCCAGGGCTCGTCATCGAGTATTAGCCCGTCTGAGAATTAAGCAACATTAGTATGGTTTCAGGCGAATCGAACACCACCTTCGCATGCACGTGTGCCTGGCATTGGCGTCCTTTGCCCTGGAAATCCTGTCGTGGTCGGCCGCGTCTCGAATGAAATTCAGACATTCAGACATCCCTCGAGATGGCTGGATAGGACAATGCCATTTTCTCTCCAGTGAGGTTTTTGGAGGCATATTAGCAGCGAGGGAGAGATGGATGAGGAGGGTATTTGTGGTGCTCGTGGCCAATAATTCATTCTCTCCGCTGGGACCGTCTCGGCCGCCAACATCACGTCCGGCTTCTCGCCGTTTTCATCGGTCGGGGACAAGGCAACTTGAAGAAACAGCCAAGAGAACTGCGGTTAGGTGGCGACACAGGGTGCTGGGCTGCTCGACACGGCGTAGAATGGACCCGTGAAGAGGCCAATCCGCAACCCCAGCCGGACTGCGATCCCCCTTTGCTCCGCGTAGCAGCCGTCACCGCCGTCACCGCCGTTCAGTCTTGTCTTGGAAATTAAAATCGAGGGATAGTTTATCTACCCTCCAAGATCTATACACGTACGCAAGCTCCAGTCAGCCTGCGCTTATCGCGGCGCCTCAATCCGCTTGAAATATTGGATTCCACAGCTTAAACCCCCAGTGGCCCAGCCCAGTGCTCTTTCCCCTCAGTTTTCTCTTCTTCTTCTCTCCTTCTCTCGACAGGGAAGATATCGGTACGCTCGTTTACCCATGGCTACACCCATGGTAGCATGCCCTGCCCTGCTTGGTAATCCGTATTGGCGCCCACCTATTTTGACAGTGGCCTTGTTAAATCCTGCAAGGCTTCTCGTGATCACACCTGCCGGCAGGTCCGTATCCCGATCTCGTCATGATGCGCCATCGTCAGTCGTCGCCTCTTCGTTCAGTTGGTTTCATTTCATAGCATGCCGGCATCATATAATGCGCGCTCCACTTCCTTCGACACCTGTTTCGTACCCGGATAGGAAAGTAAGCAAGTTCATTAGCCATCAATGATCAGTAGGCGCACTTGGCGAACGAGGATTGTGCCAGGTCAGGCTAGACACCATCAGAGTCGGGTATAAGAACGGGATCGAACCAAGAACAAGTATAGCCGGCGCAGTTTCCGACACGGACGACGCTCAAAGCGAGGCTCGGAGATCGGTTTCCCGCCTACTACATGATCTTGGTAACCTCATCCTCGACCTGAACCCATCGTAAACAGAACGTCAGCCTCTAGAAGGAATGCAAGCCCCCTGCACCCCTGCACGAGTCTCCGGTAAAGGGGGAAGGAACGTCACAGTGCACTCGCTCGGAACAAGAACAAGGCGAGAGAGAATCTCGTGGATAAGGCTTCGATCGAAAGGGAGAGAGGAAGCGGGGAGGGGAGAAGGGGAATGGGGGAGTGGTGGGAATTTGGGAAGTTGTGATGCCCGCCTGCGGCAAGGCTGCTCCATCTTCCCGCATGTATAAACGTACCTCCATGTCCTCCAAGGAATCCTGTTGGGATATGCAACGGAGTACATTCTTTTGCTGCTCTCCTGAAGCTCTCCCGCAAGTAATAGCTCGTCTAGAATATAGTAGGCTTTCGTGAACGAGAAGATGATATCAAGCTCGCACACGTTTCCGTAGTACTTGTCCATTTGCTCGACATATCGGTGGATAATTTCGAGTGTTATGAGCTCGTTGTCTTCCGAGGAGCAACCGGCGATGAAGAAAAGGGAAGCGTATCGACGGTAAACGATTTTCGTATCTGATTACGGGGAACAAAGAGGGATGAATATTCATGTCCGAGCAATTACGCGAGGTAGCCAATGCCTGTGACTGGGAGAGCACGGGGGTTGGCGGGTTAGAAGTAAAATGATAGACACACCTTTATATTCGAGGAAATTGCACATGCGAGTCCTCCTCGCAAGGACGAGCTGCGAAACATCCTTCACGATCTTGGCCTTTTCCCTTGGGGACAGCGTAGTGAACCATTTCGCAAGCCGCTGAAACCAATCCTGCTGTTAGCAGTCCATCGGATGGGTCCGGAGGCTCTCCCTTGGAGGAGAGGCATCAAGGGGGAACGACGACAAAGGGGGACACGAACAACTTTGCCCTGCCTCGAGAGCAGAATCAGGTAGCTGTGATAAGACGTTAGAAATAGGAAGGAAAAGATTGAACCGAGGGTATAAGATGGTCCTTACTGAATCGCCATCGTGGTACGAGGTCAGGGTAGGGTGGGTAATATGACACTCCTGAGTGCAAGCTGAAAAGTTGCCTCTCAGACAAAGTGGGGATTTGGAGAGGTGGTGATGGCTGGCCTAAACAAGGACCTGTGGGCAGGAGAAATGACAAGCTTGCTTTGGCTCGTTTGGCTGCTGTGGACAGCTGTGGTCAATTGTTCACCTCGCCTCGCATGACCTTTCCCAAATTGTCGGCAAGCCCTTTCCCCCCTTGCATGCTGACACCCTCACACCCTCAACCCACTGTCACGCCGCGCATCATTCCTCCCCATGCGTCGGAGTTGGGAGCGACGCCGCGTTTCCATAGACTTTGTGACATTTTCGATGATTGTTCCGTGCTAAAAGTAAAGCTCTGGGTAGCCGGTGCAAGGCCGGCCGCTAGACTCGAGATAATGGCGAGTCAAGTTCCTTTCTCGCCTCCGTTCACTGGCTCGGAGAAGAGCGAGTGGGTAGCTCAACTTCAAATCACCCCAAGCGGGCAGCACTCTCCGCTGGTCGACCACTACTGCCGGAGGATCGCGGATTCAGAGCCTGAGCTAATACATCGGCTTTTCAACAATCGCTAGTTTCTTCCGTTCCTTTTGCCCCTCGAGACCCCCACCACCCTAGCCGCGGGGTTTGCCAGAGAACTGCGCTCTTCAAAACAGAGAGAAAAAAATCGGCCTTTTTCCCTCAAGCATTTTCTAAATAACCTTTTATTCCCCCTTTTGTTATAAACCCCATGCTCCCGGTGGCTTCAGGTTCCGCTCGAGTTCGGCGCGTCTCCATCTCATTCAAAATCATTAGCCCTTTAGTATAATCCTGCCATCTAATCCTTCACGTTCCACCTTGCCAATTGAGAGAGGTACGTCCGCATATCCCGGGTGGCCATGCGCTGGCTGGGGCCACTTGATGACATATTATGATGGTATTAATAATTCCTCCAGGTTCCCCATCCGCGTGCCTACCGTTTCCGATCCCGACGACAGATAAAAGAAACCCCTCTTGTCTTCCCGAGGCCTAGTTTGTAAGGTCCTTCGGTTTCGAGGATCGCGGCCGAATCAATTCCTTTCCATAGTTATTTTTCCTTATCCCTCGATTTTGTTGCTCAGACGGCGTCTTCGCGCTTGAATCTTTCATCATGACGAAACTAATATTGTCCACGGCGTAAGTGCTTCCCCCACCGTGGCTGGCTGTCCACCCCACCTTCTGCACGCTGTGAAAGGCCTCGACCTATAGAGAGGGAAATAAAAAAAGAAAAAGAAATGAAATGAAAAAAGAAAAAGAAACCCCCAAAAGAAGCAGGGCAGCAAGCTGCAAATCAAGCAGAAACGCGCCCTACTAGAGTTAATTCTATTGAACGCCGGCTAACGTCTTGCCTTGGGATAAAAGAAACATTATTTCCGGAGGACCCTCGTTTCTTCGGAAGCCCGGCACCTTTAGGTCAAACCTCGAGCTCACAAATTCATTAAGAAGCAACTTCCTTGCCGCGCAGCAGGATTATTCAGACGCGCTGACCCAGTCGGATGGTAACGCGAATGGTAACGCGAATGGCCAGACGAATGGCGCAAACGGTACCTCGAATGGCGCGAACGGCAAGCATGCAAATGGCCCCGGCTCGCGCCGCCCCGCTGCCGACATCTGGACAGAACGAGATGGGTCCGCACTCTACGTGCCTCGCATAAGCTGGCCAGTTGCGGGGCTGCAAGAAGACCGAAGTTCATACGACATCACCGTCAAGCTCTTCTTCTTACCCGACGCTCCCGTGCACGAGCGGGAGCGATACGTAATGGAGGCCTTGGCCCTCGTACAGAAGGAGTTGAGTATAGCGACTATCGATCTCTTAATCGCCTCCTTTCCCGGCATGTCTTTCGAGGGAGACTGCGAATGGGATGCGGATAAGAAAAACGCTAGCCAGGGCAACCTGGAAGAGGAAGTAGCGACGTGGGCCATCCTCGAGGAGCTCTATCATCAGGGGTTATCAAGGGCCTGGGGATTGCTGAGTTTGGCTCTGGAAAGCTCGGCGAGTTCATCAAAAGGGTGTCTGTCCGCCCCATTGTCGACCAGATCAATGTTCGAGATTGCTGCAATGTGCCTCCGCCCTTGGCCAAGCTTGCCGCAGACGAGAATATCGAGCTTTACGTCCATGCCGACTGTACCGACATACTTCCCAGCGGAACCATCCGGGATCTTCTAGGGCACGGAGCCCAGGGCGCGGGAGTTTTGTCCGACGCCGATGAGGGCGTTGCAGGTTTGCATGGCGACATCATCCCTCAGTGGGTTGTCAAATATACGGCATTCGTCAAATACAGGGGCGTGATTGAAAACAAGGGATACTTTGCCGGCGCGGAAATCATAGACGGATGATTCGGAGTTGAGGCCATCTATTGCAATTCTTTTTTTTTTTTTCCTTTCTGTTCTGGTTTTCTGATCCTTTCTTTTCTTTACCATTTACCGTTTCTTGACGGCCCATCATGCCTGCATCTCTTGTTACACATGTGCCCAGGAACCCAGGCCAGCAGACGGCGGCACAGGTTTTATCATTTCGGTTTCATATCCTTTTCTTGCCGCCTTTCCCTTGTCTTTATTTCTTAATCTTTGTCTCATCTAACTCGGAAGACATGGGAGGTTCGCGTTGTGTTTTTGTGCATCCAAGGTTGAGGCGGTTACCATGTCTGTTTTGCATTGTCAGTCTCTTCAAAGTCTTGTCTGCAGTTGGTTACATTTCAATGAATTATGTGATGCCAATAGAGAAAAAAGCCCATAAATACAATCCTCACCTTTTGGCCCAGCTTTAACCAACTTCACTTACCTGAGAATCCTATACCGAAGTAAATCATATAAACCGCCAACCACCAGCAAGGGTATCTTAGCCAATCATGCTCCGTTTCCTCCCCGAAGCCTGACTTCTTCCAGCTTCTTGATTGACACGTGGGCCTGTTTGAAAGTCTCCTTATATCCTTCCAAAAGCTCGTCAAATAGGGTTTCGGCCCGCGGGTGGGTACTGCCAAAGGCCCTTTCCAAGACGTACAGATCCACGGCGCGGTCCTCGTCCTGCACGCTCTGACTTGCGAGACCAAAGTCGATGAGAACAATTTCGTCGTCTAATAGCCCGTTGTCACCGTTGTCGCCATTTCCGCCGCCCGGTTGGGCCCGCAGCATCATGTTGCTCGTTGTCAGGTCCCCATGTATGACGCCAATCTGGTGAAGCCTTCCCACTGCCTGGCCTACCCTCCTCATGAGGCCCCTCACATGGGGATCGGCGCCCGTATCAGCCCCCGGGTTTTGAAGCAACCACCGGTTTAACGACGCCCTGACCGGCTCCCCATCGATCCATTCGATCGATAGACAGCCCGCGCTCTCGTCGACAGCGAAGACGGCGGGCACCTTGATGCCCTCACGGCGACATTTTGCAAGGATTCGGGCCTCGGCGACAATCCGCTGGCGTGTCAGGCGTTGATCAAGAATCGGATGGCGGTAGGGTTTAGGAGTCGGTATTTGAGCGCGCAGGGGATGGAAGGAAGCAAATATGTCGTTTTATAAAGTCGTCCTTCGGCGCCTTGAGTCACCAGTGTCGGAGGGGTCGACGCGGGGTATTGGAGGGGTTTGGGTAGTGGGGGAACGGACCCTGGTCCTTGCGTATCGGTCGCCATGATCGAGGGGGTTGAAGAGCAAATGCCCTTCTCGCGTGGGCGTCTTGTTGGTGGACCCTCCTTCTCTGCTTTTGACGTTGTTGGGAACGAACAATAGTTCTGGGATTGGAAACTCCTTCAAGGCATATTTGGTCGATGTAAAGCGGGTATCGTCCTTTCCCACCCAAGAAAAAAATATCACCGTGAGGGATCACTGAGCTCCGACTGTCATGGGTGGGCTTGATCAAAATATGCGTAGCGGGGTAGGTGGGAAGTGGACCAATCGCGGACCGTTTGGTTCTGGCGGTGGCAGGAAGCTCATTGTTCAATGTTCATTCTCGGGGCCAACCCAGAAGGGGAGGAAGAGGCGTGGTGCTGGCAGTTTGTGGCAGCTTGGGGCTTCTGGACTCCCGTCATAGGCTACCAAGCTACTTTCGTACCTTCAATGTTGGTTACCAACCAGAATAAAGGCTCCAGGCTAGATTAATCTATCGAAGTCCAGGCGAAGGCCACCACAGTGTGTACATAACCATGGATGCAACTTGAAGTCCGGTTCTACGAATCAGGTCATAATGTGATGGGTCAAAGAAGAGGGCTTTGCTTGACGTGAAGGAAATGTCCCCTCTTCCCCAAGCGTGCGGGATCAGGCATGCAGGGCAGATCATTTGACGGGTGGTCTAGCCAAACAACTGAGCCCTGACGGCTCCCATACGTCAACACACCCTCGGGAACATGTTGTGGGTGGAACGTCATCGAATTTATTTCCATGGTGTCGAACAAACCTCATCTTTGCGCTCATCGTTCTTGGGTTTTCAAGCCCTTCCGTGATACGACATGAGAGGATCAAGGGGAGGAGAGAGGGGAAGGGGTGGGGCCGAATTGCCCTCGACCTCGACTCTAGTACCTAAAGAACGGCCACTCTTGCATTTCATGGCTGTCAGAACTAGGAATGACCGAGAAGAGGACATTGTCATCTCAGCATCAGCTACGGTCAATGGCTGCTCGGGGGTAAGACAAGGCCCCTTTTCTCTCTGGCAGCATGAAATGCGCATGTACCATTCCAACGCATCGAGAATTCGTACAACCTATGGTTCTAGTGACGGACGGCACCTTCCATCTCGAGGGCTGGGCCAGCGACGACAGGAGAGACATGCTTCACCCTTTTCCGCCGCTGATAGGTTGTCTTGGGCGGTGCGGCATTAGCGCTGGGGTCCAATCCAAACAGTAGAAGGAGTTGGAATGGCGCCAGCTGCCTGTCTTGAATGCTCAATCGCGTATCTGCGCTTTTTCTATCCCGGCCACTTGCACTCGTCCTGCGCTTTGCTCGGGTTCGACGGGGGACGAATCATGCAGGGGGTGTGTACAAGGGAGTAACTGCAGGTTGGTCGTCACGGCTTTTTTGCAATGGGGAAGGAAAGCCGCCGCAATCAGACCTCGCAAAGGGACAATGCATGCAACTTGGGCATGCGGGCCGACCAAAAGAGACCCATGCCGCTCCCCAACTCGCCTTTGGCTTGCAACCTGCATTTCCCACCTTCATCATCTCGTTTTCAATTATTCTGGGAAGAAAATGCCTTCTATTTCGCATCTTCGACCGTTCTACTAATGTGGAATTTTCCATCATCGTTACTCCTACGAAATTTATGTCTATACGGCTCGACTTTAGTTGACCTGCCCCCGCTTATCGTCCCTCAACGATTGCCCCTCCTTGAATTCTCAACCAGCCACCCATGTCCGAGACCGCCGCGCGGGACTGGACCATCGTCCTCGTCCTCACCGCTCTCTGTCTCAGCATCGTCGTCCTCAGCCAAATCCTCACGACGTACGCCTCAGCCTATCTCGCTGCTCCCAATGAAATCACCGTGTTCTTGGACACGGTTGATTTCTCGATAATCGAAAACGAGACCTATGACAGAGATATCGCCAAGCTCCAGGGTTTGGAGGACAAGGTCCGGCTAGGCCGCCTACTGCGCGAGATACAGCGAGGGGGCGATGACTTGAGGGAGGAAGTCAGCCGTCTTCTTATCGACGAGGACACGCAAAGATTGCGGACCAGCGCGAGGCTATTATGGGCCTCTAACAAGAGGCTGTTGGAAGACCGGGTACGCCGCTTGGATCAGTTGCGGATGCGCTTCCTAGTTCTATACCTGGGCGTGATCACCACGACGGCGGCCAAAACCACCACGTCTCCGCCAAGGGACCCCGAGAAGTCCCTAGTCTTGTATGGTGCAGAAGCGAATGGCTCTCCCCGCGCCAGCCTCGCCAAATCTCTCACCGAGAGTATCGGAAAGAGACCGCCCTTGCGGAGACTCACGACGCAGGCTATCGGCCACCATCACGACACTGCGGGTGCCCATAAGCAAGGCTGGTTTGGAGTGGTCCAAGAATTGCAGCGATCCCCAAGATGCAACAGAGGCACGCTTCTATAGAGACAGCCATGTCTCGGACCCCTCCGCATCGTCCCTCTCACCCTCCACGGTCCGGTTACAGCGAATTGCGCCAACAAGTGATTCGACCTCGGCCGTACGAACTACGTGATATGAGACTCCTACCTTGATAGCACGACTTACGCCTTCTAACGCTTATGAGCCTTTTCTTTCTGGAATTTCTTTTCGCCCCCAAGAATTGCATTCTTATGAGTCATTGCGACAGCGTCCTTTTCATCCTTTAGCATCACTTGTTGATTCGAGCGTCATGTTTATGCTGTTGCATATCTTCAAATTTGAAAGAGTTACGAACAGAACCCGATAGAGATTCGATTCGATACCCCTAGCCAATTTGGCAATCCACCCCCTCTTCCCGCCCCTCCTCTTTACCTTCGACATCATCTTTGCTTGCCTTGACGGAAGGTTGGCGAAGACTGCACATGCTAGAGCCTGGTGCGCGATATAGCGCCGAGTAAAGTGGAAACATGTCATGCCTTTATTGTGCAGACTGCATTACGTTCATCTATATCTTTTTCTTTGTCACCTTCTATGTTACATACCCCATCATTCCATCATTCCATCATTCTTGCCCTCTTCACACCACGCGGGCGTTTGGGTAATAGGTAATTGTTAATGGGCAGCTCCGTCCGGTCCGAGGCCGTTCCTCTCCCCGACTGTAGGGCGTAGAAAAGCGGAAGTAGTTAGTTTCTGCAAATCAAATTTACAAAGAGGTTTTATAATATCGGAAAGGAAGCTTACCGTCCAATGCTACCAAAAAGCGGCTTACGCAGTTGTAACAGGCAATCTGGCGTTGAAAGTTAGCGGCCAGACAGTGAGACTAGCTCGGGACGATTACCGTACCGTAGCAGTGATTTCCACCACCTCTTGTTCATTAAACAAGCCCTTGACAAGAGCAAATGTTTCATCCGCCACCTCGACATTCCTCGTCATCTCGTCTGTGTAAACGAGGACAGCCCATTCTTTCTCGCCCACGCTCTCGGGCTTCTGATCCCTCTGGAGCGGATCCGGCCCCTTTGCGATTTCCATGACGGCTTCGCTCACGCCAGCCTTGACGGCGAGCGGTGCATGGTGACCCCATTCATACCAAGCCCGGTTGCAAACGGCCACGCGGGAGATGGCGAGCTCCTTGATATCCTCGGCTATCGAGGTGCGGGTGCGGACAGCGCCGAGGAATGAGTTCCAGCCGTCGGCAACGGAGGGGAGTGCAAGAGGGTAAGGTCTAGGGGCTGGAGGGGTCGCGGGGCCCGGCGGGCTTGCACGCGGGCCACGATGGCCGCCTCTTCCTCCGTCTTGGTGGGAACGGGGTCGGGGACGTAGGGGAGACGCATTTTGAGAATAGGGGCTGTCGCGAAGGATCTCGGGCGTGAGGTGAGTGTGTGTCGTGCCGTCGGTTTGCAGAATCGGGGAGAAGCGAAATGGCGGCATTTACAAGGAAAAATTGGGGTACGTGGGGAATATTGGTGCAAAGCTAGCTTAAAAGAAACCCCCTTCCCCGGAGCTCAAGTTCGGCATCGGCAGCGAGGGGATGGCGGGGTATGTGGCGCGCTTGAGCCGAACACCGCCGTGCCTCGAGTCCATTCATGCATACATGGATCCTCTGGCGCAACAAAGACGGCCTGTTGAAAGCAAACGTAACCCATCTCGATTTGGATTACCTGTGACTGGCCAACCTTGGGAGTCTTGCGTAGGATGTAGACGGGTCTTTTACATGAAGGAAAACTAGTATAGGTCCAGAATTGGCCGGAATTCCGAAGAAGACCAGGACTACCGGGAAGTAAAGGCCAGGGAATCTATCAAGGCCATATAGAAAGCGCCCCGATAATCTCGGCTTAACGGTTCGATGGTGTAGTTGGTTATCACGCTTGTCTAACATTCTTCCAAATGCTGGACACAAGAGGTCCCCAGTTCGAGCCTGGGTCGAATCAACTTTTGATCCCCTTTCATTTTTGATTCTGCCACTTGCTAGCCTAGCCCAAGCCTAGTTTCAATGCTCATTTTACGAGCCTATCAAAGCCAAAACAAACGCGGATTATCTATCCCCTTTCTCTAATTGATCGCCCAGCCGAGGCTCCTATAAGATGGGGCGTGGCGTACTGTCCTTGCTCATGGCAACCCCGGCATGCATCACGACTCACCATGGCATCCAGGCCATATCCCAATCCTACTCACTAGGAAGTCGTCAAATATCACTTAGCGGCAGCTGACCTGCTCGCTTTATTCGAGGCTTCTACCATGTTTCTCCAATGCGGAAGGGGGCGGATTTTATCCATTTGTAAATCATTCTTCCTTTTTTGTTTATTGCTCTCGTTTATGCTTAGTCTGCGAGGCTAAATCCCATTTCACAAAGCGCTGTCGGGGTCCTTGTTGGTTGCTCCTTGAACAGTCCCGATGATGTTGTATCTCTTCTGAAAGAACGTGAACCAATCGTCCAGGGTCTTCTTCTCCTTCTCGCCCAGGTCAAACCAGTCTGGCCGCACATCTTCGGCCTTGGTAGACATCAAACCTAGGGCCCTCGAGGCATCCTTTCCAGCAAAGGCTACGCCAAGTCAACTTCGCACAGCTCGCAATACAAGCAAGGAAACCGGGGGAGCTTACCAGAATAACTGCCGCCAGGTTGGTACGCATCCTTGCCGGAAACGTCAAATACGATTCCCTTGATAGCCACGTAGCAGGGCTGGCCATCCGCACCTACATGTCGCGCGCGGGCACACTCGCTCTGTCAGTGTGGTTCAACGAGGGGTATATGCGCGTAGCCTCAACAGCGCCAAATAAGCTCAGGGCGGCGCGAGGGCAACAAACACGCTGGTGAGAGGATGCGGGGGTCTCTCCTGGTTGGAACAATGTTGGGAGAGGCAAACTTGTGGCTTTGGGCCAACTTACCGGAATTCTTTCCGAGATCATCCACGGAAATGGGAGTGTAATTAGGCGCGTTGAGCTGGACAGGCTCTTTGGGCTCAAACTTGGCAGCCATTTTTGAGTCCGTTTTCTTCTCTACTTTGCTGGTCGTAAGAAGTGGTTTCGAGAGCGAGGGAAAGGGAGCACTTGAGGTATGCAAGGATGGCGCAACGTGAGGGGAAGGAATAATCACAAACGACTTCGTTAGGGGAGGGGAGGTGAAATCAACTTCTTGTGGGTTGATTGTCGGCACGGAGTTGAAGGCTGTCGCAGGTCCACTCCGATGGCCTTCCCCGCCCTCCTTCCATTTCAAGATGCCTCGTCAAGCCGAACCAAGGTCCAATCCAGCGCGTGGGAACCTAATAAGCTTGTGAAAGCGCGAAATTTGGAGGCAATTGAGCTCCTGAAGCGGGGAGCTATTCACTAAGACCATTGGTGGGCCCAGCGCTGACGTGCGCTGCATACTGCACCTGATTCAGCGTATAGCACAGGTGGACCCTCTGAGGGCCTACTAGCTGCGGTAAGTTGGCAGTGCTAGCTACTGATATCTCTCCAGCCAATGTCGCATTGATGAATTGGATACCGGTGGAAGCTTGCCAGCTTGAGCCCGGTGGTGGGAGCTCACGAATCACGTGATAGAATACTTAACGCGCGCCGTGTCAAGGCAGCTGCTCTGATCGCCCGTAAATTTTCGCGTCAGCGAACCGGGACAAGAGGCAAAGGCCTTGCTTCAATTCTCCTGCCCTGCCCTCTCTCCCCTTTCATCCCGGCCAATCCATCTGCCTTCGTCCTAGTTGACTATCGAACCAACATGGCGGAGATCAAGATTGATAGCCAGCTCTTCCAAGAGCGCATCTCACATTTTGTGAGCTCCTGGAAGAACGATGCGCGCTCCAAGGATGGCCTCTTCAATGGAGCATCCTCTATCCTGATCCTCATGGGCAAAGCAGAGGATAGCCAGGACTTTCACAAAAACAATGCTATGCATGTAGGTTCCTCCCGTCTCTCATCGCATCTGCAACTACTTCGGAAAAATCCTATTAGCAGCGCCATGCCATATCCTTTGTCTTCCTTTTTTCTTCCTTTGGACCTCGGGAGCTAATCCACCTTGTTAGTTCTGGTTGCTCGGATACGAATTCCCCGCGACACTGATGCTGTTCACGATGGACTGCCTGTATATCGTGACGACTGCCAAGAAAGGTGCGATTTTATCTGCGCGCCGCTGCGCCCCGATTTTCGTCAAGGATTTGAGTTAATATTTCAATAGCCAAGCACCTCGAGCAGCTGAAGGGCGGACGATTCCCGATCGAGATCCTAGTTCGTGGAAAGGATGCCGCCGAGAACGAAAAGTCATTTGTTAAGATTGCCGACACTATCAAGGCTGCGGGCGTAAGTCTCTCCGGAGTCTCCCCACAGTCCATAAACCGCCGGATTCAGTTATTGACACATTTTTTTCTCTCGTGAATAGAATAAGATCGGTACACTCGCCAAGGATACTTCCCGAGGCCCCTTCATCGAAGAGTGGAAGAAGACTTTTGCCGACCAATGCAAGGACGTCACCGAGGTTGATATTTCGCAAACGCTATCAGTTGCCGCGTTCTCGGTCAAGGATGAAACCGAGCTCCGCGCGATGCGAACGTCATCCAAGGCTTGCGTTGCCCTCATGACGCCCTATTTCTTGGAGGAAATGTCCAACATTCTTGATCAGGAAAAGAAGGTCAAACATAGCACGCTTGCTGATAAGGTGGACAAGAAGCTGGATGACGATAAATTTTGGAAGACGGTGCAGCTTCCCAACAAGTCCAAGCTCCCTTCGGATCTTGACCCTACCCAACTCGACTGGGTGACCGGCCCCATCGTGCAGAGCGGCGGCGCGTACGACCTCAAACTCTCGACGGAAGCGAACGACAACTTTCTACATGCCGGCACGATTATTGCTGCCATGGGTCTTCGTTACAAGTCGTACAGTTCGGCGATTGCGCGTACCTACCTCATCGACCCGAATAAGTCCCAGGAGGGCAACTATAAGCTCCTCTGCAACGTGCACAATACCGTGCTCAAGGAAATCCGGGATGGCGCTGTGGCAAAGGATGTCTATCACAAGGCGCTGAGCACTATTCGCTCGAAGAAGCCCGAGATGGAGAAGCACTTCTTGAGGAATGTCGGCTGGGGCATCGGTCTGGAAACCAAGGACACGACCATGGTCCTGAATGGGAAGAATGGCCGGACCCTCAAAGACGGCATGACCCTCTGCATCACGACCGGCTTTAGCGATATCGAGAATCCCAACCCGCAGGACAAGAACAGCAAAATTTACTCGCTGATGATCATGGACACCATTCGCGTCACAAGCACTGATCCGGTTGTCTTCACGCAAGAGGCGCCCATTGAAGCAAATTCCAACTCTTTCTTCTTCAAGGACGAGGAGGAGGCGCAGCCAACGCCGAAGAAGGAGAAGAAAGACCATCGGGTTGGAGCGGTCGCCACCAAGAACATCACCCAGACGAGGCTGAGATCAGAGCGCACCACCCAAGTTGAAGATGACGCTGATACAAAGCGGCGGCAGCATCAACAGACGCTAGCGGCAAAGAAGCAGAAAGAAGGCACGCAACGCTACGCCGAGTCCACGGGTGGACAGAATGGCGTGGAAGCCAAGACGTTCAAAAAGTTTGAATCATACAAGCGAGACAACCAGTTGCCGCTCAAGGTGCGCGACCTCAAGATCATCGTGGATGTTAAGAGCAGTACCGTCATCGTTCCTGTCATGGGACACCCGGTGCCGTTTCACATCAACACGATCAAAAATGCGAGTGTCAACGATGAGGGTGACTGGGTATTTCTCAGAATCAATTTCCTTTCGCCTGGACAAGGTGTGGGGCGAAAGGACGATCAGCCTTTGAGGATGCTACCGCCCACTTCGTCCGCAGTTTGACCTTCCGCTCCGAGCATAAGGAGCGCTATACCGAGATCGCCAATCAAATCTCCAACATGAAGCGTGACGTTGTCAAGAAGGAGCAGGAGAAGAAGGACATGGAGGACGTTGTCGAGCAGGATAAGCTGGTTGAGATAAGGAGTGAGTGCACTTCGCGTGAACACGTTTCAGTCTTGATTCTTTTACGTCTTGTGAGATCGCCTTTGGCTCTAACATTTTCTAGATCGCCGCCCCCTGTACTGGATAATGTCTTTATTCGGCCTGCGATGGAAGGTAAACGCGTGCCCGGGAAGCTGGAGATCCACCAAAATGGTATCCGTTACCAATCTCCCCTCAGCACTCAGCAGCGCGTCGACATTCTCTTCTCCAATGTCCGCCACTTGTTCTTCCAACCCTGTCAACACGAGCTCATCGTAGTCATTCATATCCACCTCAAGGACCCCATCATCGTTGGTAACAAAAAGAAGACCAAGGACGTGCAGTTCTACCGCGAAGCAACGGACATCCAATTCGATGAAACGGGTAATCGCCGAAGGAAATACCGATACGGTGATGAGGATGAATTCGAACAGGAGCAGGAGGAAAGGCGCCGTAGGGGGAGCTCGACCGAATGTTCCACGGATTCGCACAAAAGATCGCCGAGGCTGGTAAAAATGAAAGTCTCGAGGTGGACATGCCGATTCGAGAACTTGGTTTCCACGGTGTTCCGTTCCGAAGCAACGTCTTCATCCAACCAACCACCGATTGCCTCATCCAGGTGGTGGAGCCACCCTTCATGGTGCTCACGCTCGAAGACATCGAAATTGCTCACCTGGAACGTGTCCAGTTTGGCCTGAAAAACTTTGATCTCGTCTTTGTCTTCAAGGATTATAGTCGCGCGCCGTACCACATCAACACGATCCCGATGGAGCAGATCGAGGACGTAAAAGACTGGCTTGACAACTCGGATATTCTCTACAGCGAAGGTCCTCTGAACCTGAGCTGGCCCACCATTATGAAGACGGTTACCGCGGACCCGCACCAGTTTTTCCAGGACGGCGGCTGGTCATTCCTTCAACAAGAATCCGACGATGAAGGTGGATCTGATGAAGAGGACGAAGAAAGCGCCTTCGAGATTGACGACGACGACCTTGATGCTGCCTCGGAATCGAGTGAAGAGGATTCCGACTATGGCTCTAATGTCTCGGATGAGGATGATGAAGACGAGGCCGAGCTGAGTGACGACGACGAAGGTGACGACTGGGATGAGATGGAAGAGAAGGCCAAGAAACGCGACCGCGAGAGTGGTCTCGATGACGAGGACCGGGGCCGAAAGAAGCGCAAGCACTAAGCTTCTGGTGGGATGCGTAGAAGTCTTTTCCCGGTCGTCGAGACCGCCTGTATTTTTTCCTTTTGTTAGCAAAATAATGGGAACAGGGCTCGCGGGATCTTTTTTTGTTTCCTTGTATTGTTGTTCACCATCTATTCCTTTACTACGTGTATGCTTTGTGTCACATTTTCCTTGCTCGCTGGCCGTCTTGGCTATTCCGTGTATCCATTCCAATTCAATCCATTGGGGCTGGGGCAACTTGCTATCTCGCTCCTCGTCCCTCGTCTCTCGTTGTCCCGTCTCGCCTTCATACCTATTTCTAATCACCCGGCACTTGTTCGATGTTCTCGCCGTTGATCCCAGCACCCGAGGTTGTAGTGCCACTGGCTGGCTCTTTGGTTGCGTACAACCTCACCTTTACTGGAACCGATTAACGATGATTTCCTGCTGTTGGTATTTACTGATGCCTACGTACGATGCGAGGATGTCTCACGTACAAGATACAACCAAGAGGCTTTCGTTGGTTTCTGAACAGTGACATTCTACGTCGAGAGAATACATAAAATAGTTGCGTGACCTAGAACTCCATCCGAACTAGCGAAATACCAAATACCCCGGGGAGAACGGAAAACAAGGATCAAAAAAGGAAGCGGTAGAAAGAAACCAGAGCCCAGCATCTATTGTGACATTGCAAGTTGGTTGGGAAGGATCGCATGTGGCCACGAGGTTTGGGCAAGGGAGGAGAAAATCCCACCTCGCACCCATCCAGGTACGGACTGACCTACCCGACTTGCCCCGGCAAACAAGATAGAAGGACGTTTTGGTACCAATATATTTGCTTGTGTTTTGTAAGTCCACCTCCTTGATGGGAGAGGGAAAAAAAGAGGAATAAAAAATGGTAAAAACACGGGAATCATCAACAAGAAACGCAGCCCGACCCAAAGTGTGGCCGGTATGCTCCAAGCAGACAAGGCAGGCGGGGGCCGGATGCAGCAAAACAAAAACCTCTTAACACGGTGCGTCGCAAGGTAGACGGTATTTGTACAGAACGAACAAAGACCACGCACGCGCATGCCATACGTTTAACTATTAGCAGTACGAGCGTGCGAACAATCGTTCTTCGAGAGCATCTGCGGCGCAGCGGGCTCTCGCGGCAACCCACGGTTGGGGTTCGGCCAACTAGGCCTCGGCCCGGCCAAGGTCTCGACCGGAGGCGGTGGCGGTGGAAGGTCCGGCCTGTTTGCCAGTGCTTGGGGCGTTGTTCCAGGACAGGTACGTATGGTCACCCAATTTCCTTGGGCCCCAGTTAGCACTCGGCTCACGGAGGTAGGGGGAGAGGGGGAAACGAGACGGTATTTACCTTGGCTTGATGAGGTGAGTGATGGTGAAAACTGTTCCAAGAAGAATGCACATTCCACCGACGACGACGTAGGCAATTCCCAAGAAGGAGTTGCGGCCTCCCATAACGGTACGAGTGGAGATGACCATGGACTTGGTGCCCTTATAGATATCGGTGGGGAACACTACAATCCAGCAAAACAAGGTTAGGTAAAGAAACCTCACCATCAATCACAATTGGAGGGGGCAGTTGATAAAGGGATATCGACGTACCATCATTGATAACGACTCGGTATGTACCAGCAAGCATGGCATTTTCGTTGTTGCGTTGGTACAGCTTGCTGAAGGCAGGAAGACCTGCGGTCCTCATCCACACCATAAGGCCCTCCCACTGACTCACGTCTGGCGGGGAATTCATCGGTGTAGCCGTCGGGCCATAGCTCACGCCAGTTCGGGGGCGGCCAGATCTCGTCGGTCTTGTACTTTGTTTCGCCGTATAGCTCCTTGTCCGATCCCCAGGCGATATCGGTGTTGTTATCCATGAGGTAGGGAACAGGTTCGTCATCGCCCAGGCGCTCGGGGAAGTAAAAGTATCGTTAAAGATAGAATTGGCGATCAATCCGCAGGGGTAGTAGGGCAATCCAGTCTCGTTGTCAACCCGAAGGGGTCGCAAGTCGAGCTTTCAATATCTCCCTTGCTGACGGCATCGCCCTTGAGTTGCCTCTCATCGAAGGAGTTGACATATCGGCGATGGTTTTGATAGAATTCGGTAAGACGGTAGTAGAAGAGGACGGGGGTCCGATATCCTCGGGGAGGGTGAATTGAACGACGCACTGCGTCACATTATTGACCGGTTGGCCACGGCCAAAGTTGACGCCATCAACGCCAGGGACCTGGGCCCACATAGCCTTGACGGAGCTGTCCTTTTCTTGAACGCAGTCGAGATAAACTCGGGCGGAATTTCCAAGAGCTGACCTTCTCCGACGCTATCGATTTCGGGGGCCTTGGCTTTGCAATTTGTGTAGTCGATTTCAATCTCTTGAACCTATGCACGGGTGAGGAAGGAATGTTAGATCGGCGTCGTAGAGAGGTCAGAGGCCGAACCATACCTGCGCGCTAGCATAGAGCAGCAAGCCTCCAATCGGGGCAAATATTATGCCAATCGTGAAGAAGAGAGGAAGAACCGTCTTCGGAGTAAGAATAGGCCTGCGAGGGGCGGGAACGTTAGCGTTGCAAAACCCTCGAGGGAGTGGCCAGGAGCACCATCCATGAAGGTGAACGTGTGATGTGTGCCAACTTACTGCCATGCCTTCAGTCGCTGCTGTCGAAATGCGGTATCTAATAGGAAACGTGCGACCGTTAGTCTTCTCCTTCTGTTACCCGGCCATGGGATCTCTAAACGGGGCAGTCCAAGCTCGATCGGCCTCTTCAGGCCTTCCAACAGGACCGCCACGATCGCTGGACCGGAAGCTTCGGTAACCCGAGGGCAACATCAAATATCGCCGGGCAGTAAACTTACTCGCCGGTCTCCTGCTCTTCTTCTTATCGGCGAGAGGTCGCCGGCGGCGATCTCTTCGTTGATGGAGTCGGCTTGGCCGGCCCCTGGGGTGTTTCGGACATTTCGGAATCGGCGACCGGTCCAAGAGCAACTTCGTATCGATGGAGTAATCGGTTCGGGCGTCTGGGATTACAGAAATGGAGTTGAAGGGGAGGGAGTCGGGCGAGAATGGATAAGGGGGCAGACGGAGACGCAAGTTGGATGAAAGAGTGTGGATTGGAACACGAGGAATCAAATGAATGGATCCATTGCATTGCGCTTCATGGTGGCGGTTCAGCCTCCCAGTGGCAGGACTACACTACTTTTGGACATGGACTCGGTTTTGCACTGGACTGCATCAGTCCGCGTCCAAGTGGAGACTCTTGGCTTGTGACTGTCCCGGGCCGTCTCAGACCGTCAAGAGCTGGCGTAAGCTGCCAAGAACTGCTTGCATCAGATTCGCAGTACTGGGAAACACCCCCATTCTTTTTTGTTTCTTCCCGAGATTTGGCTGTTCAGGCAGATCAATGGCATCAATTGACTGGGGCGCAGGACTCGATGAGAAGAACAGGCTGGGTTGGTCCGTCATCCATCGCTGATTGATGGATTTTCCTGGTGCTGGCGAGCCAGCGACTGCCCAAATTGGCCCATCATACATGAACCATCAACCAGCTACTATGTTGGTACCATTCCGCGATGCTCACAGATGACGCTAGGCCGGTCAAGTCAGAATCAGGACTAAAGTGTTACAACTTTTTAAAAAGTTTTGTATTTATCCCTCTGTTTGAAAGCGGTCCTGTCCAAGGTCTACCTCGGTGGCTACCCAAAGATGGGTTTGGCATGTTTCCTTTTCTCAGTAGGTTCCGGGCTCTTCGCCGAGTGGACGAACGAATTGTCACGCAAGGGCTAGAACTAGAGTATTGGGCTTGTAGATTCCATATCTTGCTATATTTTATGGCACTAACTTAACGCCGAAGACGATGGGATGATATTGCGTCTGCTTCGTCACAAACTATATCGTACATCCTTCCCACCCTTCCCCTAGGGGTCTCCTCAAAGCCTAACCTTTTTTTGTTTGGTATGGATTAGGATCCGGAAGCAGATGAACAATCCAAGATGTGATGGGATGACTGGTGGGCAAGGCGCGATTGGGACCTCGGAATCTAGGCCTATCCAGCCTGCCGGCCGCAAAGGCCAGTCTAAGGATATGGGTGATTATTCGCATTACAGCTTCGCCTTCTGGACCTCCGCCTTTGCCTGGTCCCGGAGAAGTTTTCGAAGGATTTTACCGGACTATACATTCTCTAGTCAGCTTGATTCGCACACAACATGCAGAGGCTACAAAGCCCAATTATGAATTGTTGCGTTAGTTGGGGGATTTTGCTTGCTTAAACAACGTACCGGGTTCTTTGGTATGATATCGGTGAAGATAACACCACCTGTGAGCCTCTTGTAGGGCGCCACGCGGGTCTCAACCCAACTCGCAATCTCGCCTCCGGAGGGATTGAGACCCTCCTTCGGCACAATGTAGGCCCTCGGTCTTTCTTCGCCCTCGATGTCGACGCCGATGACGGCGACATCGGCAACGGCGGGATGCTCTAGAAGCAAGGCTTCAAGTTCAGCGGGTGCGACCTGTCGTCCCTTCACCTTGATAAGCTCCTTTAGCCGATCCACGACGTGGAAGAGGGTTCCCGGCTTGTAGGATTCAACGTAGGCGATGTCGCCCGTCTTGAGCCACCTCGTACCATCGGCATCCACCGAGGTGGAGTCTTGAGTCGCCTTGGCGTTCTTCCAGTACCCGCGCATCAGTGTCGGGCCCGTGACCCAGAGCTCACCACGAGTCTCCGCTTTTGTGATCTCGGTCGTGCCGTCGAGGCTCATGAGTTTGGCCTGGCAGTTGGGCATGAGCTCGCCCACGGCGCCACTCGTGCCGGAATCGTTGGAGCCATCCCAGGCAAGGCAGGTACACGTCACCTCGGTCATTCCCCATCCCTGTCGGACGTAAATGTCTCTCGGAAGCAGATTCTGGGTCTCGTGGGCAATCTCGAGGGCCAAGGGGGCAGCGCCCGATCCCACGATCTCAAGGCTGCTTAAATCGGCCTTGGGCGTGAGCGGGTGCTTTGCCAGGAGGACGAGAATGGGAGGCACGGCGACGAGGTGGGTGACCCTGTACTTGGCGATGTGGGAAAGCATCTTTGGGAAGTCAAACGAAGGCATGATGTACACAGGGATGCCCTGCTTAGCAAAGTTGGCGACGAAGTAGGTCTGGCCATAGGCGTGGTAGAGGGTAGGAAGCAAAGGCCGACAGATCGCTTGGTAAAGTCAGGATAGTCTGGCTTCTGTTCCGCAAGCTTGATCACGCCGGTTCCGTTGGCTACGTAGCTGTAGTGGGAAATCTCTACGCCCTTGGGCAGGCCCGTGGTTCCCGAGCTGTAGTTGAGGCAGCAGGTCGTGGTGCGGGCATCAGCAGGCTCGACCCAGTCAAACTTCTCTGCCCTTTCCCGAGGAGCGAGGAGTTCGGTCCAGTGCCTCGCCCCGTGGGCCGCTGGAATCTCCACTGACGCCGATCCGGGAATGGTCGTGTCGAAAGCAAAGACGTTTCGCGCCGGCAGGCCAGCCTCGCTAGCGCCTTCCGTGGCCGTTTGAATATTGCTAGCCGCCGCGACCATGAAAGAGGCACCGCTATCGCGGAGTTGATGGGCAATCTCCCTCGGCTTGAATCCAGGGTTCGCGCCGGTCACTATGCCGCCAGCCATCAAAACACCGAGGAAAATGACGGGGAAGTAGATATTGTTGCCCGAGAAGATCAACACCCGGTCACCCAACCGTAGACCGGCTTCTTGCAGACCAACAGCGATCTGCTTGAGACGAGTCTGTAATCCGAAAAGGTCAAGTACCTTGTTTCGGGATTGTCGGCGTCAAGGAACGCCTTGCGGTCTGGAACAGGACCGAAGGACGAACCAAAGATCCATTTCTGGATAGAGCAGTTCGGAATGGGCTCCGACCAACGCGATTTGATAGGCATGGCTGGCTAGGTAAGCTCGCCGTGGGGGCAAGGGCGACGAGAGGGCAAGGTAAACTGAAGAAGAAGGGGGGAGGGGGGGCTGCTTCGCACTTCGCTTCGGAATCAAAGGCCGGCGGTAAACAAGATATTGATTCTCTCAGCGCTTTGAGTGTGGCTGGGCGCTAGAAACTAGATTGAAGAGATATGCTAGTCGAGCAAAAGAAGACGAAGTGAAGAGGGGAGGGGGTTTTCTTGGATGGCTCAAAGTCAGACGGAAGCGGGATAAGGGGGAGAATATAAGTAAAGTAGGTCGTCGGAAGTTTCAAGCGAGACTTATTAACATCCGGGCTCCATTCTGGAAAGAGCGGCCATGGGTTGGCGATGCACGTTGAGGGGTAATGCCAATGCCCCTGGTCCAAAGTGGGATCGATCTATGGAGCTATAGCTGTCAGTCGTGCGCGTGGACCATTGATGATGGCATGGAATCGACGTGAAATGTGCTACTTTGACCACCTTCCTCTCCACCCCCATTGAACTGGAACGGAGGTATGGTTGGCAACGATGGGGCTGGACGCTGTAAACGTGGGGAAGAAATGGAGATTGAAGGCCATCATGTTGCAGCGCTAGCCAGTTCCAGCCAACCTCGGCCAGGGCGCTAAGAGGTATCCCCCGGTCTCTAGCTATTATCGGGAGCGCTGCTTTAGGCCGGGATGGGGAAGGGGGGAGGTCCCACCAGCGGAGGGTGATGCGGGGATAAGGCAAAAGAACCTCCGACGGTCTGCCTCGGTTGATGGTCAGCGTGCAGAAAGGAAGAGGCGGGAAGGGGGATGGGATGGGGCGGCCGACGGGGGCAAACAGAAAGGAGTAGATCATCATTATGATTAATTCATCCATAGACCCAGAGACCCATAGACCCATTGTGATTGAATAATTGCCAGCATCCATTCTCGGTCATGTCGTCAACTCTCCCTGAGCGAGGATTATGGATACGAAGTATGTCATTCCCAGGACGGCGGAGAGTTGAGTCGGGGTCATCGGTTGAGATTGGTGTAGGAGCACGAAGTCGCGGGTCTCTTCTCCAGTCTCGATTCAGCCAGCGCTGGTTCTTCAGTTGGGGCCCCTGGAGCGCTCTACCAGCCCTCGTGCACTTTTGCGGGATTGATCTTGGCAATTGATGGTGGATATTTTCGGGACAGGGTGCCAACGCTATGTCCCTGTATTAGATGAAAGATGCGAAATGTAGGACCTCGGAGAGTACATGGATCCATAGATGTTTACACCGCGCCAGCTGACGGCCAATATGATGGTGAATCATGGCTCACTTCAAACCCCCATCCGTCAATGGCGAATGCTTATAAGTGAAAGGGGTAAAACCATTCAATGCCCCGGGTGCTTTTCAGCCTTGTACCACCATATCCTCCCCAAGTTCATATACCATTGACGTCGTCCGCGCGGCTTTCGCGCACACCTCGCGCTGTGTCGGCCTCGAGTCACGCACGCCGACCGCCGCATGTCTCGGGTCATACATGAACGGCGGTGCTCCCTCGGGGGCCAAGGAGCCACAAGGAAGCGGGGCACCAGCGCCGACCTCGCCTACGAGCCGAGAGCTAATCGGATGGCGCTGGACATCATTCGTGTAAAATTAGCGAAAACAGCCATCAACCAGCGACGACACTAGCTAAGAAGGGGAGCTTGGCGGTTCGGTGTCTGAGGAGTGGACGATGGGCTGAGCTCCTGAACAAACCCGCGAGTTTGCTGCACGTCGAGATGTTAGTGGCCTGGAAGGCACACCCGCTGGAGGCCAGTTTGAGACTCAGCTTGGGCGAGAATCTACACAGGTTTGCCCTCCACCTAAGGTATGTATGGCAAATAGAAGCATGGGGTAAAAAGACCAAAGGCATTGATTTGTACTTGTACAACGGCCCTTGGATCTAAAAGAGCACATTTGATGGCTCAACCATCTCGGGTTCATCGGTGGAGGGGACTGACTGCACTCTAGATCCCCATCAGCGGAAGGTGGGTTTCGCGGGGTTCCTTGAGTTGTCAGCCGGCACCATCTGCACCAGAACCTCTCCCCCAATTTTTGTGCTCAGTTTTTTCTAGGTTCCGAGTCCTTGGTCCACGTCAAGGAAATGTTGTATTCACTGGCGTCATTTCGAAGCTCACCCAACAATAGCGACGCACCCAAAGGCAAAGTAAAACAAAGGACCCAAAAAAATTCACCCACCCCGACTGACCGACCGGACGAATCCCGCAATCTCTTGGGCTTCGCGACATGCCCCATAGCCACCCGCGGTCGCAACAATGGCTAACCGTTTACTCCAATCTCTCCCCATGAGGCATGGCGTCCAGATGCCGGGAGCCAGGGCGTCGCGACAACTCCACGGCCGGGCTTCTTCGTCGACTCCTAGCCCCGGCCACGTCTGCTTAGCTGCGCCCCTTTTGCGGCAACATCCGCGATATCGCGGCTCCCTTCAGACTTCTGTCTTTGTGCGACACAAGTCGACGGAGCAGGCCCCGGCCAAACCTCCCTCCCAGCCCAGCTTTCGACAGCCCCTCCGCCGACCCTCCCCGAGATCTTGCGCAAGGGCTTCAACTTCTCCGCCATATTCTCGTCCTTTGGGAAAGGTGGCTTCCGGAAGGCGGCCCGTCAGAATCCGGGAGAGTTTTTGTTTGCGCTGTTCGTGTAGGTGTCATACAGTCCTCCTGCCACTTGCCCTCGGGCGCATCACCCTCTTGGTCTTCCCTTGCCTTGCTCTGCTGTAGCTTACCCACGCCTCTCCTCCTTAGACTGACAGGCATCTCCGGCGTCGTGGGCTATACTGCCTACCTCTACTTTGACTACTTCAACGCGTCCCAGTTCACGAGGTTCCCCAAGCCCGTCGCCAAGTCCCTGCGTCGCGCCCTCTACTACACCAACATCAAGCCCGACCCCAAGCTCGCCCACAAGAATTACAAGCGCGCCCTCGAGCAGTGCAATGAGGCGGGATTGGATCCCTTCTCCGACGAAGTTCTCGGCATTCGGATACAGACTGCAGCCTGGCTTGAAGGCATTGGCAACTACAACGGCGCCATCACCGTCCTGGGCGGCCTTGTTGCCGACTGCCTTCGGTGGGTAGCCGTGATGGAGAAGGGCGTAGCCGACGGTTCCATGCCCAAGGATGGCAAGGTCCTCGCTCCCAAACCACCGACTGATCAGAAAGAAGCCGCATCTACAAGTACGCCGGCGGCGCCGGCAGCGGAGGGGGCGATGAGGAATACCTCCCGAGAACCTGTGGAGGAAGCGTTCTAGGTTGCTCGCAAAGGCCGTAGGCACGAGTGTCAAGCTCGGCGAGCTCAACGCCGACGAGCACGTCATGCGTCCCGAAGACTCTCAGTCCAGGCTGACGTGGGCCGTCGAGACTGCCCTCAAAGAGTTCAAGAGGCGAACCGACGAGGGAGAGAAAGAGGACGAGGGTCCTTGGATGAGCCCGAGCGAAATCGGCGGCGCGCTCGAATGTGAGTCTTGGTCTTGTTCTCCGTGATGATGGCCGCTGTAGTGCGACTGCTAACCGGTTATCCCGAAAAGCTCTCGCCCGAAACTATGAGACGCGGTCACAGTTCCAGCTCGCCCTCCCGCTGCTTTTCCATGCCCTCCGCCTGTGCGAAGATCCATGCCACAGGCCGGTAATTAGTACGACCCCTCACCCCTCACCCCTCACCCCTCGTCCCCCTTCCTCCTTTCTTTTGTCTTCCTTTTCCCCTTTTAATCTACCCTTACGCAAGGGATAAAAGAGGCAGAAGCTAACCTCCCATGCACCCGTCTAGTGAACAACCTCGCGGCATGCTTCGCGCAGCACCCCGCCGGCGTAGCCCTTTCCATGCCCACCGCCCCCAAGGGCTCGCCCGAAGCCGGCGCCGCCCTCAAGACGCCGACCACCCGCGAGTTTTATCTACAGTCGGCCCTCAACTGGGCCTCCAATGCCCGCGCCCACGCCGCCGACGTACGGGGCGACGACCGCACACCGGAATGCGACGAGGCCTGCGCAGTCGCCTTGTGCAACCTCGGAGACATTTACGCGCTTGCGGGGAGGCCCTCCGAGGCTCGCCGCAGTTATGAAGAGTGCGTCAAGATGAGCCAGGGATTGGATTTCCCGGCCGGTGTAGCTCAGGCGCAGGCCGGGCTGGGTCGTTTGGGAAATGCCGTGAAAGCCTCGTAAAGCTCACCTCTACCTTGCCTTGATCCGACGCGCTGCTCGTTTTCAAGACAAACTCAAGACAAGACAGGGAAACCTCCCTCCCGCCCGCGGCGATTGTCCCACAGGACTTCCCTCCCCTCCCTCTCCTTCCTCTCTAGCATTTCATAGACATAGATGGCGGATAGATGGTGAGTCACGCGTTTCTCCCTCCATTACGGGACTACCGGAGAAGGCCTAGGAGGATCTAAGTTGTAGATAGTCGCATGTATTTCCTCCCCGCCCACCATTACAGATGTACGATGTCCCGATGTTTTGTCTTTCTCCTCGCAAGTTCGGGTGGCTCCTGCGAGGCAACAGCGGGCATCCTTACCACCGAGTTAATTCAATAAACCCAGTCTCTCCGCCCCAAAATTCGGGATTCTCTTCCCAGCTTTGTCCGGCGAGCGGAATTCCACGTGTACCCGACGATGTGTGCTGCTCGCGGGAGAGTCTGCTGCCCTTGCGCAGCCTTGGCCGACCCCGTTCTGCCTGCCTCCCGTGGTCTGATGTCCCGCGCCTGCCCGCCTTTGCAATCCTCTACGCGGGGAATAATTCCAGAAGAGGCACAGAAAGGATCCGGGGTTTTCGTGATGTGACGTTTGCGAACGCCGATGGGGCGAGAGCAGAGTGAAAGGCTTTGCGCGGAAGTCATGAACAGCATCGCCACACACACACACACACTCCCCACGACAAGAGGTCACATTGAGCTTACGTGAAACCAGACTTCTTCCCTCCCTTTCCGCCCATCGTCGCTCGCCCTCAGCCCTTTTTTCGACGCCCCTCCCCCCTTCTCCCCTCGCCCTTTTTCTTCAGCATGACTGTGATGCGGAAGGAAATCTCCCAAGCAAAGGCAAAGGAAATGGGATGAGTGACGAGTGACGAGTGACGGACGCTACGAGGGGCGGAAGGCGGAAATAGAAGATGGCCCGTCAACTCCGATTCGCTGTCGCACAATGTGGCCCATTCCCCTTCCCGGGATGGTTTTCCATACTCTCCGAAGGGACGCAGTGCCCACCTACTTTGATTTTGTGCCAGAAGTCTGGAAAGAGCCCAGCCGTCAGACAAGCATCTCAATATCCGAGATGAGATGGGTGGCTCCTTCACGCACACCACCCGCTCCCCCTGGCCCCCTCCCAAATCCAAATTCCTTGGATCCTTTACCCTTTTTTGTTCCCTCCTCCCTTTCACCTTTTGCTTTGATTCTCCTTTTGGGTTTAATTTTCCTTCCGTTTGTTCCAAATCATGTTTTCTGGAAGGGGCATCATGCCTCATGCCCCCGCCCTCCCTCACCAAAGATGGGATGGGTGCTCAGCCCAGCAATTCGCCGTCTCGGTCAATCCTTCCGCCGCCGTGACCGTGCCCCTTTATGTCCGCCTCCTCAAGACGTGCTGACACAAGCCCTTTCATGCTGTAACCCACAGAAAAATCCGGCGGACGCTGCCGATGGAGGATTAAGCCGAATCGGAAACCGGAGGAGAGCACACTGGTGTAAGATCATGGGTGCCATTCAAGCCACGCGACGAACTAACCTGGAGGGCCCAACACGGAAATTAACAGCGGGGGGAGAGAACAAAGAGAACAAAGAGGGAACGGAGAGACAAAAGGTTAGAATTCAGGCAAGAAAAAGGTCCCTTGCAGAGGGCGGCCGCTCAAGCAACGTCAGAGCCGGAGGATGCCATCCCATTCGGGCGGTGCAAGCCATTCTGGATCGCGAGGTGTCTTTGCCTAGTGGCACATCACCACGAGGGCCTGACCAACATGTCTGACAATCCAAGGTGCAATGCTAACAACACAAAAGAAAAAGAAAGGAAGAAAAAAGAAGAAAAAAGATATGACTCGGGCCCAACCGGCGGTAGCACCAGTCATCCCAAGCCCCTTACGCTATCTTCAGTCGAAAGAGAGCACCGAGAAGAAGAAAGTTGGGTGCGTCCCGCAGTGGCTTCGTCGCATTGGATACGACGAGACGACATCATGCATGGGGTTTCTTTCTTCTTTTTGGCTGACACTTTTCCATGACACCTTTATGCTTCCTTTTCCGTTCTGTTGGCGATGCAGATGCCATCGGTAAGGCGACGTCTCTTCCCCCTTCCCTTCACTCGATTACACTGTCGCAGCGCACGCCCATCCATCCCGCTTCTTCTCGAAGGAAGATGACTCGGAAGTGGGCTGGTTTGGGCGTGCAACAATCTGCTTAGGGAAGATGAAGCTCGCTCCAACGCCGAGAAAAGCGGCGGTCATAGGACATAGGAATAGGAGTCATCATACACCACTCCCTCTCCCATCTCCCACCTTCTGCCCCCCTCCCTCCCTCCATCCTGGTGCCCGCCGCCGATGTCCTATGAGAGGCAAGAGGCTTTCTTTCGGCCCTGACAACGCCCGGTCAAATTAAATCACAATCCGGCTGCATCTGGTTTCCTCCGCCGCCCTACACCCTTCATCCTCCGCCCCCATCCCTGATTTGTCGTATGGAGCTCGTGGGCTGAAAGAGGGGAGCGGGGACACGGAGAACGAGAACAAGCATGAGGAGGACGGAAAGGAGGCGGAGAAATCATAAAGAAGGGAGTGTGCCCTGGGATGGGGCAGACGAGCAAGTCAAGCACCACTAGTTGATAGTTGCTGACTCCTCTTCGTGCCTGATCTTCATCTTTTGTTTCTGTTTCGGGTCTTCCAGCGCGATCGAGAATAGAAATGGATGACGAGGCAGGTCATGCAGGCCCGGGATCAAGTGTCGAGCTTTGGCATCCGAGAGCATAGGTTGGGGTTCGAAAATAGCCATCGACCTCAGATCTCTTGTGTCTAGCCTTGAACAACGTCCACCCTGAACCGCGTATACGCAAAAATCGATAGGCCCAATGCATATACACAGACACATACACTCGAAAATGCACACAATGCACGCCTAGGGGCATGTATGCAAGCTCTTTGTCCGCCCCTCCCTTCCATCTCGCCCACTTCCTCGCGTCTTTTGCCTCTCTTTCGTGCTTCTCGCTTCTCGCTTCTCGCCTGCCCACCCCCACCATTCCGGTGCCGATCTAGGCTTGGAGCGTGCTAGTCTTGCTCGATCGTCTGCATGCGAGTCGAATGGCACGTAGCTTCTCGTAACAAGTGAAAACAGGGGAGGGAGCAAGACGGCAGGGGTGGCGGACGCACCGCGACAAGCACGGCGCACAGCACAGGCACGAGCACGAGCACAGGCACAAACACACCCAAAAACTGACCATAGTACGTGGAGAAACAACGTGAGAAGAAGGGTGCATCCGCTTAACCCTCCATCCGCCCCCATCAGCTCTTGTGTTTCCAAGTCCCAATTCAAGAATTTTGTGCCGTCCCTGACTTTCGCTTCCGGCTGACCAGTGACGAGTGACCTGAGGGGATGCGGGCACTTCGTCTTGCTCGAGCCTAACAGATGGTATCAAAGTGGCGTGCATCTTTCGGCTCCCTTTGCCGGACTTCCAACGCCACTGAAGGTGATTCCGTGCATGTCATTCGTTGCTTTTCCCTCACGCTGGCGCATCTACGAAGTAGATCGATACCTTGCCGTCTGCGTCAGCACCTCACCCATTCGACAAGACCCTCTCGCAACCCTGCAAGGGATTAGTAGGATATGGTGGGAGAGACGAAAACGAAATGTGAAGTGGGGAAAACATGAAAGGGAAAGCAAAAGCATGACAGGCTTTGCGATCGGAGAAAACGTAAAATACATCAATATTTTCTCATGAAACGTCTCTCTCTCTCTCTCTCTCTCAGACGTTATGTCGAGAACGCCAAGGGCGTCCGTTTAGGGTCGCTACGTGCGGGTGGTCACCCCATCACGCTCCAAGGCGGATCCTGACGCTACTCAATAGTTCATTTGCCCTTTCCGCTTAGACTAGGAGAAAATATACCGGTCCGCCTTGCGTGTGCGACTGAGTGCCCTTTTCTCGATCCGTTGCCGCTTGTCGAGCCCGCTGTCCAGGCTCAAAGGACCACTACTACCTAGCAAGGCCGCGGCAGTTCTCAGATGCAACCATTCTGCTCGCGGTTATTCACAGGCGAGAACACTTCGGCAAAGGGCTTTAGAGCTGGCGGCTGTTCCTTGAGAGATGAACATGCTCCAGGCCAAGGGCTTCGCCGTAATTCTCACACCCCGCCCACTTGTACTTGTAATCCAACGCTTAGCACCCGTGCGGGAGGAGGAAGAAGAAAGTTGGGGAAAAGAAGAAAAAGAAAAAACACCGCCTTCTGGCTGATCCTACTCATACATCCATCCCGAACTTGAAATACGAAAACCAGGTAATACTTGTCTTAAGTCAAAAGAGAAAGAGGAGCGGGAGAAGAGGAACAGACCCTCGCGCAATTAGCCACCACTTGCAAGGGGCGGAATGCGGGTCTCCACACCGGGAGAATCACCCACTTCTCGAGCAGCTCAGCCATTAAGAGCTTCTCGAATTGGCTGACGGGTGACCTTTGTCCTGCCACCCCTGCCTGCCTGGGCGTGAGGATCTCCTTGGAAATAGATCACAAGTGCTGGATGGCGTTTTTTAACTATTAGCATTGGCCGGTGCCTGGAAGGGTATGGAATAGTTCGTGCATGTCTCTTGTCATTGCATCGGGATGGGACTCGGCGTTACCCAGGGTTTGGGTGGGTGGGTGGCGTTCTTTCAGTAAAGCGAACAAGGTGAATCTGAGCCCCCTGAAGCCTGTGGGACACAGAACAAAGCGGGCGCTATTCGAAGAGAGCCAGGCACTTCGTGTACATCGTGCAGAGGCCGGTCCCAAACCCGGGCTGGGAGGAAGGATAAGAGAGAACATTATCAAACGGGGAAGGGGGTGCGGCTGGCTGTTGGTACTAAGCCCCGAAGCTCGCACCACGAGAATTGGCAAATTGGTCAATTCTCCTCATCAGCGGGCGCTGATCTAGTGGTCGTGTCAGCGCTTGCTCCGAAGCAAGGTCACAACGATGAGCCGTAGATGGGGATATCTTCTTCAGAGGGCGTTGGCTG